TCGGTCGTTGCCAATGAGAAAGCAGTTGCCATCGTTCGCACCTTTGCATTCGTCGATAAGGGCGTTGGGGCTGTCGGTGTCGAAGCTCGGGAACTGGCTCAGCCAACACAGGTATGTTGAGTTGGAGCCGTTGGGAAACACGATCGTGGGCTCGTCCATGCAAGCGAGGGGCGTGTAAATGGGGGCACTGGCAGTCACCTTGTCCAAAGGAATGAACTTGCTCGAATTTGGCAACGCGTCGTAATTGGCTGGCAACCCGATCTTCTTTAGCTCTGCGAGCCGAGCGGGGGACGGGCTAGTGGCGGCTATGGTCGCACCCAAGAGGAAGAGTACGGCAGTTGCAAAGCTCATGGCGAATTCGAAAGTGACGAAGACAGAGGAGTGCACTCGAAATAGAAGTGGAGTACTTACTGTACATGGCTACAATGTACAGTACATGCATGTAGTACTAGTACTCGGTTGTGCTTCGTTTTGCATCAAGAATACAGTAAAGCTAAAGATATGGAGAGTACATTTTGAGGTGACAAAGACACTATTTGTAAGCAACCAAACCCTGGATAAAGTATTATGATGTACTAGCCTTGTAAAAAAGGAAATAATAATATGCAGTTTAACGACGAATCTAGGTAACGTTGATTGGGCGACCAGCCATTTCTGACCCGACGAGCCGGTTTGGCTTGTCTGCAGTGTGTGGTTGCGAGTGGTCGTTGCTGTATTTTGTGGATTTCTTTGGGTGTATCGCATGCAAATGCCAACGAATAGCTCGCGTAACAATATATAGAGGTGAATTCACCCCCTTAGCATTCGTCCTCGTTGTGTCCGGCGCTAGTGTTACAGTATGATAGAGGAATGGCGTCGATTCCCATGCATACAGTAATCAACGTCAAAGAGAAAAACTGGCACATGTGACATCGCAAACTGCTCTGTTGTGGGTTTACAGTTAATGACATGTTGAGCACACTATTACTACAGTAACTTTTTGCACCGCCGGCCCATCGACTCGAAGCCCTTTGTTTTGTCAAAGTACCGGTAACTGCAAAAAATTTCCAGGGCCACAGGTTCATTCTAGGATGGTCCACCATTGATTCATATCATCTGATCGGGCAACTCGTCAACAAAATCTGAGATTTTTTTACAGTACACTTGCGAATGAGGTGTCGCTGATTTGCGAATGCGAATCGTCGAACCGCCCCTGACCAATTCCCCGAGCGAGTGGGTGACACACCCACTCAATGTGTCAAATGCCCACTCACTCAGGGAATTTGGTACTATTGACCTAAAACGTCCCTGTGTAAGTGGGTAGGACTAATTGCTCGCTACGAAAAGTACAATCCTGAAGTAGTACAGCTGTACTAGGAGTACAATCCTAACGTTAACGTTAAACACCGTTACGAAGGCAAAGAACGTTGTACAACGTTAATCGTACCAATGGTGAATACTACTACAGTTAGTGTTAAACAGTATTCTATGTAAGCTGCACCATTGCTGGTAGTAATTCGTGGTAGTTCCTTATTCTTCGAAGTAATTCGGAGCTACATAAGCAACTACTTGTCCCCTCCAACTTTTGTATTTAATTTTCAGTGAGCTACGCGTAGACTTCAGTTGGTTGTCGGGGTTCCGGTAATATCGTTTCGAAGAATACCGGTATATATATTTGATAGGCACAAACGGATTCGACATCGCTTACACTATGCAAGGCAGCAATGGGGTACAATTCAATCAATGTGGAACTCTGAATGTTGTACTCCTAGTACTTCAGGATTGTACTTATCGTAGCGAGCAATTAGTCCCACCCACTTACACAGGGACGTTTAAGGTCAATAGTACCAAATTCCCTGAGTGAGTGGGCATTTGACCAATTGAGTGGGTGTGTCACCCACTCACTCGGGGAATTGGTCACCGCCCGTCGACCGCCTGATGCGGTACTGTTCTGATAGTAGTACAGTAACAGAATGGAAAAGTCCTACATCCACATACCGGTACTAGGACTAGGTACAGTACTTCATTCAGTAAATGGATATAATGGTTTTTCTCGTCGATTACACCAGCATGCGCATGACAGGATACACGGTGGAGTGAACACATTTTGTTAGGTACTAGTACTACGTAGTACAAGAGATACTGTACAGTACCTTTGAATTGTGAGGAGCGACACAAGTAGTACAAGAAATACAGTTACTTTAATAAGTGCAAGAGAAACAGTTACTTTAACTGTCGTACGTATGCGGTCATGTTCATATCGTGCTGTCATCGTAACCTCGCGAAATTACTGTACTGTACCAGGAAGTATGTGAGGTTGTTGGCACTACAGTGAACTGGGAAAGAACTCGACACAGTTGCACTCGAATAAAAATATGCAATCCACATGACAAAGAATAAAATGCAAAAAAGCACATCATAACTTGATTGGATTAGTGACTTGAATTCAATTTAAGGTCTGTGATTGGTCCGCCTTGGAAACACCGAAACGTTCAAACTTTGAAATGCCTGCCCCGCTGCTTCCCCAGCGAGTCCAAAGGCGGCACAACCTCGACATGCGCATCAAGCTACATGGCCTATGGGAATACAAATCTCTCGGATAAGGCTATTTCTGCACTAGAAGGTATTCCACGCACAACTTGACTGACATGGCTGAGTAAGAAGGACGCATACCTCACCACCGAATGTAACAAACAGTGCTTGACGCATGGTGGTCAATGGAGACCTGTCGCCATGCAATTCGACAACGACTTGTTGGCCTTCATGAAGGTAGTTCGAGCCGACAGACACCTCTTAATTACTGCTCATATGGTCACATGGATCAAGACACATGAGCAATCGTGGGCCAAGACGTACCTCCAACGGAAAGCCGCTAGTGGAATCAGGTAAGATTGGGTCTGTGCCAACGCATTACCCACCGCCATGACTTTGTGCAGCGTGTACCTTGTAATTCCAAGCTGAAACGAGCTGAGTTGGAAGAGCAGAAGAATGTGTTTGCGGCGACCTTCTGAGAGAAGCACGATGAGAAGCCCCTACGAGACATCGTCAAAATGGATGAAAAAGCAGTGTACTATGACTTGCGACCTCGACGTACGTGGTGTGAAATTGGCGAAGACGCGAAAGTCGATTTGACCCAGAAGCACTCCGATCGCCTCACGGCCGTGCTTGGAGCCTGCGCCGATGGTACGGTATGGCGCGGTGCTGTATACGGCTGACATGTGACGTAGGGACGAAGTTGCCAATACTGTTCATCGTGCGTGGGCAACCCGGTGTGCCGATCGAAACTGATAAAGGTCCAACGTATCCTTATGGGCACGTATACGCGGTTCAAGAAACATCTTGGATGGATGAGAGTGTGTGGGTATATTACCTCAAGGAGCTATTGAAGTGTAAGCAAATTTAATATACTTTAATTGAGTTTATTGGGCGAACGGTGAGGATTTAATGGTTTTTGACTGTTGCATTTGACTCCTTTGATGTTTGGCTACCTGTTGGTGGATTTGGTTTTTGTTTAAGTGAAGTATTTGTTATGTTGGAGTATTTGTTAGGTTGGATTTTGTATGGGTTTGTTTTGGAGTCCTGTGGACTCAGTTGTGGAATTTGAATATTTTTGTGATGATGTGGCGAATCACATCAGTTGAATTTTTCGTATTTTATCAGACGAGTGCTGTATGACAAAATAATATTCGAACTTGTCTCGATGGGTGGCTTACAAACTATTATATATTGTTGTGTGCAACTGTGTCGAGTTCTTTCCCAGTTCACTGTACAGTACTACTACTACCGGTAGTACCAGGTACTGTACTAGTACTATATTACTCGGAGTACTACAGTACAGTACTGTACTATTAATACTAGTAGTACTTTAGTATACTACTGGATTGTAACCTTTTGGGATGATACCAGGGTCATACAAACTGTAATATAAATACGAAATATTGCGAATTTGGCAGTTTGGAAACTATCGTAGAAAGAGCATGATATCATCTTCAATTTGAACTGACTTACTCCAATTTTGGGCAAAATGTGCATGAAATATTGACAAAATGGCAGGGACTGTCAGCTACTGGAGCTCCTTTTGTCATTAAAGCGATCACTTACTTCACTCAAATAAGGGTTATAACACACAAAGGCTTTAATGAATGAAGGATTAAATACTGTAGATGGTGGAGAACGATGTGTGTCGATCGATGGAGAAGTTCCTGCCTTGGGCAAGTCGCTTGATGAATTCATGAACCTTGGCCATCCAATAAAACGGTGTTCTACGTTTAATTATAGCCAATCAGGGAAGCCGTATCAGATTTTTAGTAGATACTAGCACCTACTAACACATTTTGGGTGTTGATTTCCATCGACACATTTTCCGCTCAAATTTAGAAGGCCACGGTGACCCTGGCTATTCATCACGTCAATTTCCAGTGTAGCCTGAAGACATATTATTCGAAAGAGACGTTGAAATTTCTTCAGTAATAAAGAAGTTACAATGACCTACCTGATGCATCTTCCCAAAAGGCCCCTACAAATAGTACTACTACAGTAGTATTTTTACACCTCTGTATATGAATATTATTTTGCTAGATAGTAGTATACTATATTCCACCAGTACACGTGTCCTGTACTGTACGATTAACAATACTAAGTTAGTACGAGTCATGTATTGTGCTTTTCACCTTTTTTTGGCTAATGCGGGTCTAAAACCATGCTTGATGCACGATGAAGTATTTATTACGGTTCGCGTTTTGAATCCCAAGTATGCTTGGTCGAAGCGTAAGAAAAAGGCGATTGTAGAATTGCCATTCTCTCGCGGCAAGCGGGAGTCAGCACTAGTATTTACAACACCCGGACTTTTAGTGTGGGATTATGTGGACGGTATAATACTTTTGTCGTCGTTCAATGTCTTAATCTATATTATTAGAATATTTTAGGAACATTCGATCGTGCTACGTTTCACGACATCATGGTCAAAACGATTCTGCCGTATTTGAATCCTTGCCCGCTGCCGTGTTCAATTTTCATTTTGGACAACGCAAAGATCCATATGTACATGGACCTGCAAGACGCAGTTTACATCCTATTGGTTCTCCAAAGAATGGTATCAGGTCGAATGGAGGAATTTCTAGGATGCTGCGGAGTTCTTGAATAGACAGAAAACAATCCATTAGGGCACTGTTATTCGTGCCATGAACCCGGTACGTTTCTGTGGTCTGGGCATTTATTCAGCGCCGGCGTTTGTCGTTATGACGTTAAGCCATAAGGTCAATATGACCGAGTTGCTGCATTTTAGTATTCGCGGGAAATTCAAAGGGGGTGGTCTGCAGCAACCTTGCCGTCACAACAGTTGCATAGTCACTTTGGAGAGGGCCAAGGAGAAGACTTTGGTCGTCAATGTATCCCGCAACGCGGGTCACCGCAGTCACGACGTTGTTAGAAGTTGTTCGCATAATCGCGGTGCTGGGATGCTTTTATATTTCCCAATTTACACTAATTAAATAATCGGGACAGAATTGTAACATATTCATATATTTCAAGCTTTTTACCGACGTTAATTTGAACGATGCTTAGGCATTGCGGGCCTTGCTTGCATTGTCCCAAACTCGCCGTACCACATTGTTGTAGCTTAGCAGTGTCAGTTTGACGTACTTGTTTTGCGTTGTGTTGGCTGGACCTTCCGGGTCCCACAGTTTCTTCGTGTTCGACGCGTCTGCGTGGTAGTCGGCGATGGTAGTCGAGACAGTGTTGACGACCAGGACAGAAACAACATCAATCGTAGTATCCCTGGCCACGATGAGCTCGGTCGCTTACCTACGCTGGTTTTACTCTGGCCCAAGGGTTTACCTACCTTGGTAGTGATGCGGCACCGAAAGTACTCCGCGAAAGTGACGTTCAATGGATCGCGCTGCATGTTGGTCTCGTCCACTTTGCAAGTGAGACGGTCCAGTAAATAACGACCTGTCTTTATTTAACTCATGTGCCAGGCTCTCGATTTGGGTTGTTTAACGTGTGGTTTCAATTTTGTTATCCATTGATTAGTGCGATAATACATACAATTGGCAAATTGGGTTTTATTTGGGTTTTTGGCGAAATTATAATCCCCTGGTGGATGAAATATATTGACGAAAAGTTAGATTAAATCGATAGTTGGTTGAATTATACTGCTGGTTCGGTGAAATAGAAATATAACGAAACGTGAGATCGCAACGAAATTAAATGGACGTAGCCGAAATATAACGGTGGTCAGGAGAAAGCTAAGCGAAATATAGAACAAAAAGCTGAAATTAACCGTAAAAAAGTGCAAAACACACTCTCTCATCGGTGGAGATGCTTCACGTTAATTGGACTTTATTTGCGCTGCCTCGTACTGTATGCACTGCATAGCCACACAGTTGCAAATCTCCCACACATTAGAGTGATTTTGCTACGTTATATTTCCTGAAAACTTTCACGATGGAGCCTTTTGATCTGATTATATTGGGAATTTCTTGATGAATATGTTCTGTCAGAATTTCTGACTGGGAATACCTTTTCACACACAGTAGCCAATCAAAACACTTACAGTTAAGCATGCTAAATTACCAATTTCGCTTCATGGATGAATGGCATGCACCAAACGTAGATGAGTGATAGGCAGGATGTGCTACAGTAGATGAGCGAGGATATCGTAGGCGAGTGGTGGGATAGTTCCGAACGTAAACCAGACAACAGATACGTCCTATCCCTGTGTTCATCGACCACCTCAAAGCGGTCATGTTTGTACGTCGGCACGATGCACACTACAGCCTATACGGATGGTGCAAGGTCACAAACTGCATTGCAACTACTGCACTGGGTTGTTGATGTGCGTAAAAATTGGGAGACGTGTCCTACCGGTAGGTGCTCCAAAAGAGCCGCAACAACGAATACAGCTGTAGTTCTGCTTAACGTTAAATGTGAATTTTTCCTATAAATAAAGCACCTTCCCAACATGATATTCCCCGATGGATTTTCAGGGAAATTGTATTGGAATATTCGTGTGGATTCTTGGTGCAAAATCACTCTATTATATGTAAACTACTCACATTTCGCACTTGCTAAACGTCTCTACTAACGTTAGAAATCTACTCACATTTCGCACTTCCTAAACGTCTCTATTAACGTTAGAGACGTTTAAAGAGAGAATGACGTTAAAAACGCCCCCGTGGTACTTTGTCACACTTCAGGAATAATAATATTGTTGCTGTCTTGATTGAAACATGCCACATTACAAATTGTTTTAGCCAATAGGTGACACTTATTTGCACGACGAAGAAGAGGACGTGTTACAAAAATACCTTCCCTATTGTCTGACAATTGGTGTCGTCCAGTTCACAAAAGAAAATCGACTGACATGTTACGGCTAGAATTGTACATACAAATGTTATGTCTTGTACTCTCGCCTACTTTGGTTGATACGGTGCAAAACGAAATGTCTCCTATTAAGGTCGCCTTTTAGGCCAAGGTGGTAAAACACCTTACGTCACTCGCTGTGACCCGGGTTCAATTCCCGTGATGACCCAGTCCCGCCCATTTAGGGGGACGGCTATTTCGCGCCGTGTTATTCCCGTAAAGACCGTAAGACGTCCCTTCAACAAGAGGGCGCAAACACCCCTGGTGGGATTAAGGAATATTGACTACTTCACAGTGTTTTCGCTGTGAAGTAGTTTTATTTTGGTATTTTTTGACTGTGATGTTATTTTATCATACTGCTGTAACAATGAAATACTTTTTAATCAAACTTCGTCGCAAATATACCGCTATCTATTTTGTCAAAAATACTCGTTCATGACATCAAGCACGATGATTGGCTGATTCAAACCTGCCCGTCGAAATTTGACTGCATCAGAGCCAGACACATCTGCGCTACACAACAATTCTTGCATCCCTGGGCTCTATTTGGCATGCCAGCCAACACGAAATGGAACAATGGCGAGCGGAGACACCTATTAGCTGGATTTGACCCGGCGACAACGTCATCCAAGGGGTACAGCCGAGCTCATGGCATCAACTGGCGCACGTGGCGTCGCTTGTTGAAGGACAAGGACAAGATTCTCAAGTCGAAGCGCAAAGCAACCAAGGCATCCCTGGGCGGGCAAGGGTGAATATGATTACTTTGCGGACACCGTTCGGACAATTTCAGGCGGAGATACTTGACATTTGTATTGGACTTATGGGGAACATATTTTGTCCGAATGCCGAATGGAGCTTGTCGGACATACTGTGTATAGTATATACCCGATAAGTACGATCAGCTTTACAGTACTGTAGCAAGCGACGATGGAATCCGATCTTTCCGTTTGGCGCTGAGCTACTGGTGTTCATGAACAACGTCCGCGATGAAGAGCACTACTTGATGCACACACACATGGTAACGTTCATCAAGACGCATCACATGGCCTGGTTGGAAGCGTACTTGGTGAACAAGAAATTTGACGACACAGGCTACTTCAGTCTCCTGCGCCTGTGCCAACTGTTCTCTGCCCGTCACCGATTCTCACAAGAAGTGTCTGTCGAGACCAAGATGCCTCAAGTCGACATGACTCAAATCCGTGACGAGTTTGCCGCCTCTTTTTGGAGCAAGTTTCGCATGACGGACACATGTGACATCATCAACGTCGATGAAACCTCGGTATACAACGATATGCCTCCTGGCAAGACGTTGACGAAGATTGGTGGATCGTCGAAGGTGGACAAGACACAAAAGCATTCCGACCGGATGACAGCGGTACTTTCGATACGGGCAAACGGTATGTTTGCATGGTGCGAGCCATCTCACTATTCTGCTAGGCGAGAAGCTTCCAATACTCTTCATCTTGAAGGGCACGCCTGGTGGCCTAATCGAGCGCCATGATATTCCGACGTATCCTTCCGGGCATGTCTATGTCGTGCAGTTGAAGGCGTGGATGGACAAGTCTGTGTGGGATGTCTATGTGAATGACCTGCTCAAGTTCAAAATTAGAGAGGTTTTGCAACCGTTCACTCCCATTCCCAAACTGCTAAAATGCTTCGGATTGTGACAATTGCGGTCGCAGTGGCAGCGCCCAGATTTGCGTTTTGCGATTGTCCACTTCCTTGAAATTCATCCGTATAATTAACCGGCTGATTTGAAAGCGCGTGAACACTTTGGCACCAGTCGTCGTACAGTGTGGCTGATTGTTCTGACGCAGATCGAGCTCCACCAACTCCTGCCCTTGGCCCGTACAAGTCAGCAACGCCGACGTATCCTCCTGCTGTGTGCCCTGGCCAATGTGGAACGTCCTCTTGTGCCGGACATAAGATTCAATCTCAACCGTGTGCCCGATGCCAATGCTCGTCTTGACTTTCGTTTTGACGTTGCTGGAATAAAGAGCCTGGGATACCTGCTCGGACTACCTGCCGTTGTCATAACCACACAACGCTATCGTGTCAACCGGGACGAGGCAATGTGCATTGTCCTGGGACGCCTGGTGTTTCCGACGCGCCTGCACACGATGTCTCGCACGTTTGGTCGCTCCCGGCCGGCTCTGTGTGCGATCTTCAACCACGTTATTGGAGAGATATTTGACTGCTGGAAGTCATAAATTTACTTCAACGACCGTCTCGTGCAACGAAACATCGGCGCGTATTGCGATGCTGTTTACAGCAAGGGTGCCCCTTTGGGAAACGTATTTGGTTTTATCGACGGAACTAAAGTGCAATCGTGTCGGATTTCGTCGACCGGCGGCGGCCAAAATTTTCAGCGCCAAGTTTACAGTGGCCATTAAAGGATCCACTGCTTGAACTATCAAGCTGTTGCTGCCCCCGATGGAATTTGCGTGCACTTCTTTGGCCCGGTTGAAATACGCCGTCACGATACGACGATGCTGCGCCTTAGTGGGCTGCTAGACTACCTCGCTCGCCCAGTCTCATGTCTTTGCTGGCTCGTTCATCTACGGCGATCCGGCGTATGGAGTGTCCCAACATATTTTGTCGGGATACAAAGGCAATGACATCTCGTCAAGAAAACGCGATTTCAACAAATGGATGAGTCGTGTGCGGCAATCAGTCGAGTGGAACTTCATGATCATGAAGTCACTTTGGGCGTTTATTACGTTCAAAAATTTGTCCAAAATTCGGCTCTCCCCGGTGGCGAAAATTGTGTGCGTTGCCATGCTCCTAAATTGCCATTGCTGCTACTACGGTGGAAACCAAATCAGCGACTACTTTGGACTGGAACCGCCATCTCTTAAGGAGTACCTCGACACTTTCGAAGTTGTAGTTGTTTGAGTATACCCCAATACAGTTACATTTTCTACAACCAGTTCTATTTCAACAATGTAGTTTAAGATAATGCGTGCCAAGTAATATTACTATCGGTTTGTGAGGACAGATAATTCATTTCAACGACGGTATGTTTACTGTCGCTTAGTGAGAGCACCTAGCATCGCAAGAATAGTTTCGTGGTGCAGACGCGCTTGTTCCGCCGCCAGTTCGCGGTCTTTTTGACGCTCCTCGCGCTCAACCTCCAGCTGAAACTTGCGGAACTCCAATTCAGACTGACGCAGACCACGTTCCGCCTTGCTTTCCTCTTGCATGGCAGTAGTGATCTTCGTGAACCGGCTGCCGCTGCCGGACGCTTTTTCGCCGTCATCATCGCACTCTTGGTGCTTGCGCTTGCCAAGCGAGTTCATCGCTTCGTTACGAATGCACTCACCTTCTCGCTCACTCTGATCCACTTTGTTCGCGTCGTTGACCAGGCGTTTCTTCTCTTGCTCCTTGGCATCGACAAAGGCGGCCAAAAGCTCATCCAGCAGCGCAATACGCTCGTCGTACGTTTCCGCAACCCCAGAAGCCCTAGCCGATTCTCTGTTATAATGGACATGGTTGTCCATTACAACAGAGAATCGGTTTTAGGCCTTCTTGGGGTCGAATTGGGGCCTTGCGAAGTCCTCATGGTCCGCCAACGCTCTGGCAACAAGTCCCCAAACCTTCATGACTTCGCCCTTCTTTGTTTCGAACGGTCTCTCCGCGTTCACCTGCCGAAACAGCATGATGTCTTCTTGTTCCGTGTACAGGCGGCGCTTGTTGGGTGTTTGCATGACGGGTCCAATCGGAGTTTGCTGCTGCCATCACTCAAACCCGCCTTGCAGGTTTTCTTGGAGGGTGCAATAAGATCCGATTGGACGCGATTTGGAAACACAGGCCCAATCAAAGTCTACCAAGTTCGCAGTGGACGGGAACAGCAATCCGTGAGATTACCACATCTCAGGGATTGGCGATTTGATCTGGCAGGTTCCATTGCGAGTCCACAACAAATTTTACAGGTAAACTTCCAGTTTTGTCACCATCTGACTTTCGGAATGGGAGTGGACGGTTGCAAAACCTCTCTATCGATGGGCCACCCGTTGTTGTGGCTGACAAGTTGGAAGCACATGTCACCCCGGAGTCCTACGATACGGTGGTATCCAAGCTCTTTAGTCTGTTGCAGCCCTTGCCCAAGAACACGACAAGCATAGTGCCAGCCGTTGGACGAGGGGGTCACGGGACCTCTGAAAAGTAAGCTTCGCTCCATGTGGTTGCATGAAGTGCCAGTTGTGACCGCGTCTGGGAAGCGACATGCTATGATCCTGCGAACAATTACAGCGTGGGAGGCCATTGCCAAATACATTGGTCACTCGGGCTTTCTTGAAGGCTCTTCCCGATGTAAATGCAGCTGTGGTGTAAATTTTGTACGACGTTGCATTTTTGGTCGTCGTTTAGTGTAAACTGTGATTGGACTAAAAATGACCAATCAACACTGGCAGGATTGCAAGTATTCGTGCTTGACACAATTATATTTTTTCAAAATCTCATTCCAAGTAATACAATTCCCGATACAAAAACCAAGTAACCCGAAGCGTACCACGGGGGCGCTTTTTACGTCACTTTGTACTTCAATCTTAGCGATGTCTGAAGTTGGAAGTTTAAAGAATTCAGGAGCGATCTCAGCGCCCGTCGTCCTTGCCTTGGCATAGGGTGATCATTGATATTGATATTACGCTGTAACGTTGAAATCACTCAGCGGGCTGGCACCGGGTGATCAGGCGGTAATCATCGGCGGCTTGGTGCGCGGCGGCGAGGAGTACACTGTGATGTACTGCCCTGAGCTACAGCTCCTGACAAACGTACTGCATCACTGCACATACCCGCGCTTGTGCACTATCCTAACACTAGATACTGTATTACCTATGTGTCGGCTGAAGCGAGTCGGAGCATGTTGGCGTGAGTGGATATTTTGCAAGCAACCCTCAATGAGCAATTTGATTGGCTCGGAAAGTTGTCAGATGTCTGCGGACTTCGAGGTCAAAAGTTTAGAGCCCATTAATTGACCGCTCCTAACCCCTTTGCACCCATTTTGGGCTGTTTTCATTGGCTATAATTCATTTTTCTCAGATTTTGAGAGCAATACAAACTCCAAGTTAAGGTACTTGGTCGTTGAACAGGCCTCGTCAGGGAGCGGCACGGCCTACGGCCTACCTGCCGCTTTTCCCGACGAGAGGAAAAGATAGGAAGTCCCGTGGGGCACGATAGCGTCGCGCCACAGCGCTCGCTTTGGTGCGAGTCGCTCTACACTCTATCTACGCTATGTATAAGTCTATCTACGCTATGTATAAGTCTATCTACGCTAGGGAATAAGTGGGCACAAAGCTGGAGTTGAACTGGTGACCTTTCGGACCCCATGTTCAAACCGCTAGACCACAGTGGCTGGTTCATTTGGAATTGCTGTTAAGCTTAGCGTATACAAAAAGAATCTGAGCACAAAGAATTATATCCAATGAGCAGCGACCACACCCATTACTACAGGGTTAGGTCGTCGTAGGAGCGGTCAATTAATGAGCTCTCAAAAGTGTGATGACTTAAGATTTCGCACTTGCTAAAAGTCTCTACCGGTACTACTGTCGCTATTAATGTACGACGTGTCAACAGATGCTGCACTGGAGGAAGTTCGAACTGTGTCAAGAGGGACGATAAAGGGGATAGCGCTGGGGAGGAACGACGACGAAGAACACTTGTGTGGTCGAGGGCAAAACCAAAGATGATCATTAACGGACTGTTTAGCTGACCTATGATTGGGCATAAACAGTCCGGTTTCTACAGAAAGAGAACACCGGATAATTCCGGATGACCGGATAATTCCGGATGACCGGATATTATCCGTAAGTGACCGAACCTCGGCGAAAAAGGCCAAAGCAAGAACGGCCAAAGTGCCCCTTCTTGACAAACTGCATGTATAGCCTTTAGTAACTTAACATCTGTTCTATAATATTCCCACCTTGAGACCAGTTTACAGCACTTGCATTGTGCAAACCAAGTGCAAAGTCAAAAATAACAGCATATTATCACAACAACAACTAACGACTACAAGGACAGACACTTGTGTTCGTGTTACATACTACGGAGTACGCAGTACAATTCAACTCGTCGGATAATTCCGAATGTCCACTGCAAGCACCAGTTTTTTTAGTCAACTCCATGAGATGCCAAAGACAGTTGACGACCCAATGCGTAGCTGTATAGCCGTGCGTCGATGGCATCACCGTGCTCAGTGTGACGCTCTTGGAGCGTTTCCAGCAGCGAGTGCATGGGCACATGAAACACTTGAATCATTTCCGTGTCCTCCAACGCTTGTGGAGGCGGGGACGCATCGTTGCCAGAGTTTGAAGTCGCCGTGGAACTCTCAACCTCGACGACGACGAAGCGGCAACTTCCATTCGTGATGCCTATCATTGTCGTTCGTTCGCAAAGTGTTCATGTGTTCGCTACATCAGCTGTCAAGTACCTTGATCGGTCACAATGGGAGGTCCGACGGACACAAACTTGGTCACGTCGTAGCCCGTTTCTTCTTTGATTTCACGCGTCACCGTCTCCTCCACGGATTCACCTGCATCGATCAGCCCTGCGGGAAGTTCAATCGCCCAATTGTCTACAAAACATATTCAGACGTAATCCCAGTGGCTAAGCTGTACCAAGCGGTGGACGGAACTGACGGATCAGCACAGCACTGCTGCCAGCATCGCGGCGTACCAGCGGAAGCACCAGCACGGCATCGACATCTGCCGTCACCGGTCGCGTCGTGCGCTCCACACTGACATAAGACCGCTCAATTGCGTTTAAGTCTTTGTACCGGAGCTCCTTCATGCGGAGCCATCGTGTCTCGTGCAGCACTTTGGCCGCCACGACTCGCGGCAGTTGCGGCATGCTTCGATTTGAGATCTGCCATTGGTGTGTACTGTTAATAGCCAATGAGCGTGTGTAGTTTGGTGAGTAGGTCAAAATTTATAGCCAATCCAATGATTTTGAGCGTTATATTGCAGATTCGGAATGTATTATTCACCAATACAGCAAAATGTCCCTATTATATTATAATCTTGTAATTGGCTACAATATCCTTTTGGATTTCAACTGGATGGATAATAGCCAATCCGATGTCTCCACCTGGTTTGTGCTACATTCAAGAGCACTGATTGGTGAATAATCTCCAGCATATTATATACTGCTAGGAAATACAGCAGCCGTCGTCGTCGTTAGCTTTTGGCGGCGGTTTGTACTCGGCAGCGCGCTTCCGCTCCCTGGCTTCCTGGCGGAGAAAGTACCCGTTCTTGATTCTATGCGTCTCTTCGCTTCTACAAGTTTCCACATCCTGTCATCCATGTTTGTCCACATACATGAAGGGTCACCGTCGAATGCGTTCCATGTCGTTCTCATACATGTCCTGCGCAATGTGCATGCCATAGCCTTGGTTCCGCGTCGCGGTCCATCGCGCAGATCGCTGCGCGTGAATGCCGTAATGATGGGCATACCATACATCGTGGTTGATCCCGTACATGGGGTTGCTATCAAAGGCCATTACGAACATGTGATGGTGTTTGCAAAGGGCGGCTGTACTCTGAATCGTGGGCGTTACTGCGGCGGGTGTGACCGCGTGGGGAATACTCGGTATCGTGTCGCGACGACTGCGCACCGTGTCGATGGGTTGCGCGATGGCTCGAGCCAAAACGATTGCTTTGGCTTTGGTCGTAGTCTACGCAAGATAATGGTGAATAATCGATCGATTACGAAGCCAGGAGCTTACCTGCGCGAGAGTCAGGGTCTGATAGCATAGCATGAGCCTCGTTCACTTGCTTGAACAACGTGGCTTTCTCCTATCGTATGTGGGCTGAGCAATGTTGGCGGGTCGTGACCCGCAGCAAACCTGATCGTTGCCAGTGGCGTCGGGATGCAACTGCTTGGCTAGAACCAGATAGTCGTCATATGTATCATTAATGACTGCGAGATGGTATACCTAGCTTCAGGTACGCTTTCCTTATGTCCTTCTGGGTGGCATTCCTATGCACATCGTCATTTCACCATGGTGGTCGGGTCGCTCTTCTTACCGCGCCACATTCAGCAAGCGATACGGGTCCATGCTGCTGGAATTCTACGATATCAGGAATCCGGATATTTTCGTCCAATCACATTGCAAGGCTGAAATATTCCGGTTGCTGGATCAACAAAAATAATGTGTTTCGATATATTAATATTATTTGGTGGAACCGAACCACACCGCCAAATATATCGGACACACGGCCACCATCATCGGGGGCAGTTTGTGGTGAAGCACCTCCTACAGTACACTACTCAGGCTGCAACGACATTCAGGAAATCAGGAAAGGAGGTATGTGTATTATTTATGAAGGTATGTATATATATATATATATTTGAGAATGACCAAAACGATTCAGCTTTCTAGTCAAAAGACGTGCCAGGCAGCACTTCGTCGGTGCTACGAACGTCAATGTCGATGGTGTCCGTGGGTTTTGGCGACGTAGTTGCCATGGTGCGAGTCTCGTGCAAGTCGTCGTCGTCGTCGTCAATGATTTCACGGGTCTTGACAGACTCCGCCTTCGCTTCTTTGGTGGGGTAGTTCGTCGGTTGTACCTTGGTTTGCGTGACGTGGGTGTCCTTGCCGTCGTCGTACGCTGGGCCCCCATGTTCCATGACATCCAAGCCCACCACTTCAACTGTGGTATCTGGCCGCAGCAAGTGCAGCTTCTTCAGGGACACAAACAGCGCCGTGCAAAACGCGCCAACCCACGCCAGAATTGCCAGCACATACACGACTTGAGCGGCCAATTGGCTGCCTTGCAGTCCGTTGCACTTGTAAAAGATGCCGCACGATCCCGTGCCAACATACATCGCCACGCCCTTGGACGACGCAAACAAGCCGGGCGCCAGGGCACCTAAAGTGCCGCAGCCCAAGTGCACGGGGATGGCGTCGACGACGTCGTCGATGCCGCACTTGACTACGAGTTTGGACAGTGCTAGGTACAACACGGCGGCGATCGCCCCTAGCGCGACCGCGCCTTCCGGCTCGATCACGGAGCAGCTGCCAGTGATGGACACACAACCGGCCAAAATCCCGTTGTTGCCCATGCACGGATCCCACGACTTGGACCCGACCAGCTTGTCCAACAACACCGTCAAGATCCCCCCCGTGCACGCCGCCAGCGTCAGGTTCACCGCGACCTTGGCCATGACGTGCCCCATCGTGCCCGACAGACTGAGCGTCGACACGCAGTTGAACCCGTACCAGCCAAACCACAGCACCAACGTGCCCATGCATTGGTACATGACCGACTGCTTTGGCATTTCATTGGCGGCACCATCCGATTTGAACCGACCGGTGCGGGGGCCAACGACGAGACACCCCACCAACGCGGACATGCCCCCCACCATGTGGATGCAGCCGCAGCCGGCGAAGTCAATGGCGCCGACGCCAAAGAGAAGCGCCGACTTGGGCGCGAGCACGCTGGCCCACCCAGTGGTGGACCAAATCCAGTGTGCCGCCACGGGGTAAAAGAAGGCACCCATGAGCAACGAGTACAAAAAGTACGCGTGCAAAGTGATGCGTTCAGCGACCGCGCCCGAGAAGATGGTCACGCAGACCGCCGCCACAGCCCACTGGAAGAACCAGTCGGCGTAGTGGCGGCCGTTGAAGGTCGCGATGTCGTCGGTTTGGAACTGCGGTCCTTGGAGGAAGAACCGCGAGTGCCCAATGAACGCGTCGCCGTCCGAGAAGGCAATGCCGTACCCAACCGCGTAAAATGTGACCCCCGTGATGCATAGGTCCATGAGGTTGCGAAACAGAATGTGTTTGGTGTTTTTGACGTGGCAGCACCCTATTTCGAGCAACGCAAAGCCCAAGATCATGAAGAAGATCATCATGCCCCCAAAGAGAAGCCAAAACAGGTCGAGCGCGGTGGCGATGGTCGTGGCCGCGACGCTTTCAGTCGACGAGGACAAGGCCTTGGTGAGTTCTTGCCATGTCATCGCCATCACCACCCCATTCACGGTGACGTTCACAGTCGCATTCAAGAGCATATCAACACCGACGACCATAGTGCTGAGGTGTCGGGTTTGATGTCGACTGAACCAAGCGTCAAGACAAAGAAAACCTAAGAGCTAAACATAGATATTGTTGGCATCATGACTTCATCTTGATCACTAGACCTTTGTGTGAGCCGTGAAACTGTTTGTAACGTAACCAACCTATGACATAAGCGCATTATGGTGGCAGAGCTACAAGAATTGCGTTCGTAGTACCGCGTCACAGAACTTGTGAGGAATTCGGACGTTTGATTGGTGGATCAACCTGACCAATCGCACGTCGACTGCTGTCGTGGCTTGAACACTTCAAGGATTGGTTGAAAATAAGGTGCTTCAACCAATCCGATCCCATCATTCAAACAATTCCCATGATTTCCACATCACAGTGGACATTCCAATTCACAGCATGTCGCCGGAAGAGCTTACGTTCACGCTGGTGCTGCTGGCACTGTATGCGGTCCCATCGACGTTCCTTGTGCTCCGACGTCTCTTCACCGACCCCAAAGGTTGCCTGACCAAATTCTTCGTCCTGAACTTCGTCGTGCTCCTGCTCTCGTTCTTCTTCGTGTGGCAACTCGTGGAAGCAATCCAAACAAGCGACATGATCGCGTTCGACCCATACGAGATCCTCAACATTCCAGGGTATTCCACCAAGAAATCCATCCGCAAGGCCTACCGCGCACTCAGCCAGCAACTGTACGTCGTTCGTTGACCACCCTCCCCCATGTCGACATCGCCTGTCCACGCTCACGTCCATGTAGGCACCCCGACAAATCGCGCGATCCGTTGGCCGCGTCCAAGTTTTCCCGCGTGGCCAAGGCTTACGAAGCCCTCACGGACCCCGCGGGCATTGCCAACTACAAGAAGTACGGCCATCCTGATGGGAAATCGTTCCACCTTGTCGACTTCAAAGCGGTACAGTCTTGGATCTCTCTCTGTCCAGCCGCGCATCTTCGCCTCTCATGCATAGCGTACATGCCACACTATGGATGCATCCAACGTTCATCCATGGACTGGAAGGAATACTGACTCATACGTACATATATGTAGATGAGCGGAACCACGGGCCTCGCCATCATCGCGGCCGTCTATGGCGGTGTGCTCGTGGCCGGCATTTTGATGGCGCTGTTCGGCGGCGACCGGTACAAGCCAGAGGTGAACCCGGAGCTGGTGGAGCGCATGATGGCGGGATGGCACGATAAAATGTCGACATTTGAGATTTTGACACGAATTGTGACGGGGGTTAAGCAGCCATTGGAGGAGAAAGCAGCCGGCGTACGTCATGACGACGACATGCCAAATGTCCTCAATTCTAATAACTTAAACCAAATGTCCTCCATTCTAATAACTTAAACCAAATGTCCTCCATTCTAATAACTTTATGACTTAGAACTGCTGCGGCGGGGGCGGCTCCCTCTACGAAATGGACGACGACATGAAGGCATTCTTGGTGGCGCTGGAAACCCACCAGTGCATATCGGCGATCGAACACCGCGATATTTCGCGCATCACAGGCCAAGACCACGTCCAACGAGATGTGATTGCCTTGTACTACCACTTGAATCAAGCCAAAGTGCACGCCGTGAAGGACCTCGTCGTGCCTTGCATCTGTACGACCTCCCGATTCATGGATTCGTGGCCATGTGGATGTATTGACGATATTTGGTTTGTAGTACCCCCCCGGGCCAAAGACATTGCGCTGCAACTGCCGTACTTGCTCGACGTACGTTTACTACATTAGCACGTTTATGTCATGACCCCAACTATTCCACCTGTTGTACGACCCTGTTTGGTCGTCCAACATGTGCACACATATCCATTTGGATTTGATATTGTGCATTGGGACTTGAGTCATTTCGCCAAATACCACTCGAGTCTATACTATACCACGATTCGTATATATGTGGTTTTGCCCAATAATGCGGAGGGGTCAAACGTTTGGATTGGCAGAAATTCGACATGACGTGATATTTGATTGGCTCAGGCGGTTGTTTAATCGATTCTCCCAAGACATTCGATGATTCGGCTATGTTACAAGTTGTGGGGACGATAGAGTGTTGGTTGACTAGAGGAGTGTTTGTACTTTTTTGTTAGGTGTTTGTGGAGCTGTCCATCAAGATGGTAGCGGACAAGCGGTCCGACTCGGCGACGATTGTGCATGCGTTGCGGTTGTATCCGTCGCTGGCGCAAGGGTCGCTGGTTGCCGACGCGGCGGCCATTGCTGTGCAGCGGGGGCGGTTTCCAGACGGCGCCAAGGTCAGATTATTGCCCATGTGGGGGATGACGCTGTCACAGTGACGTTTAACGTTGTCGCAGCAGGTACCGCAGCTGACGTTAACCGAGGCCACGTTGACCGTGGACGGCGAAAGCGACGTGTTCCCCAAGGATTGGGTGACGTTGCGCGTGACGTGTGCGCGTCAGCACGTGGTGCCATCGAAACCAGCGGCCAAGGCTCTGACCATATACGACAAGATCGATCCGTCGTATTTGTACCGAAAGGAGCAGCTGTGGGTCGTGGCTTACGAAGGGACGACGCACACTTTGCTTGGTGCGTGGAAGGTTGAAGACCCCTCAGACAGCCATCAAGTGTCGGATGCGCTCGGGTTCTGGGCGCCAGCGTCCACGGGTACGACGCCGTCACTCTCTCTCTTGTGTAGTTTGTTAGATATTGATCTAGTGGGATAACACGTAGGCGCGTTCAAGGTCGAGGTCAGAGTCTTGTCGACGACGTACTTGGACGTGGAGGCTAGCCAGACGCTGACGTTGAACGTAGTTAAGCAACCGCAGCAGCACCAGTCGACGTCGATCTTTGAAGAACTCGACTCGGACGACGAGTAGTCGAGATAACATTATATGCAAAGTTAGTGTTGTCCTGAGAATTTTTCGTTCCTGTGCTTGAGCTTTGCTTGTTGCGTGTACTGAAGACGAGCGAAGGTGGCGTTAGTGGTTACCCTGTACATTTAGCTGCCCTCTCGGTTACAAGTAGTTACTGTATGTGGCAAGGCACGAGTGTACTGTATATATTATATGGTACTGTGAATTTCACCCAAATTTGGACTTGAGAGTCATTTCGCCAAATAGCTTTCGAATCTACAGTATTTGATCCTATTTAAGCTTGTACACACTATACTATAAAACGATTAGTATATATGTGGTTTTGCCCAATAATGCAGAGGGGTCAAACGTTTGGATTGGCAGAAATTCGACATGACGTGATATTTGATTGGCTCAGGCGGTTGTTTAATCGATTCTCTTAGGATGGACGAGATTTCCCAATGAGAAATATCCTTTAACACATTCGATTCTGCTGAGGGCTCCAGTTTCGAATCGATTTGACAATACAATATTATATATCTACCTTGCATTCCACGTGAGTTCTGCTATTACAATGGCATCGAAAATCACCGTGTGCCGTGTTCATTCCACTCGTCGGTGGGAGAAATTTCCCCTCGAGCGATTTACCATTCTATTAATAACGTTAATATATGTATCAGTGATCACATCTAAACAACATGGCCATTTGAATGAACGCCAACCACAACAATTCGATAGCCCCGCCCCTTCTATCAATTCTGGCCAGGGAATACTGCACTGATGCCATTTGCTATGTACGTACGTACAGCAGTATTTTTTAATACGTAGTAACAGTTACTAGTATTACGGGAGTTCCTAAGTAGTTTTTAGGGGAAGTTCCAAGTAGTTTTAGGGGAAATTCCAAGTAGTTTTACTGCAAAAATCCCTCAATTATGGTGCACATCGCCACTTTTCACAAAATTTTCTTGGTGCTATTTCGTTTTCATTTCTTAAAATTTTAGCGAATAGAGACGGAGAATCGAGAGATCTTAACGTGGTGAAGAAAGTCTACGTCTCAGATTTAAATTTGGTGAAGATTTGGTCACAAGAAATAGACATTTAAAACCAATTTTGATTCCCTCGGTCAGAAAGGTTTCCATGAGTTTATGCAATTTTATTTTTTATTTCATATTTTATTTTATTTTTAATAAAACACAAAAAAAATATTATTAAAGAGAATTGTTGGATGTGGGTTCGATTGGTACATACTGTATTGCTCAAGAGTTAATTCACTGTTAAAAGTGAATTCGACCTTCGACTGACAACAAACAAGTCAAGCAATTCACGTTCGAAAAAATATTGGATACGATCTGGGATCGAACTCGGGACTAATTGTAAGTTGCAGTTGTCCTAGCAAAGTTACTGTAGTGATACAGTTCAGAAATTGATCATTTTTGATTGGACAAAACAATCCTTAACGCGCCAATCGAATGGCGGGTTTCGCGATCTTGTTCTACAAACGAAACGATGGACGAGCTCCACTTGGAAGCGAATGTGAACCCTATGCAAGATGCTGCGCGGGAGAATGACGTGGCCGCGTTGCATGCGTTGCTCTCTTCCCATGACGTTGATGAAGTGGACCAGTACGCCCTCACGGCGCTGCATTGGGCGTGCGATGCTGGCAGCTACGAGGTGGCGGACGCCTTGTTACAGGCAGGGGCGGACGCGAACCGGGTCGAGGACCGCCACTTCAAGCGCCGGCCGGTTCATTTTGCCGCCTTGAAAGGGTCCAAGGGCCTTCTCGAGCTGCTTCGGGAAGAGGGCGCGGCCGACATGCACGCCACCGACGGCACCGGCAGAACCCCATTGCATTGTGCTGCACACAGTGGGTCCGTGGAGGCCGTCGCGTGGCTACTTGATGTTGCTGACGCGGACGAGATGGCCGTGACCTACGACCACCACACGGCCTTGGACGTTGCGACGCTCAACTACCAATGGGATGTCGTCAAGTACCTCGAGTCTCGCCACGACCACTACTCGCGTGACCAAGTCAAGCCACGAGACACAACAACGCCGTCACACCCCATGCCGTGTAGCAGCAGTCGCCCCGAACTGGACGAAATAATGTCGTAGCTACTGCATTCCAAGTGACTATTAATGTAGATGGCCAGTTTATGTAGACTCTGGTAAGGTGCACTCAAATTGGCCAAAGGTCTTGCTTGATGTATGGAGATGACCAATTTTGTCCAACTTATGGTGCACACTTGAAAGAGCCCTCGTCGTGGAATTCAGCTGACTCGTCTCTCAGGACCGGATTTCAATTCTGAAAGTGCTGCATGATTGGGCATTCTGCTGTATTACTTAACCCGCTGGAATATACTTCACCTTAGCTCTCATTTACTTCGATATCCACTCAAATCAAGGCAACATAGGAGGGACGGTTTTATTGTGCACGGCTTAACTGTAAGCTTAAAATATGTAACGTTATGCAATATACTGCTTATATTCTAGAGCTTCATTTGGCTACTACGAAGTCCATACTATTAATACAGTGTAGTATTATTAATAGTACTTCGAAGTATAGTATACTAATTCCTGTCGAAACTGTACTACGTAGTATACCACTATTATTATTAGTAAAATACTACTCTTATTAATAATACTCCAGTACCTATAATACGTACTAACTTACCTAGTAACTTATTTCTGGTATGTTGTTTAAATTTTACGCGAGAGTGAGCCCTTTAAATTTGATACATGAAGAACGAATAAAACCTAAAACCTTGGATGTTATACTGTACTAGTAAATGCTTTGGGTGAAAATTGACAATTACTTGTTTATGCATTCACAGTAGTCAAATCTCTGGCGTTATTCAGTTTCATCGCCATTAGATGTGAGAGGTTATTCAAACAAGAAGAACCTACACGCCATACAAACTCTCATATCAATAGCCATTGATTTGGCTGAGAGAACGGTATTAAAAAAAAAGGTCGTTAGTTGATGTCGTTGACTATTAATACAGGTATTAATTACTAGAAATGGTACATCGTCCTTGATTATTTACAACTATTAATTGTGCTATTTATAGTACTGGTATGCATTAATATATTTGACTTTGATTGCAAGCACAAACTTCAGCCAGTTCTATAGCACTACTAAAGTACTAAGTAGTACTACCAGTCTCGTCATCGAACTAGAACCTAATTACAATTCGTCCTTCGTAGGTGTGGTCGGCGTTTTCACGCGTTTCTTTTTGCCTTTCGAGGCTTTGGTCGTTTTCTTTTTCTTTTCTTTGGCTTTGGAGGCGGCGGCGGCGGCGTCAGCCGCCGCTTGGGCGAGTTTCCGCGCCTCGGCTTCTTCGTGGAGCTGTCGCTTTCGCAGCTCGGCTTGCTTGAGCTCTTCTTCCCGGATTTCTCGCAGCATGTCCTCCACGTCTCCATCATCTTCGTTGTCGTCGTTGCTAACCACCGCATCTTCGTCCTCTGCCCTCCCCGCGCATTCTTCTGCCAACGCCGGCGCCGTGGACAGCGGGATCGTCTTGGTCTTGCCCGACAGCACACTCTGCACAAAAGCGAGCGTGGCGTCCACATCTAGCCCCCCCACATGGCGGACATAGCGCCGTTTGCCAGGGGAATAGACTACGATCGTCGGGATCTGCCACGCGTCCGCGCCCAGGGCCGCGGCAAACTCGCGCTGGCACACTGCATCCACCGTGATAAACTGGAGCGGATGTTGGTTCTTGGCTGCCACGTCGTTCAAAATGGCGCCAGTCGACACGTCCGACGGCCCGTTCGTGAACCCCACGACACACAACGACGTGCAGGCGTGGGTAAACTCGGCTTGGGACGTCACGGGGTGTACTACTGGCTTTTGTTTTCCAGCGTTTTTGGCTGGCTCGTTGGTGGGTACGACGTACGCTTGCACGACCTGGTCGAGAAATCGACGGACGTTGGCATATGTTGGCGGCCCCATGAGCTTCTTGTCGTAGAACGTCATGGAGAACTGATCGCGCGGCACGGACGGGTCGCGCGGGGACATGACGGCCACCATCGCGGGCAATTTGCTCAATCCAAACTGTTGTTTGGTCTGGTCGTCGGGATGAAACACGACGCCGACGTGGACTTGAGACGGAAACGACAGCGCCAGGGCTTGCACCATCACCGGCGTGTCTTGTTTGGCGGTGAAGAGGACAAAGCTGATCGTGTTGGGGGTGGTTATCATGCGGCCAAAGAACGCCTGGATGTCGGACGGGCCGTACAGCGCCGCCGTGGCATCGGGTAAACTCGCGACGAGTTGCTTCGCAACGCCCGAAAGCGACGCGGCGGATGGGGCCTTCTCCAGGGACACGGACGGACCGTAGGGCACGGTGAAGATGCCGTGGGAGGAGGAGGGAGAAGAAGGAATGTCGACCATTGCGACGCGGATCAGATCAACGCCAACTTTGCGCTCAAGGTCGGCGATTGTGTGTGTCCACTCGTCCGAGGACGGATCGACGACATTGGGTGACGATTTAGACTGTATTACGACGAGCCATGCCGCGGAAGTGTTTCGCACGGCCACGTCGAGCTCGTCGCGGCTGAGCCACAACGACGAGGATGACGCTGCTGTGGAGGAAGGGTCGGCATTCTGGGGCACATGCGGCAGCAGGAACCGCCGCAGGTCGTGGACGTTGGTGATGTCGCCGTCGCTTTCTTGAAACAACGTGAGAGAAGATGACGAGGGGCCAACGAGCAGCGACGGCACGGACGAGACTTGGAACTGGTCGAGGACCGCCGGTGATTCCGCTAACGCAAAAAAGCGTAACGATGGAAACTCGATCGAGAGTGACTTGTACAGCAACGACGGCGAGGATTTCTTCGTCACAAGGATGACGCGAGGGGGATTTGTTGAGTCGGCGGTCGTGGTGGCATCGGTGGAAACGCCCCACGCAATGTCGTCGTCTTGCCAGGACGTAAGCACCGCGGACGGCGCCTTGTCCCGCACGACTCGCTTTACGCCGCGGACGTCCAGGCGCGATGGAAACTGATGCGCTAATTCCAACGTCCGATACATGCGTTTTTGGTACGGGTTCAACTTTGGTTCGTCGCGAAACAAGATCAAAATTGGAGGCGTTGCCGCCTGGAGACCATACGACTGAGCCACGTCCGCTGAGATCCATGCAAACGATACAGCATACGACAACTCGGCGCCTACTTGATCCAACACGGACAATATCGGGTCGTCTCGGGCGCCGTACAAGGCTATCCACAGCTTCTTGGACGTCTCCATCTCGGACGCTCGCGTTTGTGCTATCGTGGCAAACTCATGCACGTGTTTGTGCGTCCACGTCGACGTTGGGGCTTCCTCGGCGACCGTGACATCCATCGTGATCATGGCAAGGAGCATCGACAGGACAAGGACCCATGTTGCGATGCCGCCGCGCGATCGACCCTTCGACATCAAATATACACGGAAGATTTCAAACTGAAGATCCACGAAAATGGATTTTCTAGAAGTTCGACAAAGTTCGATTTTCCAGTCAGTCTAAACTACTGTAGTAGTCCTTTTAAGTGCGCATCTGGTCAAAATAATCGCACTTCAGAGAGATATCGTCCCTCACCATGCCACGTCACCAAACAAATTCGTACCTACTACGTCGTAATTGAATCCGGATATGGGTTATCTATCCGGATATTCCCATCACAACTCGTAACGCCCTTGGCTCGTTGATCTTCATTGCGTGGGTTGTACAGTAATATCATGGAGGGTGTGCTGTGGAAACGAGGAAAGACGCTGGTGAGTTCGTGGCACGAGCGGTACTTTGTGCTCAAGGACGCGACGTTGGCGTACTTCTCCAAGGCTGGAGATCTGCAGACCCGCGGGATGATCGAGCTCACCACGGACGCGCATGTGTCTGCCATCGAGCTCAAAAAGAAACACAGCTCCAAGTCGCTGTACTGCTTCTCCATCTTTTTCCTGCATGCCCTGCCAAAGGACCATCATCAACCTGCGGGGTTCATGGTCGGGTGCGAGAGCCGCGAGTACGCCACATGTTGGCGAAATGCCATCATCCACGCCATCGACAACACGGACGTCTCGGTCGACCACCATCCCCGTAGCCCAACGACGGCGCCGGCAACAGCTGCATCGTCGTCTTCTTCTTCGTCCTCCTCCCTTCGCCGCGAGCCAATCCACATGGGTCAACCGTCTTCAACGTCGTCGTTGGACTTGCAGCAACAGGACGTTGGCCGCCGCGAGCTTTTGGCCAAGATGGATCGCAAGTGGCCCATGTTCCGAGGCACGTACGACGTCTGCAGTGTCGTCGGCGGCATGACCATCCATTCCGAGCAGCGCAGCAGCAAGCCAGCTGGTAGTGGTGACGCGTCGGCGTCATCGTCCAAGCCAGAGTGGCAGAGCTGGCAGCAGCTCAACTCGCTACTCGTGTCGGCCATCTCCGTGGCCGTGATTTCGTTTGTGGCAGGTCTGTCGTATCTACGACTACTACTAGTATTACTAGCTTGACACACAACCTGGAACAGGCGGCATTGGCGGGATCTCAATCCCAACTTCGTTTGCATTTGCATTGGCCGCGGCCGGCGGCACCCTGTGGCTGCGGTCTGCCGACGAGGACGAGGACGTTCCGAGCTTCAAAGCGTCTCGCGTGGTGCCAGGGACGCCGCTCGAAGTGTTTCGGCTACTCGTCGACACGTCCGTGCGCGGCCTGTACGTTGGGTTTCGTCCGAGGAGTAGTAGTACTAGTACTAGTACTAGTACTACTACTAGTACATTGGCCGTACTAGTTTGGTCCTACTAGACAGGTGTAATTTAGGTGGGACGGAGCCGTCGACTCGATGCGTGTCCTGCAAACCCTCGACGCTCATTCGGACATTGTCCACATCGTGTTCAAGCCCGTGTGGCTGTGGCCTCTGTACGTGATATTTAATTTACTGTTAGACACTTTCGTATATATTTTTAAAATTACATTGAATAGAATTAATATACAATTTTGTTTTTTATATATATATTATATTTCCTTTTCATAGTTCGAATCGATGAATCCTCGTTTTTTATTATCTCTAGAAATGTATACAGCAATTTGTCGTTTTGGTGACGATACATTATTAATATACATGTTGGTTTACACTACACGCAGGGTGAAGAATTAATTTGGTCAATCTCGTTTGGATGTGATGGATTGATCATTCATTGGACGGCTACAGATATAATATATACTCTTTCGCTTCCAATATTCCAATAATAATATTAGGGTATATATAGTTATATATATATATAGTGCTTTCAGCCAATATTGGGATTTTTGCACTAGTTCCCCAAATCCATGTACAGACTTTTACTTTTGTATGGACAATTTGTGAAACCATTCACACTATTTGAAGTCCCACACTACTTCGATGGTTGCACGAGTTTGATTGGTCGCTTAAAAATATTCTGCCTGGCTTTTGGTCATGCTGGTCCTTCGATTGAGCCCTCTTCAAATTCGAATCGCCTTGAAAATATGAGGACTCCAGAGAATAATAAATAATAATTCTGAACATGATACTATTGGTAGATGGCTGCCAGCTAGCGACGCGTGCTTGCTGCGGTACTGGCGAGAGACGGAAGATGGTTCGTATGTGTTGTGTGTGCAGAGTGCAGTGCACGCCGAATGCCCAGTCACCGACCACGTCCGAGTGTTGTGCCAAGGTATAATAGAAAATGATTTTTGTCTAACCAAAACTTTATAAATATTTTTTTTTCTTCATACCCAAAGGGAGGGTCACACGCGAATTTAATATTTCAAAAATGAAGTTCATCGTAATTCGACCAAGTTGGACTTTCACACCTAATTTGGACCGTGTCATAAACGTACAAGAGGCCCTTGAACCAATTTACGTGATGTATGTGACGAAATGTTAGTCTCCAAACTTTGGATTCAGAGAATGTTTCACTTTTTGCCGATGGGTAACAAATTGTCAACATATCCACGGATTTGGTGTTTTTGCTTAACATGCAGATTTACCCTAAATATATATATATTATTCAACTCACTCGGTTGTGCTATATATACTGTAGGAGGAGGCGTCACCGTGTCTCCGCGATGTACGTCCAGTGCCAGTACTTCGGATGTTCCGACTTCCCTCGTCAGCATGGTCGTGCATGCCAATCCCCAAGGGTACGAAGATCCGATCCATCGTCGGATAATAATTTATTCTTTGTTTAAAAATAAAGAGTGTGTGTATGGTGTTATTTTGGAAATATATATATAATATAAATATTAATTTTCTGAATTGGTTCCGTTATGTACTATTTCCCTTGTAGGTTGTTTGGCGCGTGGATGCGCCGGATGCATGTAGTATTTCAGTACATTCAGCCGCAGTTGTTGGCCCTGATCGGGCTGGAAGAAGCGATGGAAGCGCGCAAGTACATGGCATTAGCCCACGACGCCGCGACGGACGAGGACGAATACGAGGACAGCGCAAAGGACGGCCAACCCGCGGCCAGGAAGCCCGTAGAGGTCGCGATGGAGCTGCCGACGTGTATGCCCCGACATGTGTGGAGCGAACCTCCTGTGGGGTTTACCATGGTACATATATATATATATGATGGATATATTGTGCTTTTCAATTACGTCGGTGCTTGGTTGTCACTTTTGGTACACCGTTTGAATTCTCCGGATTTCAAGAAAATATATCGTGACGAGCCGTAATATTATAGCTATACACATTGTCGATTTGATACAAATTTGGGGAGCGGGTGCAATCGAATCGCGCCGACCAAACCTCGATCTGATTGGTTGAATTGAATTGAGAATGTTTTGATTGGTTAATAATTTTGAGCTCATCTGAGGTAGCCAATCAAATCGATTTAAATTCCAACGAGAAAGCACAACACAATGAAATTTCACTCGAAAGCACAATATATTATGTATACGAATAACGATCCTGTATTGATCCAGGCGAAAACTCAAGAATTGTATGTGAAAGAAAAAAAGCGTATGCTATTTTTTGTATGACTTGACATGTATGGGTGGGTGCGTTTACTTTGGGTTCGTGCTAGTGTTATATATCAACTACATACCATCTAGACTATATATGTCTATATATATATATATATATATTCTAGGTGGTATATAGTTGATAGTTCTATTGGAAACCGAATAAATCTCCTCCAAAGTATTCACATGTTGCCGGTGATAGGTTCGTGGCCCTGACTACATGACAAACCGGAAAAAGGTGGCGTCGGCGGCGCCCGCGTTCCGCCTCGCGGGGGTCGACATCTTTGAGACGGGGGCTGTGTCCGTCGAGCACATCTGCGCGCGTCCGGATAACGTCATGCAGACGGTGCCGGACCAGCCGTTCGCGTTTGTGCTCAACTTCCTGCTCCCAGGCCCCCCCAAGTACTCCCTTGTACTCTACTACCACGTCCCCCACCCCAGCGTTCTCACTGACGGGTCCCCATTTGCCGAGCTCATGACGGATTTCCTCGATGGGTACATATATATATATATATATATATATACGTATTTACGTATATGATCCTTTGCTTGGCTAGTATTCATGTATATATTTATATATATATATATATATATATGAATGGGAAAAGAACAATGTGTAGAGAAAGGTGGTGGTGGCGGTGGGTGGGTTGATATTTCGTTTGGTCAGATTAGGTTGAGTATAAATATATATATATATGTATGTCGTGACTTGGGATGCTGGTATATCATATTGGTATTGCCGGGTTCGAAATATGTCTTAAGTCACTTTTGATTTGAAAAGCACAATAATACGTATAAAACAACAATTAGGTTGGCTACAATTCATTGTATTGAAACATCTATCGTTTTTTTTCTTTTTTTCTTTCTGTCTTTTTTCCCCAATTTTTTTGGACTAGTGTGCTGATTCGCCAATTTTATCGATTGATTCTTTGGACTACTCAAGTTTGTATGCCCAAACAATGTCGTGTGGTGTTTGGAATCACACTAATTGAAGTCACACACATTAATGCGATGTTGATGGTGGTTTCCTGCAATCTGATTGGCTCAATTCTTCTGCCGACTCTTCAGACGAAACCCAATAATCACAACAAGCTCACGGCATTGTATATTGTCCTTTTACCCAAAATTTGGACTTTTGTGCGGAATCGCCAAATCTATCGATCGATTCATTCTACTGAATTTTGTATGTAAAGAGGTGTCCTGTGGTGATTGGTATCACACTAATTTCTGGCACACACTAATTCAATGTTGGTGATGGTTTCCTGCAATCTGATTGGCTTAATTCTTCTGCCGATTATACTTGTGTCCATTTGGTTGTGTCGATTCATTTGCCATGTCGGTCCAGTGTAGCGTATAAACACAACAATCATATATATATATAATACATCTAGCACGGACGAGTACCGGAACGAGCGGTTCAAGTTGATTCCGTCGATCGTGGAAGGCAATTTCATTGTCAAGCAGGCGGTGGGGTCTACACCCGCCGTGATCGGCAACAAGCTGCGGCAGCCGTACTTCAAAACGCCCAAGTACTTTGAGCTGGACATCGACGTCACGAGCAGCGCCGTGGCCAATCGCGTGACGGGGCTCGTACTGGGCTTCACAAAGAAGCTGATCGTGGACATGAGCTTCCTCGTCGAAGGCAAACACGGCCATGAGCTCCCCGAGCGACTCTTTGGCGCGTGTCGGTTGAGCTTCGTCGACATGGCACATGCAAAAAAGCTCGTGTAATGATTAAGCTGATATACATGGACCGACCAGTAGTCAACGTACGTCGCCACGAAGAACGATCGAAAATACATGTCAATGTGTGATCATGATAAAGCCCCTGTGCTAACATGAACAGTATGTACACTGTACTACGATTCAAGTGGGACAATGCGGTGGTCGTACGCTAAATGGAGGAAATTGAATCGATACGACTCTATTGTATTCATTAGAATTATTGTGAATTCGCTATAAACATCCAAAATTCGCGTGGTTTGTCGAATCTCGCTGGAGGTCTGATTGGTTGAATATACTTGTCCATTCGAGCCAATCAAATCCACTCAAAATTGGATTAGCCAATAGCGTCAATTCGTGATTGGATTCGACGGGGTCTGGAATTCTGTACCGAATCCACAATAATTGCAGCACTACAACTCACGGATTATTATGACTATGAATAGTGTTAGGAATTCACACATCCCGTGTCCTTTGTACGTAGTAGCAGAAGGTGCTGGTTTGCTTATTAGCAGTGCCGACTTCTCCAACTACCAAATGTACTAGGACCAATTTGGTAATGAGTTGAGTGTATGTCGTTTAACTTGCTTATGAAACCCAAACGGATGTCTGTTCCGTGAAGTTTTACACTATTTTGAAGCAAGTGTCTGTCTTCCACTGATACTGTAGTTAATTCATTTTAAAATAACAAATTGTATATCGGCGCATATATATTCCATGATCTAAACAGTACATAACAGTGTTTTCATTATGCCGCAACTCATCGCGGGAATGCCATCTGCACAGCGTCGATTATTGTGCTTTCAAGCTAAATTTGGTCTTTGCAGTAGATTCGACGAACGACGTCAAATCCACCTGAAATCGTCGAGACGCCATTTTACTTGAACTAAATATACTCACTGTCTGTCCGATGCAATGTTGAACGGTTTGAGAAATCGAGAAGCTTGGGAATGCACTGAATTACACCCACCTGCAATATGATTGGTCGAAAGGTCTTTTTTGGAAAATTTCATTGGCTACTTCGTCGATTACTGCGTCGATTTTGCCGATTGGCAGTCCAATTTGAAATCGAAATACCAATATTGGTTTCTCGAAATATCCAGTTACCCAAACTCGATAAACCTACACTTTCGTCGTACGACGACACATACTCCGGAGTCATATTACCCTATTAATAGTCATATTATACTATTAATAGTCATATTATACCAGTATTCCACACGTAACGTTCGTCGTTCTCTACAACTACTCCTACTACCTTACACTACTAGTACCTAGTACATGCGCGACTTTCAAGTCAACAAACTTGACAGGATCGTGGTAACATAACTATTTAAAATTTATACAGTGGATCGATGCGGCTTTGGTATTTAGCTTTGGCAAACGCGGTGGGGAGGAGATGATTGAGGCACTTTTGGCCGAGCAGTTGGATGCGGGGGTTGGTCGTAAAGTCGTACATGGTGTGCTGCAACGTACGTACAATGTCGAGTGTTTCCAAGCACGTTTCCCGCGAACTTTCGTCAAACGATCGCACAATTCCATTGATGGCTAGCAAACTGCGCGTTTGGATCGCCGCGTCCAGCGGATTCAGCGCCATGAGCCGGAGGATCTTGGGCAGGTCCCACTGGTCGGTGGGTTTGTGGAACGCCTGGCGCATCTTCTTGCGGGCCATCTCATACAAATCGTCCGAAGTGCAAGTGTCGAGCACGTGCAATTTGTCAAAGCAAGACACTGATGACGATGACCGTGACGTAGCAGCCACGTAGTACGGCGACAGTCCCAGCACCGTGCCTTTGGGCCGTTTCGGAGCAAGTTTCGGAGGCACGAGCAGAGCATCCACGATCGATTCGTTGTTGCTTGTAGTGGTGGTGGCCTTGGCTGTGAGAAGGAGGGCGTCGTAGGGGGTGCCTGTGATCTTGTCCAGTAGCGACCACGGACACACTTGAAGGAGTTTCTTCACCGCGTCTACGTCCCCTCGTTCCTACCACATAAGCCAAACCCACGACTATACTTAGGATTTTCTAAAGCAATACATTTATTTTTTCTACCACGGCCAAGTGCAGCGGCAGTCGCCCTGCTACATTTGGCAATCGGGCAGGCGCCGGATCCAGCAGCAATAGCTTCTTCAACACATTTAGATCCGACGGCGACGTGGAAGCGACAGCAATGTGCAGTGGAAAGTCGCCCATGTGGTTGGCTTGGCTAGCCCACTCGGGGCAAAGTGTGAGCAAGAACAGCACCAAGCCAGGAGAAAATCCATACAACAGGGCGTAATGCACGGGGTTGAACTGCTTCGAAGTGCAAATTGTCATGGGGGGGTGAATGGCCACGACCGTTTGCTGGGCAAAGTGCATGATCAAAGCCTCGGACCGCCGATGTTTCATGGTCAGAAACAGAGGCAGCAGCTGGCGAAATGGTACGACTAGAGCCTGGGGCGCCAGATCCAACACATATCGCACGATCAAATCACTTGGGTTGTGCTGAAGTGCAATATGCAAAGGCCACGCGCTTTCAAACGCTGGCATAGCGGCCAACGAGGACGAGTTTGACGGGGAGGTATCGTACAATACGCACAGCTTGAGGATGTCCAACTGGTCGGACCGGGAGTTTGCCGTGAGGGCTTCGTGGAACGGCGTGTTGCGGGCTTGATTTCTCTGAAATAGTACGCTCTCGTCCGCGTCCAAGAGGAGGGCCAGCACTGCCAGGGGCGCGTGGTGGCGGATGCCAACGTGGAGGGGCGTTTGGAGGGTACCTGGGCACCCTCTGGAACAGGCTAGGGTGCCATGGGGGGCCCCTAGTAAAATGGACACGACCTCCATGGAGGGATAGTCTCGGCAGGCCAAGTGCAGTGGCGTGTGGCCGCTGGCGTTGGTCATAGTTACCACGTCCACATTGCCCTTGAGAAACGTCGTGATTACGGCCATGCTCAAACGATGTCGCATGGCAAAGTGTAGTGGCAAATCTCCCCACTAAGAATATTTGTGGTTGACAACATATCATGACGAATATCCATCGATATGAATATATATATATCGGAACCATAGGTTTCATGTACCGGTCCTGGCTTTTTCAGCTGGCGAGGGTAATGCCGGACAACTAGTTGGGCCAATGTATACTCTTTCGCAGCCAACGCTGGCCACACTCCGAGTTTCCACCGCGCTTTGATGTTACAAAGAACTTGGTATCTATAATAATTTACCATGTATGCATATATATATATCAATGCATTGATTGATATATCCCATAGACTAGGAATCATTATTATCAGGACGGTTGACCATGAGACATATGGTATTATACATGATTACATAATATATATATATATATATATATATATGCGACGTACACATAAAATGCTGCCGTGCGAAACGTAGGCGAGGACGACAGGTGGTGCAGATGCTGCTGCTGGTTGGTTGTCGACAAAGCATTTGCTTGCATGATGCTGACCATCCACTTCCGTCGAAACGTCATGGCTTGATGGACATGTTTTTCACGAAGTCGGGACCGCGGGCTTTGAATTTCGTGGTGGCCGAGCAGCAATGGTTTGGTGAATCGAATTTCTTTGGTCAAGCGGTTCATATAGTACGACGCGCCTGTTGTAGGGTCGTGGTGGTGTACGAATCTAATGTAGAGTATTCATATCCATACATTACTTTTTCAAAAGTGCCATACTCGTAAGAGTTAACGAGTAATCATAGTTGTTTTGGATACCAATAAATATATAAAGTGATGGGGTGGTATAGCTATATATCGCAACAAGAACGACTACCACGACATGAACCCCCCCATATTTAACACCTAACACAAAGATCGATATATATCGAACAAAATGCTTGAAACCACGGTGGATATACTAGTAGTACACACCGATCGTTGAGCGTTTGAATGAGCTTCTTCCGCGCGAGCTTGGAGCGGTACATTTTTTGAATGCGCTGGGCCGCGTCGGGCAGAAGCAAGGGGGTGATGAGCACCACATCGTCAATTAACAACCGCATCACGGCCACAATCGACGGATGCGTGTGTGAAATGTCCGCAGTGCCGAAGAGCCGAGGGCCGCCGAAATCGACGGGCGCGTCCGGCTCTGGCACAGGTAGCTCGAGAGGAGGACCCTTGGACCAGTTGTATCGCAAGTCGACGAGTTTGTTGCGGAAGTTGGTCACGCTCAAGTCGGGCAGGTCGAAGCGCGTGGCCGCCGCCCTATCCAATATGGAGCCTCAAATCATCGACTACAAATAGACGGATCGTGTTTCACATGCTGCTCAGTAACTCGATCATCCACAACCCCACCACAATAAATCAAATATAAGGAAAGCTTGACTAACTTTGATTGAAACAACATTCGCAACGCTATAAAATAGGGAGACATGTTCAAATGTCCTTTTAGCATCGCCATCACCAAATTCACCAGGTTCAGGTTCAATCACGAAAATGTCGTGTAGGATATATATATATATGTATATAAATATAGATAGTATATATACCCGACTAGCCAATCATGTTCGACGGTAATTGAAGAATCGATATACATATATATGTATATACTCCACCAGGTTCAGTCAAGAAATGCCGTATATATATATACAGATACACGTCACAAACTCATATTCGATGTTTGTTGTAGCATCGATATACATATATATCTATAGGTATATATAATTCCCGACATTCGTACTTGGATGCTGAGGTCGCGGATTCGGCCGCAGCAGCTGACGCCGCCTGGATCGACGCCAACAGATGACCATCTTGCGCAGCTTTGGACTGGATTTCCCTCGTTCGATGCACCGTCACCCACCACGCAATGAACTCGTCGACGTTAATGCTGCCATCTCCCGACGTGTCAATCGCGTCCAGCAGTTTCTTTCGCTCGGCTTCTGAGGGATTGTACCCCAATCGGTGGAGCAAATGCTTGAGTTCGTGCGTGTCAATCGATCCTAGTTCGTACACACGACACAAATACGTCAACTTCAAGTTCGTACACACGAGACCTAACTTCAACTTCAAGTTCGAACAAACGAAACCTAACTTCAACTTCAAGTTCGTACACACAACAAACGTCAACTTGAAGTTTGTACGAATAACACACCGGAGTGATCCGTGTCGAACTGGTGAAACAGCCCCCGCAGCGCCTTGACGGCGTCCTTGGACATTTGGTGGTAGTCCATCACTTGGTCCTTGAGCACCGCGGCGTTGGCGGTCCCGATGACCCGGCGCTGCATGCACACCCACCACGTCGTGAGCTCGTCCAGCGTCACGACCCCGTCGCCGCTCGTGTCCATCGCTTTCATCACATGTTGCATCTGGTCGCCGTCCACCGGTTGCCCAAGCTTGCCAAGCAGCGCTTGGAGTTCCACAGCATCGATCGACCCTACCATTTGTGGGTCATAACATAGTTCTAGCAGTAGTAGTAGAATATATCTATGTGCAGTCTTGCGTGGCGTACGTGCTCCAACATACGGTAACACATATATGTATAATATATTAAGACATGTATGTATGATATATATTATGAACAAATATGAATAATAAATTAAGACATATATTGTGGATTCGGTACAAATTTCCAGACCCCGGAATCGAATCACGAATCGACGCTATTGGCTAATCCATTTTTGCGTGGATTTGATTGGATCTTACAGAAAGGACATGTATATTCAACCAATCAGAACTCCAGCCTGATTCAATATTGACGACTTTTGGAAGTTCATAGCGAATTCACAATATATGTTGAAAATTTATATATATTCAGTATACATGTTGGAAATATATATAAATATACAAATATATACACAGGTTGGAAATATATATAATTTTTTTGTGTATACACAGTACCAGAGCCATCTTTATCGAATTGTCGAAAGATAGCCTTCAAGTCCTTTCCCATTGCGTCCATATGTTGCTGGATCCCTGGCTTTTCCCACATCGTTTCGTTTGTTCGTGAATTTACGTACACACGAGTGCCTAGAATGCGATATTATATTTAGGAGCTAATTATTTCAATTTTATTGATAAACGTGCAATAATAATTACCGTTGTCCTGTACTGTTTCGACCCACACGTCCATGGCTTCTTGGGCGTGCTGCGCTTCGCGGGCTTTCGTCTCTGCTTCTCCACAGGCTTTGTCGTACTTTAAATACCTATATGAAACACATACCCATATATATATATATATATATATATATATATATATATATCACAAGGTTAAGCAGTGGAATCTAAATCAAATCTTTGCAGCGCCTCAAAGGAGAAACCACATCGCAGTTTGCTGTAGGCGTCATATATGTTGTACCAGGAAATAAACGTGGAGACGTCGATGAGTCGCGTGCCGTCGGCGTCCATTTCATGGAGAGCGCGAAGGAGCGGCGCGCCCCGGCACGTTCGGCCCAGCAGCTGCACCAAGCTAGATGCACCAGACACAAAAACACATCCAAGTCATTTGTCCGCCACCAAGAATATATATATATATAAGTGAGGATTCAAATATATACATATCCACCATAATTTTAGTATCAAATTTTAGTCTACATTTACACAAACACTTTCGTCATACCGAGGCACAACGTTCGACTCGAACGGAGTAGAATCATGTATAGATCTCTTCAAGTACGTTGCAACGATGGCGCGGATGTCGTCGGCACGGGACCGCTGCTCCACGGCCACTTGAAACTGGTGGTCCACGTGGAGTTTCGAGTGCCACCACGCTTGAAACTCTTCCAAACTCACAACACCGTCCCCCGATGTGTCCAGCACCTATAATTTCATAAGGGAACTCCAGGTGCCAACGACAGACAGATGGTTCTCATGTCAAAAGTATTGTACGCGCATCATCGAGTCCAATGCAGGTCCATCGAGGCGATGCCCGAGCGCCGCGCAAATTCGTTCGAGCTCCGATGCATCCAACGCCCCCGTTTCATCGGTATCGTACTGCACAAATAGCCGGCGGATACGCTCGTTCGTCGACACTGTCGGGTCTATAATGGCAGAAATATGAAGTAGTAAAACGTTGTCACATGGCGGTACGGTAGTAACAACAATAATGACCCAATATAATGCAACGTACTAGTAAAAACGAGTACGACGTACCAAGACTCAAAACCAAAAGACATACTAGTATGGATTTTCTACATATTGTGAATTTGGTAGTACAATTTTCCAGACCCCGTCGAATCGAATGTCGCCGCCGAATCGAATCACGAATCGACGGTATGAATTTGAGTGGATTTGATTGGCTCGTCTTACAGAAAGGACAAGTATTTTCAACCAATCAGAACTCCAGCGTGATTCAATATTGATTTGACAAATACCACTTGAATATTGGAAGTTTATAGCGAATTCACAAGATTTCCAAATTATTCTGCGCGAGTCAGAAAACCGATCACAAATCCCCCAGTGTGATATTTGATTGGCTTTCTTCATTTCGCAAAAAGCACAAAGCAAAACGAAAAGACAATGTAGCCAATCAGAGACGGGTAATATCACATTGACCAATGGGAGCGATTCGTGATCGGTTTGGTTGGTGTGATTTGATTGGTCGAGGTCCGGAAGGTCGTACTAAATCCATAATACTCCATCAAAACACAAAACAATCACGACGAGTAGGTTATATGGTATGGTATATTATTGTCAAGTCGATTCGAAATTGGAGTGGGGGAGGGTTCAATCGAATGAGCAGCACCAAATTGGCAAACAATTGATCGACCAATCAATTCCCAGCTTGGCTAATCAAGTAGCCAATCAAATCCACTCTTCGACCAATTCAACATCGAATTAATGTGTGAATGAAATTAGTGTGCTACTAGACGATCTTTGCATATAAAAGTCAGTACAAAGCAAACCAATTGATCGATAGATTTGGCGAATCAGCAGCACAAAAGTCAGCCAAATTTTGGGTAAATGGACAATACCGGCACTAAACTGGTCCAGGAGTGTCTGCAGCTGGCCCGTCACGACCGGGGGCTCCCATTGCGTGACTTGTGTCTTCCAATTGTAATAGTACATCCGTGCACGACCATCCACTTCATCGATTGTCGCCACTTCTTCCCAATCCCCCAGCACCCCCTTTGCGTAGCATTGCCGCCACCACATGACGATGGCGTCATATCCAACAAGCGACTCGACGGAAGGTGTGATGTCGCCCCAGTACTTGAAAGTGCAGTCAGTCATCGCTACCCGGACATCTTTGTCAGCTACGTTGGTGTGGCCTAACAATGCCAGCATCGAAGTGAACTCGGTCGCGTTCAGAGCGCCGTCGCCATCCACATCCAGCGCCTGAAACCACTGGGCAAACGCCTCGTCCAAGGACGTCGGGGTTTGTACGAACCCTTCGGCCTGCAGCAGGGTGACGAGGGCCGTCGGGATGGACGGCGGGTACCACTGCCTCACAGTCGTCCGTTCGTTCCAGAACGTCACGATGTGGGTTTCATCCACTAAACGCCACCACTCGGTCCAGTCCGCCATGCGCTCCCGGCTTTTCTGGGGAACGTTGGCATGCCACCACCGGTGCAAGTGTTCGTATGTGACGTCGTTGGCCTGACCTAGCAATCATGTGACACTGGTGTTGGTGGTGCTGTAGTACTACAGGCTACAGCTGTATATAGTGCTCTCGTTACTACTAGTCTAGAGATCACATTATTGATTCTCTACCTCGTGTTCAAGTCGTCTTTTTGCATATTTTATTCACAACAAACATACTGCCCACATGGATGAACGAGAAATAATATTTTGAGGACAACCAGGGTGTATGTGCAGTATGTTAAAGCAAAATGCAACATAATGTCGGTCGGGTATATCGTACCTGCGACATCGGCCATCGACAGCAGGGTGCCAGGAAGGCCTAAACCGAGCAACAATCCTCTCCATTCGTCCGCGTCCAGCTTGCCCCGACTAGACAAGTCGTGCTTGGCGAATAACGTCAAGAGCGCTCTGTCGTCAGTCGATTCGTCTTTAAGGGACGCGAAATATGACCTGGCCGCCGCGACGAACTCGTGCAGGTCCCACTTGGTCTCGCCGCTGACATGGTCGTAGTAGTACCTGGCAGCCCCGTCGACTACGGTTTCCCAAACGTGGGTGGCCGGTGGCCCCGTGGCAGCGGCTGCTTCGATGGCCAGTGCCGCCGCCGCCGCTTCCTCCGATCGTAGGCGACGAAGCCACCACAGACAAAACACGTCCAATGGAATGACCATGGCCCCTGTCGTGTCCAAGTCATACATGCCCTGAGTGAGGTCATGCGCTGCCAGCCGCACCCCCATGCGCATGCAGAGAGTCTCCAGCTCCGTTAAATCCACCATCGACGGATTCTCTGGATTCAGCTCTTGGAAGATCGCACTCGCGGCGTCCCAAATGGCACCATGCCATGGGTCCTCGACAGACATGTGTACGTACACTTTGGACAAATTGCTGCCATAAATATAAATGATTACAGGTTTTTCAATGCAACTTTGTCAGCTTGTTCGAGGCGTTCTTTGTAAATGCATATATGTGTTTTCAAGGGTATGTATTCTCAAAACACGATCTTGAACCGTCGCAGGTGTCGAAAAATATATAACACGTTTGAATTGTCTCTATTCTACACCTGGCAACGGCGGCGATGGTTCCTCGTCGGGTGTTTCCAACACAGGTGCTGCTGCTGGTGGAGTGACGCACATACTATTATGATGCGTGCTCGGACCGCCACCGCCAGTCGATGTCATCGGCGGGGAAGGGGCCACGGGCATGGCGGGAGTGCCGCTGTTGCCAGTACCGCGGGGGCTGCTGCTGTTATGCACGCCAATGTGCGACGGCCGCGGGACAAAACTCGTGCGGTTCGCTTGTGCGCTTACCATCCGGTGCTCGTCCACACAAAACACTTGGTCAAGGATGTCCTTGATGTTCTTGAGCTGGAGCATCTCGGCCTTCTTCCACATGTTGTAATTGCGGTGTACTTGGTCCAAGATTGGTTTGAACCCCGGTGTAAACACGATTTCAGCCACAACGTCAAAGAACGGCAAAATGATAAACTCAAAGAACCCGACTTGGTTCTTGGCGCTGTTCTCAGATGCGCGGTTCATAAATGGACTGATCTCCATCCCGAGCTCCTTCTCTTCGTCGCCCTGGAGGAAAAACTCTTCAATGATCAGCTCCGACCACCGCGCATGCAGTAAAGTGGCCTTGGATGAGTGGCCAATGTCGGCGCACTTGATGATGATCTTCATGAGCATCATCGGCGATTCCATCACGTCGTTCTTGTTTTGAGATAACAGCGCCGTCTTCAGACTCCCCACGAGTTGCAAGTGTACCGACAAGTCGGTGGTCAAGACCATTTCAATGATGGCCTTGCGTACTTCCGTGTACTGCTTTGGTTTCATGCCGCTATTTACATATGTATACACGTCCAAAACGTCAACTGTCGAACAACGTACGAGCTAGCTAGCAAGTCTGACCACAACAAAGTTCGGTAGGCTATGACGATTGCTTAGGTGATAGGGAGGTACATGTACTTTCGACAGTAGAAACAAACAAACACGACATACAACCTACTGTACTAGCCTTCCCAATCACTTTCGTAGCTCGAGAACCAAGGCAAAACACACATATTCACACAATCAATACTATCTATCGATTAATGCTATATATGATGACTAGGATTAGGTAGTACGTAGTACTGAACGAATGATAATATTGAACAATATGACCAGGATTAGGTAGTACCTAAATATATTGAACTGGGGCTCCGACGCCAAGATGAACGACTCGGCCAAGTGCATGCGTTCCAACACGGACGCGTCACTGTATCGCACGGCGAGGCTATGACCTGCCTTGACGAGAAAGTTGTTGGATTTGCCCTACCAAAACCACCGACCAAGATGACACACCAACGATGTCACATTATTTTTCCAAGTGTCCAAATGTCCACAACATTAGAAATCGAAGTCGTACGGGATGTCGAAAGTCGTGAATGGCCGCGGCCACAATCGCTGCAAACACTTCTTGCATATTGAGCAGGGTCATGATGAAGCCACCGTCGACTGCTGATAGCATAAACTCGACGTAATTCACCACGTCGGCAGCATGGCAGTTGTTGTGCTAGCGATCAGCACAGTGTCGCATGAGAACAAGGGGCTTGCATTGTGTACGTACGTAGGGGTTGGGGAGGTAGCCGGCGTCGATGAACCAAAAGAAGTTGAGCATCACATTGCGTTCAACCGAGCACGACGTGAAGAGGTTGTGCCTTTCAAAGATCACGTACGTCACGTACGAGATCGGGCTGCCTTGGGCCATCTCTGCGACCCTAACCACACACACACATCCCAAGTGCAGTCAGTTTGCACCCCCCCCTCAAAACCGTCAAACCCCCATACATCGTGTACACAAAAAAACACGCTCTCAAGATCGTGGGGTAGGTTGGAAAACTTGGCATACTCGTGAATGTCAACGTTCCACCCGTAGAGCAACATCATGGCGTTGATCTTGGACAAGACGTCTTCGTCCGGCAAGCGGACGTCAGGGTGGAGGTTGATGGACGCTAGCACCCCCTCCGCCTCGTCGTCGGTGGTCGTGGACGATCGTCGGTTATTGTTACGCTGATACGCCTTGCTGGCCAGTACCGTGGTGGCCCATCCTTTGGTGTCGTCGTCGATATCGACTTCGCCGCTCTTGCCCCTACACATACACACCATAAATCATCATCGCCCATTGGACGTTTTAATATGGAGCTTGGACGACGTACTTGAGCTGTTCGTGGATGTCGGGGGCAAATAAATTGTGGCCTTGCTTGGTTAAAAGCGTAACTATCTCGCTCAAATTTGCTTGGAGGCTCTTGTCCAGGGTCACGTTTTGTTGAATTTTGGTCAAGTCTGTGATTACTTTGGCCATGGGCGAGTCCAAATCGAGCTACAATTTGATCATTCAATATAGTACCACTGTGAAAGAATCAAAACAACGTCAATAGAATCATATAATTACCATGTCAGACGTGCCAGCGTTGTGCGCTTGCAACATGCGCTTGAGCGATCGGTTTTCGTTTTGAATTTGCTCTTTCTGCGCTTGGGTGATGCGCACTTCTTCCTTGACCGACCGCACGTTGAGGTAATTCAGCCGCATAAACCTAAACACATACACACGTTGCACACTCTATATGAGCCAGCCACAGCCAAAGGTTGGAGGAGGGGTTGGGGGTAGTAGTAGTAATAAGAGAGGGAGTGGGGGGCTAACTAGAAGGGCTCGTACCGGTCGCTCTGCCGAGCACGGTACACCATGATCACTGTGAGCGTGGCCAATACAAACACGAGGTAAAACTTGCACCGCATTAGGAAGCTAGAGCTCGACACGGGATACGTCATGGACAGCGCAAGGCAGTAAAAGACGTTGATGTTGAACGCGACGAAGATATAGTGCGCCGCGTTCAGGTGAAACATAGGCGCAGCGATCAGCACCACAATTGGCCGCACCAGGTTCGCGTTGAGCTGCGAGAACGGCAGCATCACGTCCAGGATAAAGAATGTGAGAATCTGTTCCAATGTGCCCTCGCGGTCGGGGAACCGCCACCAGTCGGTTCGGTTGTTGAGGTTGAATACCTGTGTGCCGTTCAGAACGAGATCCGCGAGCACAATCGATCCCCCCGAGAGCGCCGGATACGTCAAGTTTTGCAGCAGTGCAAAGTTGCCAGTTGGTGTTTGCAGGGCAAACTGCACCGTTTGGTCGGCAAGGTGCACGACAAGGGACGGGGTACCGTCGCGCATGATGGCGGCGCTGGTTGTGTTGGCAACAAACCCTATCGCAGCGTTTGCGACAGTGTTCATGCCGATGGCGTAGTCCATGATTGAGTTCATGTTTTTGGCTGTAAACCCCTTCATTTGATCCGTCGAGCAAAAGAAACCGCCGCCCATCAACGACAGCGCAAAGCAGTGCACGATCACGTTGAAAATCGGCTGCATGTGCTGCTCGTACTGCTTGTATTGGCATAGGGCGACCAAAAACGGAGTCGGGACTAGGAACGGAAGGGAAAAGTATACACTCAGCCGCGCCGACGAGATCGCGTCGACTTGGCCGTCATCTGCGTGGAATAGCAGGTACAAGTCCAAGGCCGTGGACGCGACCCAGATCACCCACAGAAACAAACTAAAGTTGCATGCAGACGTCAAGCTGATCTCAGTGTAGTAGTTCTGGTACTCGCGCTCGACGAGAAAGTTGGCCGAGAATTCGTTGGTCAAGTAGTTGAACCCGTACTTTTCCTCCATGAGTTTTGTGATCATGGATGACTCGTTGCGGTCCGCCGCCGAGTACGGATTGAGCAGCGTCGTGGCCAGCCCCATGGACGACCTCCGCACCGGATCGTCCTTTTCACTCGGCACCTTCTTGGGCGACTCCACGGGGCGAAACACCGAGCGCCGCCGCAGGTTATGCGCGGTGCCGCGCCGGCTGCTCTGGGTTGTGAGCGGAGTCGAAGGTCGGGGCCGCACCGACAATGGGCCAAGGGCAGGCATGCCGTCGAACGTTGCCCCTTTGCCGCGAGCCTCGCGTTCGCTGCTGGCTTTGCGGCCGTGGGGGACCTTGGGGGCGATTTTTGACATGAAGTTGGTAGCCACGATAGAGCTAGTGATAGGCGATGGCTTCACCTGGAAGCGGGGACGCAGATGATAATGCCGAGGGTGCCGACGGTTGGCGATATAAGTGCCTATTGGAGGCGAGCATGAAACTGTCGTTCCACCAAGGTGAAACCGACATCGGTTTCTTTTTTTGGTTAACCGTGGCGAAGGACGCAAACAAGACGAGTGATCGGGGTCGCATTATGTTAAACATTCGGATCAAACACGTGTAGTGTGGGGGAACGTCTTGGCCGCCGCCGTCCAAGCCAAAACACGGTCCAGTCCCCATCCGCATCCAGCAGCGCTCGCAGTACATACCCCACCAGCGCCAAATTGCCAACGGAGGCCACGGCAACCGTCCATCCCAGTGCCTTTGTCCACAATGACAAGGATTGTTCGCGACAGTGGACCCAGAAACCACCAAAGAGATACCCCACGACCAGATTCGCCAGCGCTGTCGTGTCCACGGGATGGGCAGGTTGCTGGAGGAATCGTGGTAAGAGGAGACTAATGGAGGGCGATGGGGACAAGATGGACGGAAGGTCAACAAGAAGCAACACGACGCCGCATGTACTCGTGACGATCCATACAAGTCGAGCTGTGGACGCACCTACGTCAACGCTCGTGAACTCGTCGTCGGCTACTGCTCGGACGATCATTAATGTCCGGATGCATAAGGTTTAGTCCGGATAAATGAGTTGAACTACTGGTAGATCTTTGTGAACAGTCGCCGAACACACGAATGTCCTGTGAAAATGCTTCGAGTTGTTGCTCCTGAGGCGGGTTGGATATGGGAAAGGAGGGTGTGGTCATATTATTGACGCCAAGGTGCCAAGATAGCATACCATGGTAGTACATGGTCCATAAGAATCGACCAATCCATTCTCAGGCTATCGGTACATATGTATGAACTGTATCTTGTATTACCCCAAAGAATAGGGGTCATATGGCGGCGGTTATGACGGTTTCACGTCGAATTGCCGTATCTTGGCGAAGCGTCGTTTGAATATACTCTGCAGCAGCGATCTGGCACTTGTAGAGAACATGACCTCGTACGGGTACAACAGTGGCAACCGCAGCAAGCAGCCGCAGCACATGATGGACGACGACGAAGACGAAGACTTGTACGAAGGGTTCAACTACTCGATCGACTTGGCGCCGCCGCAAACCGCGTCCATGCAACAGACCAGCAGCTACTTCAAGACTGGTCAATCTGGTCAGAACGGTGGAAACAACCCGCCAGGCACAGCGTTCCGGGCGCCGCCGTCGCAGATGGGGCGTCAGGTGCCGACGGCTCGGCTGCAGACTGGGCAGCAAGGCAGCGGCGAAGTGGCACGACCCATGACGTCGGTGACTGGTGCCGGCTTCTCGGTGCGTCACCTCGCTTATGTTATTTGGGTGAACCCAAAATCTACGGAGAGGTGTGTTGATGGTGTTGTTGTTCTACATATGTGCAGTCCAATCCCAAAACTGCCGCCGGTCAACGCATGTTTGATCCGCTGGGGGAAGCCCGCAAGACCCCCGCGCCACCGCTCGCTGAAAAGGCCGAGAATTCACCCAAAGAAACGGCCAAGGAGCTCGAGAAGCTCGTGAACGCGCTCATTGAACAGAGTTCCGAGGCCGCCGTCAAGCACGAGAGCGAAGAAGCGTTGCGGCTCGCTAAAGAGGCGGTAAACCATTGGACATGCAAAACGTGAACATGTTACGATGCGGATGGCGACATGTAGGGAAAGAAGGAGCGAGCGTTCACCAAGCACTGCGAAACGCACGGGCTTAGCGATATGACCAACATCGACTTGACGTACGCTGTGTTTTTTAACTTGGCGAATGCGTACCACTTGAACGGGATGTGGAAGGAAGCGATTCAAAGGTAGGACCGGCGGCTACACCAACCAAATATATCTATGGCCTCAACACTACATAAGAGAGATTCACTCGTTGCCAAACATGCACAGTAAACGTATAGCTTTTGACAGACTGAAATAGCATGACTATAGAGTCGCATTGCAACGTGGTGGTGATAACGTGACTTGTAAAAAGTTGATTCGTTGACATGCTTGGCACACTGTAATCGTTCATAAAGTTCTGACGGGTATTTCAATTGGAATGAAGTATGGGTTCCTGACAAGTCGTCCTTTCGAATATGTATCGTAGCTACACCCCAATAGTCAAGAATAAACAATACCCCCAAGGCGGTCGGCTTCGCGTCAACATGGTACCCCCTCGTTGTCATGAATCCGTGGACAGTATACCTTGCAATCCACCATCGTTTATATATATGAGCGTGACGGGCACGTGTGTGTATTATATGTGACATAGGGCAACATTTACTTTGAGCAGCAGCAATACCCGACCGCCATTCGCATGTATCGCATGGCGTTAGATCAAATCCCCAACACATCCAAGGAAATTCGGTTCAACATCAAGAAGAACATCGGGTCGGCGCAAATCAAGCTCGGCCATTACCAGGACGCAGCCACGACCTTTGAAGATATTATGGAAGGCAACCCTGACTTCCAGTCTGGGTTCAACCTAATCATCTGCTACTACGCGATCGGCGAACACGAAAAGATGCGCCGAGGGTTTACCAACTTGATTGGCATTCCGATGGAAGGTAGTACTACTAGTAGTAGTTTGCAATAGTATCATCCAGTCGATATGCACACGACCTGAGCGCCCACGATGTGACGCAGGGGTGGGTGACGACGACGGCCAGGACGACGAAAGCAAGGAAGGGGAACCCCCCGCCGGCGCGGTGCATTTGAAAAAGGACGGGTCGGTGCCATTGGTCCACGACCGTATGCAACACATCCTTCTTGACGACGAATGATGTAGGCTGAAAGCTGAGATTCGGGAGCGGCAAAAGAAGGCGTCGGAATTCATTTTGACCGCTGCCAAGTTGTGTGCCCCGGCGCTCGACAAGAAGGACTGGCTCGCGGGGTACAACTGGGTCATTGACGCGATGAAGGTCGACCACGAACCCATCGCCAGCGAAATGTACGACGAAGACGACTAAAACCATCACATCCTACTCATCTTTGTCGTGGAGAGTTGCAAAACATAACAACATTTTGACCCCAACACTCTTATTTTTTTTGGAAAATATTTTTATTGGACTGGCAGGGAAAATAATATTTTTTACAATGCTATGATTTGCACTGTAAGCAATGCTTCGAGTATGCATTTTGAACGACCGATATATTATAGGGAAATCTGCAAGGCGCTGCACTTTTTGAAGAACAAGGATTTTGACAAAGCGATCGAAGTGCTGAAAGCGTTTGAAAAAAAAGACCCCGCGCTCAAGGCCATGGCGGCGACGAACTTGAGCTTTTTATATTTTGTCGAAGGCGACTACGCGCAAGCCGACAAGTACGTTGATATGGAGTTGGGCTCGAAAAATCACATATATATATTATCACTAGGTTTGCGTCGTTGGCCGTGCGCCACCAGCGCTACAACGCCAAGGCGTTGGTGAACAAGGGCAACTGCCTGTACGTGAAAAACGAATGCGAACGGGCCAAGGAATTGTACTTGGAAGCAATTGGTAAATATGACAGGAATAATAAATATATATATTTATATACGTCTTTTCAGGGGTCGAAGCGGACTGTATCGAAGCGATTTTCAACTTGGGGCTGGTGAACATCAAGATTGGCGTCCTCAATGAAGCCCTCCAAGCGTTTGAGAAGCTCCATAGCATTGTCCCCACCAACACTGAAGTACGACACAACTCGCACAAAGTAGACTGTTCGATGGTGTCCACCACGTACATATTGGCTGCAACACGACAGCAACGACGACACTCAATCAATTGTAGGTGCTGTATCAAATTGCAAACCTGCACGACATGATGGGCAACTACCGTCAAGCCGCGAAATGGTATTATCTTTTTACCCAATATTTGGACTATTGTGCTGATTCTTTGCCAAACCTATCGATCGATTCGTTGAACTGACTTTATATGTAAAAACTAACTGAGGTCATATACGATTTCGATATTGAGTTGGTCAAAGAGCGGATTTGATTGGCTACTTGATTCTTGATCTGGGTTTTGATTGGTCGTAAAATATCAATTGTCTGTCGATTTGGTTATTCTGCTCATTCTATTGAGCACACCACTCCGATTTCGAATCGACTTGACAATACCACCCTCCAAATACTTGTCCGACATCACCAGCTCCAAAAAATAATAATATTAACACAAAAAAAATATTTTTCTCATCAACATAACCACAACGTAGGTTCAACATCTTGCTGTCGTGCTTTGGGTCGGCGAAGAACATCGCCGACCCGGGCGTGTTGGCTCGGATGGGGCAAATTTTCAACAAGGACGACGACGAGACTCAGGCGTTCCACTTCCACTTGGAGTCGTACCGGCATTTCCCAGTGAATTTGGACGTGATCTCATGGCTTGGCGTGTGGTATGTCAAGAGCGAGCTGTACGAAAAAGCGATCCAGTTCTTCGAGCGCGCGGCGCAGATCCAGCCCACCGAAGTCAAGTGGCGGCTCATGGTCACGAGCTGCCACCGCCGCATGGGGGCGTACCAGAAGGCGCTGGTCTTGTACGAGCAGATTCACGTGGATTACCCCGATAACCTCGAGTGCCTGCGATACTTGGTGGCAATTTGCAAGGACTTGGGCCAAAAGTATGAACATCACCAGCAAGCACTGGCCAAACTTGAGCGAGGTAAGAACATAATATGGAGTTGGGGCATGGTGTTGTGGTGAAAAACGGAGAACTATATGGGCACATTTTGCGTAGAAAATGCCGCCAAGATCAATTCGCAAACGAACACGACCCAACAACAGGCGACCCCGCAGCAGCAGCAATCGATGAACCGACCGGCGAGTGGTACGTCGCAGTAGTTGTGGCAACTCGACCTGATGAATGGGTTTACTTTATACTAGTATGATAAATGAGATTTGGTGAATACTTCTGAAGTACGCTACTGTTGTACATAGTATGAACGATATGTCGGAACTCGTTCTTTTTTGTGTCGATCGAGCTGTATGTATGAACAAGTGTACACACGTTGCTATTGGAATGATTTAAAATATAGATGAAAGTGGCCTTCAAAATAACTAATAATCTTTAAAAAAAAGTAGAAACTTAAATATTTATATATATATACGCGTAGGCCAAAACGATCGAGGAGGGGGATCGGCCGGGGGCCGGCGGGGAGAGGCCAACAACCAGCACCCAGACAACAGTACGTATACTGTGCATTCAAACATTTAAAGTGTTTGATCTTGGATTATTTATATATTTTTATAACCATTTAAAATGTTTGATCTTGGATTATTTATATACACATTTACATATATATTATAGGTGTGTACGACCATGGTGGCAGGACGCAGCAACGGGAGGCAACCCGCGAAGAGAACAATAAAAGCAGCAGCTTTCACGTGGAAGCGGACGAGTCCGACTATGCCGTCCCTAAGCCCATGTCGTCTAACGCTGGTTAGAGAATATATGTGTCTAGTGGGTTCTAACGAGGGTATATGTAGCATCTTCGAGCCCCAAGGTTGCTCGAAAGGACAAAACTGATGGTAATTATATATATATATAACTATCACATATATATATCACGACAAATGACAGAAACAACAACTAATGCAACTGTCTGTAGAAGCAGACGACTGGGGCGATGCGGATGTGGGCAACCTCTTGGGAGATTAATTCAAATGCTGTGTAATAATAAGAATAGATGGGAAATGAAGACAGAGTTCGAGTGTGGTTTCGAACTGGAGTCACGTAGCCACCACATTCATAACGATGAAATACAGTGGCTTTCCGACACCGCATCCCTACTACTCAGACGTTAAGCAAGTTTCAGTAGCAGCCATTTGCGTTATCCGTGATTATCCCAATTATTTAATTGTACAATTTCCCAAATATATGATGTAGAACTCGTGATGTCTTAGGCACGTGTATCTATGAAAGCTCCTGATTTCTATGCTTGGATTGCTTGTCCAACATGCCAATGGATATTATACCTGTCCGTTGTATATCTGTGATAACTACAGTCGTCCGGCATATAATTAATTAGGTGAGTGAGGTGAATACATATATCAAACCAATCAAGTAAAGAGAGTGTATATATATATATATTTATTTATTTATTTTGAGTCCAAGTCAGCTTAACTACTGTATGCTACCGCTTGAACTACGAGTGCTAAGAGGATGACAAGTCCCACCGATAGGCGATTGGCCGAAGCAAACGGCAGCATGAACGAGCAGTCTTGGCCCAGAAATGGAAAATGCGACAGAGTGCTGTTGTACGGGTCGTACAGCATCGAGCAATAGCACGACCCGTTCACGCATATGCCGTTGGGGTACGAGCAGTTGTTTAAGCACACGCCTAATACAATAACAAAGCGATATCACACGATCGAATATATATATATATATATATATATATATATATATATATTTATTTATATGGAAGACGGACGTACGCTGGTCGCAGTACTTGCCAGCCCATCCCGGATCGCACAAACACCGCGAATTTGGAAACTCGACACTACAACCCGCGAATAAGAAGTCTATCTATTTCATTTCTATATATATTATATTATATATTTATATATTTATATATATATAATATATATACGTCCGTCCAAACAACATGTGTGGACAACTACAGATACACTGAACATATCATTTGACTCGTATTTTTAGTACCTGCAAAATCCATGCCCCGAGCAATTGTACGCGCAATTCCGAATCGAACAATCCGCCTAGATAGGAATATTACGTTTATAACTTTAAAAAATATCATCCGAATATATAAATATTGCGTTGTCTTGAACTATAGTTATCCATAATATCAGACGTGAGACGGCGTAGCTCGTACCCCAATGAAGGGCGGGCGACAGATACACTGGCCAAATCCATCGCAGACCCTAGTAGTATATGGAATATTTCATTAGTTGGTTGAATAGTACATAGTAATGATTAACCCGTTCGAGTAATGGGTGTTGGTCGTCGAGCACGGCGACTTTTGGATGTTGGGGACGTAGGTATCGTTGTTCGTGTGCTCAAAGCCTATAGAGGACACACATGGTCAGGTCGTTCAGTATATAAAACTAACATCGAATAAGACCAGTACGTAGAATCATAAGACTGGTACATACGTCAAGGAGGACTAAGTGTATGCATAAAATCCACATAAGACTACTACATAGCGTCAAGGAAGACTGTCTACTTTTATCGTATCACGGCCAAACGACCAAGACATAAAACAAAGTCAGCTTCATAGAACGAAGAAGAAAAAGGCTAGGATTTCGAATCAAATGAGCTCAGTAGATAGAACCAATTAAGTCTGTATCAAATAATCAAATAAGACTAGTATAATAGCATCACATGTATAACCCATTAAGGCTAGAACGCAGAATCAAATAAGACGAGTACATAGCCTTAAGTCTAGTTAGTACATTGCCATAAGTCCAACCTGAGAAGCAGCAGTGCACGCAGCTCGTGCCTTTGGTGATGTCGTTGAAGGCACAAACACTCCCTGGACACGTCCTATATATATATATATATATATAAAGCCACGACATCATCCAGCGGACTTTTCTTTTTCTTTAAGTACATGTTGGAGCAGTCGACGCCGTAGTACCCTTCGTCGCACATGCACCGGCCGTACGAGCATACCCCGTGCAAGCTGCAGTTTTTGATGCAGTTGGCCAAACTACTCAATATATATCCACGACGTGAGTAAAAATACAACGAATAAATAATTATATATATACTAGTATATATATTTATATATGTAGACCTGTACGACCACCAGTCGTCATAGGTAAACGCTGGGGTGGTCGAGCTCGACGCATACAACTCTTCTCTTGTCACGCCTACGAAAATATATGAAATAAACACCTTCGCACTCTAGTACATCGCTTGTCTAGTACTAGTACTACTAGTAGTAGTAGTTGGTAGAAACATAGGATTCGGTTCTTACCATAGCCTCCATACATTAGCATGAGCTGGTATCCCTGATAAAGTAGTCGCAACTTATTATAACAAATCCATTTCAGATATATATATATATATATAAATATTTATATATTTCTGCTGTTCGCACCGAATGATACACTGCCATGTGGCCTGCTCGTTGTGCCGGGCGAGACCATTGCAAAATCCACGGCAGGTCAGTGCTACATACACGGGAGTTACTGGTAGTATGATATTATTTTTACTGAGAACTTGGTATTATTCCTTCTTTTCGTGTTATTTCCATGCACAATGCATTACCGATTGTCAATGCGATCGCGGCATCCGTCCCACCCAGGCGCCTTCCGCCTTGCTTGCGTGTAGAACGTATCTAATAGAAATATAAAATATATTTCTCGTTTCTAAATATAAATACAAGAGTCTTTGGATAAAGAAGCATTGTACCTGCCACGTCCAACACACCCCTCGTCGGCACGGCCACCACTGAAAACTATGCCAAATATTGTTTATGGATACTTATTCATACATATATATTTATATGTAAACTATTCATGGACTCAGATTTATATTTACATACGTGGGTGGTGCCATAATGAGCTTCCTTTTCAAGCTCCTCCGTCGACTTTGTCGTGTCGTTCACTGCCACATACGGTCTACCATTATCATTTCCAGTTATATAAACATAAAATAGAAATATAATATATATATATATATATGTACTGATAGGTGCCGCTAAACAAGTCGGCGCGCAGAGCGAGGTCGTCTGTGCATTGCGGTGGATACAACGCATGAATAAAAGCTTCTTGTTGCAGCCACTGGGATGCCGCTATAGATATGTGAATCCTTGCATTTAAAAATATACAAATATATATATATATATATAGTCAAAATCAAGTAAATCCTTGCATTTAAATATATATATATATATAGTCAAAATCAAGTAAATCCTTGCATTTAAATATATATATATATATATATATATATAGTCAAAATCAACAAATAGCGGACCAATCAGTTGTTTCACGAATATCTACATACTCGTGTTAAATTGCCACGTGTCTTCGTAATAATAGTTGGACCGGTACCCTCCAAACAAGACAAACACTTGTCCCGCGGCCACCTATGCATATCGATGGATTATAAAATATTTATATATAATTTCCACTACTATAGCAACAGTTGCCATGAAATATATATTGGATTTCTCCCACGTTTGGAAATATTATACCAGCGAGTGCTCTGCTCTTGGTCCTGGCATCGTTCCAAAGCGAGGGGCGACCTCCCGCCACGTGCCCGTGGTAAGGTTGAACACCCACAGGTCACTCAGGTAGTACGGATTCGTTGGAAACGGAGTGTACCCTAACGAGAAATATATATAAATATATATATATTTATTTAACTATATTATATATAATTGTCAAACACTCGCATCGTCAGGTTAAGGAAACGACGTCCACGTGAATCTCGACAGAATATGATCCCGTTTGAGCAAATACAATCGGTGTGATAAAAACATAAGGAAAAGAATAACCACTTGATATTATGTGTTCATTGTATTATTTTCCAAAAGGAATATTTTTAAAAATAATTAAAGCCATTTTACCTGGACTGGTACCCTCCAGAACCCCGCGGCCCCCGCCACGGCCATCCGTCGCTGGATATGGAAAGAATGTTTGGTAGCCGCCGTAAATATACCTACAGGTTATAGCATGGATTTTAACTAAATTATGTGTTAATCACATTCATATGATAAATTTACGCACAAGCCATCGCCCAAGATCACAGATGCATGCCCTGCTCGCCCTGAAGGCCACTCAATAGAGCACGTCTACAATGTATAGTTAGATGTAAAAAATATAGTAGCAATGTCGTACGTCTGTGGCGTCGCATGTGGGTTTTGGATGCCGTTCGGTCCACGTTCCATTGGCTACGTTGTGAATTTATCAAAGATAATATAGATCAGTACAAGATGCAAAATAGTGTACCATCATACAACAAACAAGTAAAACGACTGTACTGGCACCGCCCAAGAATACGACGACTGCAAACATTCAATCGCCACAATGTAAATACACTACATCCATCCAATTGAAGCTGATAATATCAATCGCACTGTGATAAAACCAACTTTATATATATATATATATATATATATATATATATATTGAACTGGACTGGACTACTTACCCACGTCAAATTGCCACAGATCGTCCAAATATCCTCCACGGGGATACACCGTCAGGTCCGACCAGACATTGGCCTCGCTACCATTCAAGTTTTAGTCACATTTTGTATGCCGAAAATGATACCCTATTTTATATATATATACAAAAATCTGATGATAGATTCAAACAAAATAAATGGTTGCCTAATATAAACCATGAATATACCTGTTTTGAGGCGCAAATCCATGCCACAGCCGATACCCGCCAAAGAAATACATGGACGACGCTGTCGCAGACGACGAGAACTTCCACCGCTTCCCCGGACCCAATGGATTGCCCAGCTCGTGCATTTCTGTCCACGAATTATCCTGAAAGTTGAACCGCCTAAAACATGTAGAGTATGACGTGGCATCGCCACAGAAGAACAGAAATATACCACATATCGTCGCAATAATCGGTACAGAGTATGCCAAAGCCTCCATAGACCAGCATACTGTCCTGAAACACTTCAGCTCTGTGAAACCATCGCTCGGGCGGCTTGGGGCAGACCAGCGCACCATATCGCATATTACACCCTACCGAAGATTCGGCGAAAAATGAAACAAATATGGGAATATCGAGCATGTGTGTACCGCCCCACGGTAAGCCTTGATGCAGTTGCACCCAAGACTTGTCGACGCAGCTATCGTCTGCAAACCGTGTGCAATCTGCGATGGGGTGTAATTAGTGTGGGATTGGCAAGTGCAATGTGACAACGTGGTCTAGGTCAACAGGGACGTACTGATGTCGTACGCCCACACGTCGTTGTAGTACACGCCAATGGGCACAGTGCATGTATCGTCGGTGCAAGTATCTTGAACTGCATTGTGGTTGTCGCGTGAGTAATCACATGTAGGCCTGCGTGGCTCCTGTCACCTGGATGGTCGGTATACGTGGAGAACTCGAGCCGGCCCTGCGTTTCCACCGTGTCGTACGACTTGGGTACATGCGTTGCTCGTGTGTCGTCCGCACGCCCGCCAAATACAATGGCGCGTGACCTATGCAGAAGTGACTATTGGTCATCGCGTGGTGGTCGACGATAGAAAGGGTACCCATGTAATGCCAGCGAATGGCCCCGCCGAGGACCAGGACCCGCACCCTTCCACATCCATTGCTTCCAACTCCGCACTAGTCGTGTACATCAGAGTCATGGGTTTCAGCCAATTCCTCACCTAAAGGCAGCAATGACGCCACCACGACACCGCCAGCAAGGACGCGCATCACCAAATCTGTTGGAAAAGATCGAAAATCGCGAGCTCATCTTTATCCGGATATTGAATATAGCACTATTTGGACAAAATAATTCTTTGTTCTCGTAGTATTAATATATTTTGTTTACTGGAGGGTGAGGAAAATAGTCATACTGTCCGTTTGGGCGAGTCGAATTATTTAACTTTTATTTTATTTTAAGACTCAAGTATAGAATCCTCCGATGTACCTGTTTTAAAAATGCGTTTGCATTAAGTACGTTCCATTAGGTGCTGAAACTTCATTTCAAACCTGGTGGAATTGTATTCATTTCCAGGCAATATAAAACCCCTCACGGACTGCACGTTAAACTCCTGAATTCAAATATACCTTTGGATCGACGAAATACCTCCTAGGGTAAAAGTTATGGGAGAAACCATTCTTGCATTCCTTCCGCCCAAACGGACAGTATTAGAACGAACTCGATGGAGCTGATGCCTATAATAGCAATGTTACACGATTGGATGAGTTCTTACTTGACCTGACTGATTGACAGAAACCTTCGTCGTCGCATCTTCGCTCATTGCTCCAGTCATTTCGTTATTTTTATCATACCATGAATATAATTTTTTTTACAACACATCAAAACGATGTTATATGATGTTATATTTGGAAGCAAAGATTACTACTAACGTTATTAATAGTAACAAAGTTGATCAACGTGGATGTTATATTTGAGACAGCCACTTTCAAAGCCACACAACATGAGCCAATGTAAACCGACGACCCCGAGATTCAATCTGCGTGTTCACAAGCATTATCTCTACATAATGACGTGTTATAGAGGTTGCTGCTACGAGCTATATTCATCGATGTATTTACATACAAAGTATGTTATATTTGCGTTTTTTCCTACTTTGAGGACTCATCATTCATGGTACAATGTTGCAATCGCCATATTTCGAGCTTTGAACGATAACCTGCAACTAAGTTTGCATTATCTACATTCATTGCACTGCTCGTAGACAAGCCATCAGAGACATATTCGACGTCAAAGTCATGTACTACTTTCTTAGTTAGCTAACAAAGTTGATCATAAATTTTGACTAACTTCAAGTCATATTTGAAGCAATGTTCTATTATTATGCTGATTGGTTTAAAAAATTTCAAACAATTCAATGTCAAGTCCGTTAAAAATACCGAACAGTTTTGAGCTAAAGTCACTACACTATGCGTTCGAGATTGTCGCGTCTCCTCGAAAGGCCAAACGAAAGTCCTCAGCCTCTAGTGTGTCGATCAGACAGGACAAGAGCTAGTGCGATCGAGCTGCTTGGTATGCTGCCAATTCATTTGAGGTTCGCTGTTTTGGTCATTTCCCGCACCTTCCTGTAAATATAGTAAGACGTCGACGTAGATTTTTCTTCTACAGTACTAATGTTACTGTACTACCGGCAGTATTAATACGTAGTAAGCTTACTAATACTTAACTCCCCTAGGACCAAAATGCGTCTTAGACGTACCGTACACCTAAGACGTACGAATTAACTAATTTGTCTGAAACCTGCTCATTTTTTAAATCCTCACTATATTCGCTGGAATTAATCCGAATTCTTTGGGTTCTTGAGAGACACGATTGGTTAAATATAGAAGAATGCGGTACATTGATTGGACAGTTGATTTGACGATGTCCAGTCATTTCAAGAGTCCGGATAATCGTCTCCATTTAAGGTCGGACGGTATCCGGATAACGGCTGCAGTGGTGTTGCCGCCGAGCTGTGCGGTGTCGCTATCATGGTCGAAGCAGCCACCAAAGCCCACGATGACCAGCACTTCTTCCATCGACATTCACATCTGCGAGAGTTTATCTGCGGCGGGACGGCCGCGGCGATCAACATCATCGTAACCTTCGTCCCAAACAAGATCATGTTTCGTCAGCAGGTAGCGCCGCCCTCCACCGACAGCTAGGACCATTATCGTTCCCACATTCTTCGTAGCTGTACGGCACGTCCACGGTGGATGCATGGAAAAGTATACGTGACGATGGCTGGCCTCGACTGTACCGCGGCGTGCGTCCGCCGTTGATGCAGGCTGCCGTGTCCAAGTCCATCATGTTTGGTCTGTACAACTCGTACCATGCCAAGCTCACCACCACGTTTGGGAACCACATCGGCGGCCTTTCCACGTCGCATTACGCGGCGTTCCTGTCTGGCACGACGGAGGCCGTGTTGACTCCGTTCGAAGTACGTCGACGGCGCTGTCCACCGTTCGGATCTTCATGATGTTGTACACCGACGTAGCGCATCCAAACACTGCTGCAAACCACAAAATACAACACGACGTTCTCCAGTGCGGCGGATGCTGTCGTCCAGGTCACCCGTCGGGGGCCGAGGGAGCTCTACCGCGGTGTCACAGCCATCTTAATCCGCAACGCGCCATCCAACATCATCTTTTTTGGGCTACGCGAACCCGTCCGGGACCTGCTGCCAGAAACCACATCTTCGCATGCCATATTTGCCGCCGATTTCGTGAGTGGCGCCGTCTTGGGGGCATTTCTCAGCACGTTGTTCTTTCCCCTCAACGGTAACACCAACCAGGATGGCTTGCTTGGACGTTTATGTGTGTGCTACTTATCCTGAGATTGTGTGTATTTTATATATATATATTTATTTTTTTTCATACCCGATTATGTATGGTGTATGGGCATGTTGTAGTGGCCAAAACGCGCATGCAAAGCGTGTACGGCACGACCCGACACATGGGCGTAGTCGAAGCCCTGGAACTGACGTACCACGAACGGGGAGGCAGCTGGGTCAAGGTCTACCGAGGGGTTCACATCAACTTTGTGCGGTCGCTCATTACGTGGGGTATCATCAATTCGGCCTACGAGAAACTCATGACGTTGACCGAATAACACCTTAGATTATATATATATATATTGTCGATTTGATACAAATTTGGGGAGGGTAGCAGTGTCGGGGGTCATGAAATTGCATATACTGTATATTGCAAGTTTGGCTGTTTATTGCATGAACACAAAGTGAGCGGATGTATGTGTCGATAAAGCCTAGTGGTATGCTTAACTGGAGCCAAGATATGGGCGTGTACTAGTAAGTGATTATACCCTATGAGAATGCGTACTCTAGTCCACAGTAAGTAGACCTGATGTCTTGACGAACGTGCTTAGTACTAGGACGTACGTAGGATATGACAGAGCCCACTGGGACTTAATAGGACAGTTTTGATGCAGTGTACACTTGGCCCCCGCTACGACAGACATGTGGCATCGCTGCATGTGTGTAAACGTTCGAGTACAGTACTACTGTACACTGTAACACAGAAAAGATCGACAAGAATTGGACTTGGTTGTAGTACACGGAAAGCAACATCCATAAGTGCCACTGTACGCTTTCTCCAGGCAGGGTTTACATACTGTATGCCTACAGCTGGAATTACAGAGGTTTATACGAATACTGGTACACACCTGTGGGCATGCCCTAAGCAGTTGTAACACGTGCCACTACTATTACTAGTCTGTGGTCCAACGGGCGTCATCGTTGGATGTCGTCGACTGTAGCATTATATCCTACACACGTTCGTCGTCGTCGTCGTTGTGATGGTGAAACCGCTTTGAAACGGCAACCGCATTCGCAGGCAGAGGCTTGATGAAACGCAAGGAGCTGCTGGCGGCATGTGAGTCGCTGGTCAAGTCATACGACCCGGCCATCGTCACGGTGGACGCGCACGTGGACGAGGCGCTCAAGGGCTATGCGGACGCCGATCGATTGTTTCTGCACCAAGTCCTGTACGGATGTGTTCGATACAAGGACGTGCTCAAGGTCGTGTTGTCCAACTTTTACCAGGACAATTCGGCCAAGTGCAGCCGCAACGATTACACCAAGTTCCTGATCATGGGGTACCTGGCCCTCTTCCGGCTGGACGAGATCGGCATGGCCGGGTTTCACGGGTTCGTGTCGACGCACAACCCCACGGCGATGCACGTGTTCCTGGCGTATCTTTTCGACGACGCGATCCTCCACGGCCCAGTCAAAGCCGAGTGGTTGCGGCTCTTGGATCAAGAGTTTGTTGAGGTAGGACAGTAGTATGACGTACGTGGCAATGTACGATGACAATGCACAACGAGCGTAGACGCAACTGATTGCGAAACTCGAAAAACATCGCCCCGAAATCGACCAAGTGCTAGGCCATTTGCATGCCAAGGCGTTTGGCATGGCTGCGGCGAGGGAAAGTCTCAAACAGAGCGGGGGGGTCGTCCGGGTCGCCAGCAAACAGCCGACGGTGCCAGTGGCCCCCAATATCACAAAACCCAAGCCAAGGGCAATTCCAGAACCCACACGGATTCCACTTGAAACCAAAGCCCATCCCGTGCCAGACTTGAACAAACTGACCTTGGCCGACATCCAAGACCACCAGAAGCACCGTCGTGACGCCATGAAGGAGCAGGTACGGGCATCCTCCACGACCGCCAATCTTTCTACTGTCCGGTGAGTAGGTATTGAAAAAGTATCAAGAGTCAGTGGCACAGCCATTTCAGCTGGAAGAAACAAGGAGCAACCTCGAAGCCATCAAACAAGAGGTCGAAGCGCAGCGGATGGCCGAAGTGAACCGCAAGTTCAAAGCCAAACCCGTGGGTTTTCATTCAAAGCATCCATTCCCAATGTAGATAGATATGTATTGATGATGACTACCCACTAGGCGCCAACGTTTAGCGACAAGGATGCCCCCGTGAAACTCAACACGGCTGCGATCTTGCGCGAAGACGCACTGTACAAGAAAAAGCAAGAAAAGGAGGCCAAGTTGATCCAAGTACGCATGTATTATTATCTTTATCTTTGGCAGAAATAGTATATTTGATAGATTTATGTGGTGGTATACAACTGTATTAGGCGTACGAGTCCGACTTGCGGGACGCGTCGGAATTCTACCGATGGCAAAGTGACATGATAAAAAAGGACGACGCCGCCCACCGCGCGCAAGTCGAGACCCGGCGCTTGGAAATGGTCCAAGCCCAGCATGAAGCGATTGAAGCCAGGTACATATATATATTTACGAAAGTGATATATACATATATCACTTTCATCAATTTGTACGACGAGCCATGTGTATCGTGTACGAGTGTCATGGGTGCAAAGTTATACTAGTACTAGTACAGTATACTGGTATATATGGAGATGACGTGAACATGGGTGTGGCCAAAAGTGATATGTTACTAATACTACGGTAGTATGATATATACGTATGACGTAATCATGGAAGTTTTAGTGTATATATATATATGGGTCGTAGTCTCACGCACAGGAGGTAGCCTTCGCGCCAAGGTAGAAAATCGTGACGTGGCCAATCAAATGAAGCTCGTGTCCAAAGAGAACGACGAGCGGCGTCGATTGGAAGGTTTGTCCAATCATCTACTATCTCTACATATACAAGTCCACCATAGTCGACGCATATGTGCTGCATTCCTCGCAAATTTATATATATATATATACGACCCAACATTTGCCAAGCCATATACACCACGAGATATGACGGTAGAGAGTTCTCGTCTTGATCATAGAGATGGCCATCGACGATTCGAACCGACAAGGGGCACTGGAGATCAAACTGACGCGAGAAGTCGCGCCCCGGGAGGCCGAAGAGCGCGTCAAGAGCGATAACCACCGGAAACGAGAAGCAGTCAACGCGATGCTGGAGACGGAGCGGGCGCGCAAGGCCGCGCAGGACGCCATCGATCAAGCGCAGCGGGAGGACCTGATCCGACAGATCCGGGCATTGGATCGGGTGCACCGGGAACACGTCGCGGTACAGTAATTCAAATCGAAGACTACGAGGACGATCACCCAACAGTCGTGTATATATGTGGTCATTAGATCTTTGACCCGACCGAGAGTGCAAACTTGGGGCTGTTGGACGAAATGTCGCTGGTCGAGCTGCGTGAACGGCTGCAGCTGCGCAAAGTGGAGGAAGCCGAGCTGGAGGCGCAGCGGCGGGAGCTAATTCTGCAGGAGAAGAAGGAGCGGGAGGCAGATTTGAAGTCGCGAGTGAGCAATATCAGCCGCATTCGACGTACGCGGTTGTTTATGCCGTCATCGTACCATCGTGATACTGTATTGACGTACCTCCGACGGGGGTGCTGCTTTTGCGTGATGAAGGGTTGTAGATGGATTGACGGCTGCGATGTTTTGTATTTCGTCGATTGTGATGGATTTGTGGATGGTTGGAATAAACATTATGGATGGGACGAAATGGATGGTTGTCAAGCATTGGAGAGATGGATGATGGGATGCCTATATGATTTGTAAAATGGATGGTTTAGAATTGGCGGCGTCGGCCAATCGCACGTCCCGAGATCGTCGCAAACAGTTGGAGCAGGACAAGCGCGACCAAGACAAACACATGCGGGATCAAGGTACTACTACTGTACTACTACTATTCGACCCGAATTTGAAGTTGACACGTCTGGAACTGCCCAAAAATCACCACAACCAACGGTAATGACGATATAGGCAATTTGAAGCTGGCCCAAAAGATGGCGGCACAGCGGGCGGACCGAGACGCAGAGTTTCAACGCTTAAAAGAAGAGGGCGAGTTGGTAGCGAACAAGCGCATGTTCCTTGGGGCGGCCAAGAACATGCTGGAAGTGCGGCACTTTATGCAGCAGACGATGGGCGCGGAGAGGCAGGCGTCGAATCGCCAGAACGCCGTGCAAACGGTACCCCCAAGCTGCTGTTGTCTGGGGTTGTGGTTTGAGTCAAACCACACGTGGCACGACGGTAGGAAGCGCGAGTGGAATCCCAGACCAAGCACATGGACACGAAGATTCGACAGACGTATCGACACAAGCAAGCGATGCAGCACGAAGCCTCGATGCGCGAGAACGACGCCGCTTTGGACAAGGCCATGGGCGAGACCAAGCAGCGGCTGCGGCATGACAAGGACATGCGGAAGGCCGTGGTACACCACGAACAGGCTCGGCGGGGCCACGCGGCCGAGATCCTGCAACATCGAAACATGTACGCGACGCAAGTGTCGGCGGCTGACGTGGCGAATGGCCGGACGTTTCGAGCAGCCGCAGCGTCCAATCAAGAGGGCCAGTCGTAGAATGTAACGATAAAACGAGTCGTTTGGAAAACACTTTATACCGGTAGATAGATAGTATGTTCATTGGAATCATCAGGGGGTGGAGGGGTGATAGCGCCGTTGTTGACTTGTACGGAGGTCTGTGTAACGTTATATGTATGTCGTGTTACGAAGACTACTACTGTATACCGGTACTTGCGGCATATTCCAAGTGCTGCTGATACAGTACCACGTCGTAGCGTGAGGATGATAATGGGGTTTCAGTTTTCAATCGAATTGTTGCGAATGGAAGCTGGCGATGAGCTTGACTCTTGTACCAGGTCTTGGCAAGACTTATTGGAGTCTATTTTTTCTGCTTTGTCCACTATTATATGTACTGTATAATAAATAGGTTGCAGTCTGACAAGTGGAGATGTATGTATCACGTGGTTGAAATGTCGTTATTCTAACCAATCAGATGTTACAATTCGCAGGATTGGTCGATGGCAATCATGTTCAAATATAAGGAAGGTTCGTCTTGCATGAGCGAAATGGAACCTGCGCATGGTGCTGCTGGAGATCAAGTGACGAAGAAACAAAAGACTTCAGCGGAAGGCAGCAGCACACCCAAACCAACGATCGAGTGGAAGAAAACGCCTTCATTTCCACCCACAGAGGGCTCGTGCACCGTGTGGCTCCCACGCAAGCAGCGATACTGTTCCCATCACGCGACGTTCGGCTCGACCAAGTGCACGACCCATGCCGCGTTGGACACTCGATCGTCGGCAGTTGTGGCCGAGGCCACGGGTGCGGGCGTTGACGGCGAAGAGCTACCGCCACATGCGGGTAGTATGTCCATTCTCCACGGGTTGTGCCATCGTTCGTTGATGACTGACTGGTACGATATATATAGCCGAGACTGTAGCCACGTCGTCGTCGCGCAAGACCAATTTAGATCGACACTTGAAGCGCATGTTGAATCCGTTCTCGATTCCACCCCTCAAGGCAGCCCCAGTATGGAGCGAGGTTGGGAGTCTCCTTCTTTCCGACGCTGCTTGTCAATATCCTGTTTGTGTCGTGGTGGTAGCTGTTCACTGACCCTTCGTTGCCACTATGCATCGACATTGGATGTTCCAAGGGGTTGTACATCCGCGACTACCGTGATAAGAAGCAGGTCGGTCCGTGCCTCTCCTACCTTTGCCTCTCTCGAAGGCAGTAAACGAACGTTCTAAGAACGTTCTAGCTCACCTCAAACTGGAACTTTGTCGGCGTCGAAATCTTCGAGCCGTACGTGGTGGCGGCCAACGCCGCGACGGCTGCCTCCACCAGTCTCGAGCCCAAGAACCTCGCATATGTTCATGCCAACATCAACAACAGCCTTGAGACCCTCGTCGCAGGTCAAGTAATCGGTCGCGTGAGTTTGCTGTTTCCCGATCCGTGGGGATGTGGGCTCGCAACAGAACACAAGAACAAAAAGCGACGAGTGATGTCACTGTCGTTCGCCAAGGTGCGATTATTTCGAACCACTTTACCTCATCTCACGTTGTAGCGATTGGCGGCGGCAATGCCCATCGACTCGGAGTTCTATTTGGCCAGTGACTACGAAGACCTGGCGCTCGACATTCGGTCGCATCTGCTGGCCACGGGCGCCTTTGATGTGCCTGAAGAAGGACAGTATAAGCCGACCATGACGGCGCCCGCCATGCGACAGAGTTACGAGAACAAGGAAAAAAAGGAGCGGCTCCTGGATGCGTCCAAAGGCGTGGGCAAGATCGCGGCCGAGTCGGGTGCGTGTGTGTTGTCATATTGGTTGTTGATTAGACTATTGGATTGGGTGGAATAGATGCGACAACTTTATGGCTTGCGACCATGCCGCTGGGGGTGCCCACGGAGCGCGATATCATTTGCGAAAACCAATGGCGACCGGTGTATCGCCTTGTACTGACTCGTAACAGCACGTTGTCTTAAGAAAACCCGTGGGAATCGAATGGGCCGTTGGGTTGGCATCTTCATGACAGAGAGATGTGACTAGTTATCTCAGTACTTAGTGAATGAAAATCGAAAGCGTTCATGTTGGATACGTCGTCGTGATTGGGGGTGTATTCGCCTGAACTGTAAGGAAATGTATGGCAAGTTGCCACGTCACATCGCATTGGACTGACTGGTCACTCAACAATCTCACTGAACGTTTTACGACGTACTAGTAGTACTGTACAGTACTGGTATATTACTGGTATACGAGTAAGAATTATCCGGTGACTTTATCCGGCTAACATTTTGTTTTCACTCTGAACTCAAGGATGCGAGCACTAACAGTAAAGGTTGACATAGGTCGCTTATGCGCAATGAGCGCGTGTTATCGCTTCGACTTCATCGTAATCGACGGCCATTAGGTCTATGCATGACTTGGTTGAGTCTGAAGCAGTCGTGGTGGTGGTGGTATGCCGTGGTTGCGGAGACACACGAAAGTCCACGCCCTGTACATGAAAGTTTGGTATCACTTGAAAGATGTATAAACATATAAAATTGCCAATTCAATGCAGAAAATAAAGCTGTTCGGTGTGTTGACATGTTCAGTAATTGTTGCCCGAACAGGGGCACCTGGGCATAAAAATGGTCCGTATTCTTGGTATCTTTGTAATAGTAATTAACTTATTGTCTAACTCGTTACCTGGCCTAATTGGATAAGGCATTCGTCCGCCTACGAAGCGGGAGATGTCGTGGACTTCTCTGTTTGAACCAACTGGTCGGCCCCACATAATTGCAGCACGCGTAAGTGTTGTGCTCTTCTGCTTTTGTCATGGTCTAGGATAGTGGATGGCCTTGGTGGCCAGTGTACGAGCCCTTCGTGGTAGCTGGGGATAAAGTTGAGAAAATCTGCAAGAACTTTCGGTTCATCCAACGCCAGTTTACCGTACGCCCCGAAAAATTGCACGAGTAAAACGTGGTTTCGGACTAGCTGGGTTTTTATACGTTTTGAACGATTTACTGTTAAACCTGTCTAAACCTCCACGTCTTTTTGATTCAACGTGTTGCCTAAACGATTCGCAAACTGGTTTTTCCATGCGACGGTTGAACGATATATGTCATTTTTAATCGACTCAGGTGATCATGCCTGCTACCTCGGCCGCCGCCGCCACAGTCGTGACCAGCCCTGAACTGATGCGATGCATCTTCGCACATCAATGCGGCGTCTATGAAGACATCCTACCTTTGACCAAACTTTTACCCCTCCATCTGTCGAACCGATCACTGTACTTCCTCATGATCGGCAACTACCCTGTGTTCCGACACCACCTCGACCACTTCGCGCGTGGGTTTACGCCTTGGTTGAAGGTCCACGGCACGTCCAGCCTCCCTCGGCTATTCACATGCGTCATCTCGATGCCATTCACGGTGGAGCTGTTTTCTGCATGCGTTGGCCACCTGGACATTGTCGACTTCTTGATAGACCATGACTACGTGGATCCATCGATTCCGCTGATGGACTTAGCAGCATGGGCTGGTCAATTGGCAGTCATGACACACCTTTTGGCCCGGAAACCTCGCGATGAAACCTCCAAGCACCACACACTCACGCCCACAACCCTCGACTGGGCGGCGTGCAATGGGCAGTTGAATGTTGTGCAATATTTCACAAAGACGATGATGGCGCCTTGTACGACTGACGCCATGGACGGCGCTGCGCGATGTGGCCATTTGGACGTGGTGCAATATTTGCATGCGAATCGACACGAGGGATGTACGACCGACGCAATGGATCGCGCGGCGTGCTATGGATTTCTAGATGTCGTCCAATTCCTACATGTGCATCGACAGGAAGGATGCACCCACCGCGCGATGGACGCCGCCGCGACCGGTGGACATTTGGAGATTGTACAATTTCTCAACGAACGGCGAGACGAAGGCGCGTCGTCCGACGCCATGGACGGCGCGATTCTCAATGGGCATTTGAACGTTGTGAAGTACTTGGTGGACCACAGCAGCGTTTCCACGTCATCGGTCGACGTGCTCCACGCGGCTCTGGCCCTGGGCGACCAACCCATGACGGCGTTTTTGATGAACCGATTTTGTCTGGAAGGGGACTTCTGGTCGGACGAGGATAACCACCACAATGACGTCGTCGACTACGGCATAATCACAGGATTCTAACACGAAATACTCGACTTCAACTTCAAAAGAACCTGAATGAAGTGATAAGGAGTACCATATTATAATGCTAAGCTTAGTACTGTACGTGATTACAGTACGGTACTACGTAGTACACATAACGTACATTGCCATGCATGTATACACTGTAACGTAAAGTGCCAATTAATAGCGTAATTAATGACGTATAAAACTAAGCCAATCACTGAGCCCCAAATTGGTAATGCACCAATCACAGATCAAACCTCTGAATATGTATACTTGTAGCCGTAGGTTAAAATATATGCATGGCGAAAATGCTCAAGTTGGAGGTTTGATTGTCATTCTTAGTGTCCAAGGACTGGCTAACGTCAAGCGTACGAATACAACCTTGCCTGAACTACTGTACTGTTTGGTGGCTTAACGTTATGCATGGGAAAGGTGTACCCATCTACGACTAACGTTAAGGCAAAAATGGTTCCTTATACCAACAGCCACGCGTTAATGGTACAGTATGGCGTTAACGTTAGTAGGACCAGGAGCCACGATGGGGTTAGCTTGGGGGCGTTGATGAAGGCTGCCTCTCCTCCATCTCTCCACCATAAGCTTAGTGCAACTCGCATTCCTCTCACCTCCATTCGCCATACCGTACTCGTCGAACTCGCCGTGCCTCACTCATGGGAATAGGATAAAAACGTGTGGCCATTTGACTTTTTACTGGTGGTCATATCGAAAATGTCATGTGTTGTAGTTTTGGTCGTCGTGGTTAAACTGTGGAAATTACTGTTAACGAGAATTGCTTGGGCATATCTACCGGTAGCCTTATAAACGTATCGAGATCGTAAGCTCAACGTCACACGCAAACCATAACGTCAGTCGTAGGTTCATGACGTTGACGGAAGTGATTGCCAAGTATCAAAACGAGTACACAGGACACGAGCCTTTTGATCCTCAGGATGTGAACGCCACGATTCGACCCTGAGGTGGCAACTTCAGTCGAACTGTATGGTATGACCAGCACTACAGCTCACAAAGTACACTCTAACACTTACAATACCTTCGCAAAGATATAGGACCAACGGCTTGTTTCACGTTAGCTAAAATGGAGTGATATTACTCTTACTGGGCTTCTCGACTACTGGTACAGAAGCAACAATCCAGTGATGGCCACTAAGTAAAACTCCACCACACCATTTAACCACGAGTGAAGCCCCACGTCTAACTCTACCTGAAAATCCACGAGCAAAACCCCAAAACACCACTAGTGAAAAACTGCCTCCCCCTCACTCATATACATCCAAGTAGTGTACAGTGCTATTAAAATAGCACCTACATATTTCGAAGTAAAAATTAACATGAAATCTTGTCCAGCAATTCATAATGTAATCGACCAAATTCTCGCTTGTGTACTACCAGTAGTATGTTGCCACTTGCATCGTCCAAGCCACTGTCTAGGATGATGGTTGACATCATGTTGGCAACAGGACAACTTCGTCCAGGTGTCGATTAGGTCCAGCCCCCAACAAGCACCTTGTCAACATACAGTCTTGGTAAGTACTTGTAAAACACACCACCACTTTCGGTAGTAGTACTAGTAGTATATACTAGATACTGTACCGTGTCGTCTTTGTTTCGTGAACCACCAAGTAACAGTAGATACGTAGTACTTTAGTTTGTGTGTTGGTTGATGTTATATAAGGGTCTATTTCTTGGCCAGCAGCGCGAGCTTCTTGTCTTCGAGGGCTTTGACCTTGTCCGACTTTTTGCCGATCCCGTGCTGCATGCGTCCATATAATCGTTTCGCCTTTTTGTTCATCATATTCACGGCCATGTCGTGGAGCTCTTCGTCCTCGGCTTCGCGCTTGGCCTTCTTCGAGGGCTTGCCTTCAACCGCCGCCGCGGGCCGCTTCTTGGTCGCCACATCCTCGTCGTCGTCGTCGTCGTCGTCGTTGTCGATGGTAGCCGCCACTCCCCCGTCGGCTTCGGCCTTCAAGCCCTGGACATACGCGTCCTCTTCATCTTCACTCTCCGCTTCCTCTTCTTCATCGACGTCGATCTCTTCGCCCCCCGCCACATCCAACGCGCTCTTGAGCTTGTCCAGTTGCTTGCGGTAGTCTGGGACGTACCCCTCTGCGACATCGTCCACAAACGGTGACAAATGCGGCGGCAGGGCCGCCCCCGGGACGTACTTTGTCAGAGGCAGCAGCGTTTGGTTGTTGATCGAGTCAAACACCCACTGCGGCTGCACATACTCGCGTGTAAAATACCGGTGGCCTTGCTGCGGGCGATCCATCACATGGTGAGTGATGAGCTCGCTCTTCTCCGAGTACGGCGACCCGACGCCATCCCACCCGACGACCCCTCCCTGGGCTCGAATGACAAACTCGAGGCACGCTTTGGGCACTTCACGAGACAGAAAGAAGCGCAACCCGGTCAGTAGCTTGGTCGAGTTGTCGTCAGAGTCTGCGCTGTCGCCCACAAAGTCCTTGGTCAAAGCCGAAAACGCCCCAGTCAACGACTCTGTCAGTTGGCCATATGTGCTTGCTTCTTCATCATGGGCTTCTTCGTCGTTGTCGCCAGCTTGCACTTGCAACGATTGGATCCGCGCCTCCGAGTCTTGTTGTTGCTGGGCGACCGCGGCCGCTTCGTTGTCCGTCGTGTCGGCGGCGGTTGCGTCGCCCTCGTTGGAAGCTGGACTTGTTGTGTCATCAACTACCTTCTTTTCCAACTTTAACGCAGCCAACTGGACGCCAGCAGCGTCCAATTGCAAGTCGATTTTGGGCGGGTACGCCACGCCGAGCTCCGTGTACAGTTGAAAGTGCACAAACTTGAGCAGTACTTGGTAAAATTCCAAAAACGTGAGCATCACGCGCAAGTCCACGTGTTTGTCCATCGTAGGTGTGAACGTATGGGGCACGAGCCACGTGATTGTGTGGCCTTTGATCTCGGCTTGGTAGTACAACCCCTTGATGCTTACAAACACTTTGGTCAAGGTTTGGCTCGCGGCAATGTAATTTTGCCACTCGCGGACCAACTTGAGGCAGTCGGTGGTCATCTTGCTCTGGATACCCTTCACGGAGGGCATGACTGCAAACAAATGCACGAGACACAACGCATCGTCCAAGTCGCCCAGCGCGTCCTGGAAGCGAGGGTACCGCTCCTTGACGATGTGATCCAGAGGGTACGTGGGCTTGCTTTCGTTGATGCGGCGGGCGTCGGAGATTTCCTTGCGGCCTAGCGCCTTCTTGATCTTCTTCATGAACGTCTTCATGTCACGGAACTTGTTCAAGATCGGTTCGTGTGCCAAGTGCATGACGTCCTTGATGTAGTAGTACGTTGTGGCCTTGCCGCTGGCCTTCTTTTTCGGGTCGCGCGGGTAGATGCCCTTGAGAATGCACAGCCGGCGGAAGTCCTTGAGCGTGATCTGCAGCTTCTTGATGGCCTGGCTGCGTGTGATGTAGTTGGCCACGATGCCCTTCATGCCCTTCTTCTGCTCCTTGCCGAGCTTGACCAGGCGGCGCTTGGACCCATGCAAGTCGGTCTGCTTGGTTTTGATGCTCTTTAGCTTCTTCTTGCCCTTGACGCGCTTCGTGCCCATGCTGGTCGTGTGCGATCGATGGATTCCAAAACTGACGAGATGACCAACCAAAGCTGTAAACCACCAATGAAACCGTTTCGACCAATCACAACGCGACTTGAGCCGTCCACGCACCAACCAATCGTCGCCGTGGTTGCCACGACCAATCACACGACCATATATTCCAGGATATCATGTCATTGTATTGTATACAAGGAGTTGACTATGGCTTCTTGAGAGCATTCCCAGTCTTATACACTATGAACAACGTGAACTGCCACTAGATCATGCGCTATATCAAATGCAATATTGATATTCACCTTAGTCCAATATGAAAATGAGTTCACGCTGGGGTTCAAACCTCTACTAGTTTTGAAGACCTGATCCAATACCCTCGTCGTAGAATTCTAATCTTGTTCTTTGTATACGTCATCAACATGATATCATAAATGGTCTTTGAACAAGACGACCAACTTTAGCTGGTCATGCATCTTGAACGGGTTGAACATTTACTGCGTTTGAGTATGGGAAAAGAGCCGTCAGTCTATCCTGCGCAATGGTTGGCTCGAATTCGAGGTTCGTCTTTTTGACCAATGGCATCGCCGCAAGCAGTTGAAAGATCATCGCACATTGAAGATGGACGACCTCGCCGCGACCGCCACTGCTGTCGCCGACCAAGATGAAGGATCTAGTGGACTTCTATCCAAAGAGCTCATGGAAGAGCTCGGTGGAGACGAAGGTGAACTGCTGACCGTGCGGAAGAAGAAGGTCAAAGGCCAAGCCAAAGCCCCCAGTGCCGCGGTGATCCAAGCCGCCACGAAGCTAAGCAAGACCAAACGCAAGAAGTTGGTGCAGCTCGAAGCTCGCAAGGCGAAAGAAGCCCGTCGTGACGAAGTCCTGCAGTCGCTCGAGGCTCAAAAGCTGCCCCAAGCCCATCTGAATCTCATGTACTCCACCGCCAGGCTTGGTCACAAGGAGACGTTGAAAGAACGGTACCACACAAGTTGATTCGATGCAATATCAAGTGCTCAAGGCATGGCTAAATGTAGGTTGAAGCGGTCTGTGAACCAAGAGAAGGCGGGGCTGACACTCACCGCGTCTGCTCGAGAAGAACTGTACCCTGAACTTCGGCAACCCAAAGCAACATCCGAGGCCGCCGCCGGTGGTGTTGCTGCTGCTAGTTCTGAAGACGATTCCATGGGCATCGCCCTAGCCAATCCCATCTTGACGACATCCCCAGATCCCATTGAGATTGAAAAGACGCCAACACAACCGACTCAAGGCGATTCCAAGGCGAAGAAATCGAGAAAGAAAAAGTCAGTTTTGACTACCCCGGCGTCGGTCACTCCAGCTAAAGCCATTGCAACTCCGTCGACTCCTCTGTCTTGTACTGCAGCCGCTCCGTCGACTTCTGCCAACGATGGCCCATCAGCACCACCACCAGCAACAGCAGCACCCTCCACCCTGTCACATGTCGACAACAACGAAGCTACGTCCGAGTCGGCCATGATGGTCAAACTATTAGCACTTCGAGCGAAAAATGAAGCGAAGCGATTGCTCAAGGCCCAAGGCGGCGGCCCCGCCCCGGCAGCCGCCGCCGACAAGTACGAACACCTGCCCAAATACACGCCCAAACCTGTCCCCCTCAACAAAACGCACGAAATGATCGCGCTGTCCAAGCTCGTGGCGCCGTTGCAACTGCAGCGAAAGGTGACCGTGACTCGCGTCGAAGCGATTCAGCTGGGCCGGATGCAGCTGCCAGTGTGCAATGCTGAGCAAGAGATCATGGAAGCCATCGAATCGAACTCGGTGGTGATTCTGTGTGGCGAAACTGGCAGTGGCAAGACCACCCAAGTGCCGCAGTTCTTGTATGAAGCCGGGTACGGCACCGATGGCATGCATCCAGGTAATAATATGTTTCACTTTTGTCCACGGTGATCTCGAGTCCTTGTCGGTTATGCAAATGACGGGAATATATATATATATATATATATATTGATCCATTATGCATTTTTATGAGTGTATGGATGATCGATTGTCGCTTGGACGAGATATATTTTGGAACGCATGCATGTTGATATTTGGAGCCTTTACTGATGGATTTCCATTGGTCCGTCTGACAGTTTTCTTGATTCTGATTGGCTAGATGATTTGTTTCTACGTTGTTTTCGACCGAATATTGTCCAATCGGTTCGACTTTGGACTTTCACGTAGAATGCATCGAGTATGGATGTGGTCATTGTATATAAGAATGTACTAGCCAATCAAATTGCACGTTTTTGAGAAATTTCAACCAATCATCGATCAGAAGAGAGATTCACCCGGCCAAACAACCCCATATTTATTTACATGTGTATGTATATATGCTACGTACCATACATCGTACAACCTTCAAATATGACGCAAATCGCGTCTGCCATGTCCGAAATTAACCGAAAGTACAATACAGTATACTACCCATCCAAAACGCTTCTGAATAATCACAGGTTGATTCATGCGAATGATGGTACCTAAATTAGGCATGATTGGGGTAACACAGCCGCGTCGGGTGGCGGCAGTGAGCACCGCCCAGCGGGTGGCCACGGAGCTCAACGTTCCGTTTGGGAAGCGGGGGTCGGTGGGGTACCAGATCCGATATGACAACGACCACGTCGGCGACAGCACCCGCATAAAGTTTATGACGGATGGGATCCTTCTCAAGGAAATCCAGCAAGACTTTTTGCTTAAAAAGTATGTTTCTATATATATAAGTATATATATTTTGTATATATAAATACTGTTAATTATGTGTGTGCATGGATGACATTGTTTGGACGAAGCCACCAAGTCTCTACATCACACATATATATATATATATGTATATAATTATGACTTTTATTGATCACGACTACTACTAACTACTGTACTCTCCATAACTCAAATTGGACAGATAGAACTAATATATTGTTTTGAACATGATTCTTATAACGACGCATGTTTGTTTACCTTGCATTTGACTCAAGTCATATATATATATAATAGTTACTCTTATTTGGTGTATGATAGATACCCGATCGTTCACGTCGATGAATCAATATGAAACGAATTGAATATGTTGAACATGATTATTTCAATGCATGTTTACCTTGCACTTGATTAACTGCTCTAAAGTCATATATATATATATTTATATTTGGTGTGATATAGATACTCGATCATTCTCCTCGACGAAGCGCACGAACGCAATGTAAACACGGACATATTGATCGGCCTGCTGTCCCGCGTCGCGCCATTCCGAGCGCAAATGGCGATCGAAGAAAAAGAGCACTTCGAGTCGCTGTCCGCGGCCGAGAAGGCGGCGGCCCCCGCGCCGATTCAACCGTTGAAGTTGGTATGTTGTAGATCTTACTAGTAGTAGTAATACTACTAGTAGTACTAGCCTTGATTTTCGGGGGTTTCGTGTGTCGTTTACTCTTGGTGGTGTCAAAGGAGTTTGGTTTTTGCGCGATCAATGAAATCGTGCATGATATTATTTATTTCTCGTTTTATTTGTTTAGGCTAGTAGTAGTAGTAGTCGTTGGATGTTCGTAATAGTAGGTCTACATGCATGACTAGATGGCATATCTTATTCTTTTTCGTGCTGTGCATATATATATATGACGATAATGGTCGATACGATGGGGCATATGTCACTCCAGTTTGGAATGACACTAAAAACAATGGATTGTTCACTTGGCTTTGGTTGTGCCCATGTAGAGCGATTTAACGTATAATGCACATACTTGACTATATATATATATAGAATCAAATATGTGCATTATACGTTAATATATATATGTATTTATGGTGGTGTGGAATAGGTAATCATGTCGGCAACGTTGCGCGTGGAGGACTTTACAGAGAACAAGACGCTGTTCCCGTCGCCGCCGCCTGTGATCAAGGTCGAGGCGCGGCAGTACCCTGTCACAGTTCACTTTAACAAGCACACTGAGATGAACGACTACGTGCAAGCTGCGTACCAAAAGGTAAATACCCCTCAAACTTTATAAAATACATCATATGTGACTAGGTGGTGAAAATCCATCGCAAGCTGCCAGAAGGCGCGATTCTCGTGTTTTTAACTGGCCAGCGCGAGATTCTGCAGCTCGTGCGCCAGCTGAGGCGGAATTTGGGCTCTGGAAAGAAAAAAAATAAAGCCCCAGCGACCAACTCGCGGAATCGAATGCAAGACGAGGCATGGTACATCCGAGAACACGATGATGATGACGATCAAGCCGACTTGGATGACGCCGATGTGTACGGAGAAGAGACTGGTGACGACAGTGGTGACGACAGCGGTGACGAAGAAGAAGGGGATGAAGAAGGGGATGAAGAAGGGGAAGACTTGTTTCCATATGTGCATGTGTTGCCGCTTTATTCTATGCTCGCCAACGACGAACAGATGAAGGTCATAACGTGGGATATATATACATATATAAATGTATTCATTGTATGGGAACTCAGTCCAGTGTATCACTATATATATATGTATGCTTGACTATATTTTTATATAAATATATTCATTGTATTGGAACCCTGTCTGTCAGTATATATATGTATATTGTGTTGGAATTCTATCCAGTATATATATAATATATATTCATTATGTTGTAACTTTGCCCTGTACATATATATATATATATATTATACACATATAATCGACCATTCTGCATTATTTTTATGCGTGTTGGTGTAACGCCGAACCCCCGTAGGTCTTTGAAGCCCCGCCGGCCAAGCATCGTCTGGTGATTGTGGCGACCAACGTGGCGGAGACGTCGCTGACGCTTCCTGGGGTGCGCTACGTCGTGGATGCTGGCCGGACCAAGGAGCGCGTACGTCCTCCCTAAATATATATATATAATATTTTTGGTCTCGTATTTTATTGTTTTGTGTTTTTTCATAGGTGTTTGACCTGAAGAGCGGGATTTCGCAGTTTGAAATCCAATGGATCAGCAAAGCCAGCGCCGACCAGCGCGCGGGCCGAGCGGGGCGGACAGGTCCTGGCCACTGCTACCGCCTCTACTCATCTGCTGTGTACGACAACGAGTTTCAAAAGTTCTCCCCGCCGCAGGTACGCTCGAAAATCAGTATATATATATATAATATATATAATGAAAATCCACACTATGCACACGGATGTGGATGAAGGACAATCTGTATGACGACTGCTATGAAGGTGGAAATATAAACTAATGGATGGTTGGGGTTGCATTATAATATATATATAAGGGTGCGTCTGGTAACTTTTCAAAAATATTATTCCATTTTTTGGCAAAATATGGATAAACGAAAAATGCCATTTTCAAAAAGGAGGTAAAAGGTCGTCCAATATTTTGTACGATGGCGTTTTGGACCTCCTCAAAAAGTATAAATCCCACTCGGACTTATTGGATTTGGATCTCTTCTAGCAAAATAAGTTTCAAATTGATCACGTTTGTTGAATTGGGCCCCAAAATGGCGTTTTGGGCCGGAATATTATAATATTTCAGGTTGTCAGACGGGCCCTAAAGTTTGATGCATGTATCTATATCTATCGATCTATCTATCCATATTGTATATCATATAAATATGTAAATATTAATATAAAGTATGGAATACTATTTTGAAACATTTGTAGATTCTTTGCCAACCCATCGAAGACGTGGTGCTGCAGATGAAAGCGATGGGTATTGAAAATATCCTGCAGTTCCCCTTCCCAACGCCCCCAGAAGAGTTGGCGCTGCACACGGCCGTGACCACGCTGCTGCATTTGGGCGCCCTCCATCGAACTACCAACACGATTACTGGTAAAATATATATATATATATATATATATCGTTTTTTATAACTATCCATGTATACGAAAAAAAATATTTATTTTTACGATATGCAGTCAATAGACGCATCTATCTTGTTTCATGGAAATGACAAACATTTGGTCCTTGTTGTATAACTTTCATCAATCATCTTAGGTTTGGGCAAGACGTTGGCGGGGTTTCCCGTGGCTCCGAGGTAATCTACATATATAAATATATATAAATTCTCTTGTGCGGATATATATATATATATATATATAATAAATCTACAATGTCACAGGTTTGCCAAGATGCTGCTGCTAGCGCAACAAGTAGGGTGTTTGGAGTATGCCATTGCGGTCGTGGCCAGCTTGACCGGGCAAAGCCCGTTCATTTTGGAACGCGAACGAAAGGAGGCGGAATCGTATCGAAAGGAAGCCAACGACGAAGACAAGCTGCCGTCGATCGACGCCGAATCTTCCGAGCCCCAGAAGAACGAGATGACTCAAGTAGATAATGCATGGACGGAAGAGCTCAAGGAAGCCGAGGCCATGCAGCGCCATGCGCAATGGATGGACGACGACAGCGACGTGCTGAGTATGCTGCGGGCGGCCGGCGCGTACGCCTATAGTGGCGGGTCCAGTGTCTTTTGTACAGAAAACCACTTGCACGAAAAGGTATATATGTATGTATGTAGCCTTCGTGTGTTGGAATTGTATATATATATATATATATATAATATATATACAAGTCATATATATATATATATACAACTCATATATATATATACAACTCATATATATACTGTATATACAACTCATATATATATATATACAATTCATATATATATATATTTGTTTTAGGATGTGGGTTTGAGTTTTTTTATTTTTCATAGATGGGGAGTGCAACCCCTCAATCGATTATCTTCTTCGTCTTTTTTAAAATATAATAGGATTTAATACCGTTTTACAGGTGATGGAGCAAATGCTAAAGTTGCGAAGTCAACTGACGAATATTGTCAACAAACTCACTGTGGGTGGACATGCCGCCGTGACGCTGCGCCCGAATATGCCGCCGCCATCCGACCATGATCAGGACATGCTGCGTCAGATCCTGGCGGCGGGTGTGACGACATTAACTTGGTTTGTGAAATATTACAACTAACGAGTTGCCTGGGTAGGTTTCCTCGACCAAGTGGCCCGTCGGGTGCCGGCAGGTTTGTAGAGATTTAATTATTTTTAAATATATTTATATATATTGTGGGTTGTAGGCACAATCACTAGTGGCACCAAGATCGAACGGAATTGCGCCTACATGTCGTGCAATGGGATTGTGACGGAACCGCTGTACATCCACCCGCACTCGCATTTGTTTACGACCAACCCCAGCAAAGTAAATTGAATCCCTATTTTTGGTTTTTAGGGGAATGAATTATAACGTCATTATCGCTGTTTGTAGTTGCCCCAATACGTCGTGTACAGCAACATCGTGCGCACATCCAGGTACGGATCAGAATCCTTTGTCTGATTCCGAGAATAGTCTGATACGTGGCGTTCTGATTCGGATGATTTTGGATTTGCGACTGTTTTCCCTCAACTTGCATGAACGCTTGGTTCAATATCTGGCAGGACGACAACCAATAAAAAAACCATTATTTTATTTTTACAATATTTTAAATAACCACTTACTTGAGTTTTATATATATATATATATATATATATAAATCGTAGTCATTGAATATCAACTAGTTTGTCCTTGTCGGCTATAGTTTTGGCGCTTTCATCACATATGGATATCCCATGTCTACTTGTGAAAAACTTGATTGTTTGAACGATTCATTATACTAACTCATAAACGCATAGTCCACTCATTTTGTTGTTTCGTATCACCTTCATTTTATATTCTATTCGTATATATTGACAAAACAATCTAAACCATATACTATATATATATATCCTATTATGCACAACGAGGTAGAGCGTACATGAAGACTGTGACTGCGATCGAGCCGGACTGGCTCCATGCTGTGGCCGCCGACTCGCCGTTGTGCGACACGTCCGAGCCTCTGGACGCGCCCCCGCCCAAATATAACGCCGCATTGGACAGGGTCGAGTGTTATGTCAAGCCCACGTACGGCAGCTACAAGTGGGAACTCCCGGCAGTGTTGGTATGTACTTAGTAGTAGTCGATGTTCCACCTCTGAAAATTTATATTTTTAGGTGGAATACCCCGCCGGGCCAGTGAAATTTCGCTGGTTTGGTCGATTTTTGCTCGACGGGCTCGTAGTGTCGGCTTTAAAGCCTCTGTTGGCCACCAAATTGCGTGAACCGAGCGTGTCGTTGATCAAAAAAAAATTCGACGCGAAAATTCAACTGCTGGTGTCGGCCCTCGAACGGTATGATAAGATTTATTAAAAGCTTTAATTATTCAAACAAAATATAGAATGTGTGTGTGTGTTTTGGTTGATTTTTGATGGTTTTGACGAATATTAATTGTCACAGGTCCAACGTCAGCTCGCGACGAGCGTTGGTGGCGCAGTGGCAGTGCAACCCTCAGTTTTTATGCGAACAAGTGCTGAACTGGGTGCAAGACAACCACAAGGCTGCACTCAAACAGCACTGGAACGCCCTCGTGATGCGCCAAGTGCAGGCGCTGTAGATAGACGAGTACTACGAGTGCTTGGATGGACATGTTGCTGACCTCTCCACGCCCGACTGAACAATCGACTTTCTCGGATATAACAACCCCGTTAGTGTCATGTCCAGCCGATTGGTATTATACCTATATTTGCCACTTGGCGTCCAAACTATATATGCTGTAGTTGGTTATGATCATCACTCAAAAAGAAAAATAGTACTAGTGATACTGAAATACTACTAAGCATACTGTAAACCACCGAATCGACCTAATCCTGTACTGTTAATAGTAGTAGTACATAAGTACAGGTCATTCATTCCCAACTTGCCTTGATATCAGTCCATTGCGACTCCTTTCGACACACTCCATCATATACTGACTGTATCCCACAACCACAGAAGCATATATACAGCACAAATGTCATTCTTCTTCTTCTTCCTCGTCTTCTTCTTCTTCTTCCTCGTCGTCTTCATCAAACACAAGCTGCTCATTCCGTTGGAACGAAGTCGATTTGGACAATCGCCGCTGTGTCGTCATCACGTGCTTGAGGGGGCTGCTGTCAAACAGTTTTTTCCACTTGGCTACTTGGTCCTGCGATGCACTCAGCGACGTCGAAAAGTGCGTCACGAGGCGCTGGAGTTCCTTGTTTTGACTCAGTACCCGTTGCATTTCCTACGGTACTTTCTGAATTAATATATATATATATATATATATATATATACCACGTCGCCCATGCCCCGTTGCTTGACGTGGCAGTCCAAAGCGTTCTTGAACTCGTTCATTTCGTCCATGTATCGCTTGACGTCGGCTTTGGCTTCGGCCAAATCGATCTGCAATTGCGTGCGTTCGATCAAGTGGGCTTCGAGGTCACCCACGCTTTGTCCATGCTAAACAAACCAAATCAGTACATTCCACATACTAGCTGATATATCTATTGTCAAATCGATTCGAAACTGGAGCCCCTCCGCATAATCGATTGTCTTAAGAGAATCGATTAAACAACCGGCTAAGCCAATCAAATATCAATGTCATGTCGAGGTTCTGCCAATCCAAATGTTTGACCCCTCCGCATTATTGGGTAAAACCACATATATACTAATCGTTGTATAGTATATAGTGTATACAAGCTTAAATGCGATCAAATAGTTTTTGGCGAAATGACTCACAAGTTCAAATTTGGGTGAAATGCACAATATATATATATATATACATTAGATTCCATCGCCATATACTACTGAATATATATATATAATCAAAATATTCGATACCTTGAGCAAGCGCCGCAATTCTTTCGACAAGTCTGTGGTTTTGGCTTTTAGAGCATTGCGTTCTTCGACGAGTGTCATGTACAGTGCCTGCTGGGCCGCCAACTCTGCCCGCACCTACAAAGAATAAACTCACCATTTGAATCGTCTTCACAGGGACATATATATATATATGGGCATACTGTGCGGCAATCCTCGTCCAAGGCAGCCCACTTGGCGTCAACTTCATGGTCGTGGCTTCGCAAAGCAGCCAGCTGAGCTTCCAGCTCTTGGTTGGTCTGTCGGAGGTCAGACAGGGATCGTTCCATCTGCTGTGCGTTTGCTTCCACCTTCGTGTCATTGTTAATATATATATATATATTATGAATTTGCTACAAAATTCCCAATTCTTTGTGCGATTCCGCAGAAAGCACGACGTCAAAAGAGAAAATGATGTAGCCAATCAGCAACAAGCATATTTTCAGATTGACCAATGGGAGCGATTCCTGATCGGTTACGTCCGCGTGAGATTCGATATGGCACGGGGTCCAGAAATTCATACCAAATCCATAATATATATATATATTTCCAATATATATATATATATATTGGTCATGTTTCCGTACTTGTTTGGTTCGTGCGATGGCGGCGTGGGCGACTTGGAGCTCCCCCCGCAACGTATCGACGGTCGCTTGGAGGAGTTTGTGGGCCGCGGCTTGGTCCTCCAGCTTGCGCTCGCGGACTTCGACGGCGACCGCCATAAAGTTGCGCTCGTTTTGAGTCGCTTTTAGCAGGAGCGCTTGCGACGCCAGTTGTTTCTACCTCCACGTTACACAACCAACATATATAACACTATATTCCAATCCGTTTCAAGTTGGAAAATGTATTTGGTCTAGGTAGGTAGGTTAGAAAATGTCCTAGCCAATCATAAAACATCACAAATGATAATTTCAGCCAATCATCGAAGAGTTTTTTAATTGTGTTGTATACTACATACATTCAACATAATGTAACACTCCAATCGATACTATACCAACTCCACGATTTCAGCAAAAAGGACAATATAATATATAGATAACATGCTCAACATACCTTTAGGATGGCCACGTCGTCCGCCGCCGCCGCCGTTTCTGTCATTGTCTGCACAGGAGGTGATTTCCCATCCCCAACAAGAGCTACCCCTCGAACGTCTTCGCTCAACGATGGACAGTCCCCGTCAGTCTTGTCGCTAACAAGCAAGCTGACGGCTGGAGCGGTGAGCCTATCAAACAATCGCATTCCATCCATCAGATTCCACGTTGAGATAGATTAGCCACCACATTTGCTCCAACTGGACCATACACGTAGTATTAGCTAGCCATGCTTACTTTGCCTTGTCCACGACCTCGCCAAAGTAATTGGCTTCAACGTCGCGGGCACTCGCGTCGACGTCGGCGCTCAATCGGTTGGCTCGAAATGTCCGCACCGTCGATGCGATGATGTCTCTTGTGGACGCACTTTGCGCCGTGAGATGCAGTGTGGCCAGCGTGGCTTGGTGAATGGTCGGATTTAGCCCCGTGTCACATGTGCCGACGGCGTCCCCCAACGGTCGGAAGCGCAGAATGAACCGCGTCGGGTCCTCTGGGTCCAGGTACACGTGCAAGTGGCCATCGTATGGCGCATCCACGACCGTGTTGAAGTCGTCTTCTGAGATTTGAATCACCACCACATGCGTCGAGTTCACTTTGAGTTGAAAACTAGAAGAACACAATAATTATATAGATATACAATCAAAACACACACAAATAGTATATTACAACCATCTGGTCCATATATTTAGAATATATATATGTAGTCGTACCTGACAAGCTCGGAACTGGCCAACGTGGCCTAATAAAGCACCAACCGCCTCGTCAGCAGCCCATCCAAACCATATCGAGAATAATTTCTTACCGAAAACAACGCCGAACCAGCTTCCACCATCATGCGCGTCGTGTCTTCCACCGACGGATCTAGCCAACATCATGACAGTTATCCGGATGTGACAGAGTCACACAGATAGTCAGTCGCATACCAATGACAAGTGGATGGGTCAACTCGATGAGTTTCACGGGGGATGACACCCCCAGACGACTGACGTGGCATGACAGGCCGACGGTGACGCCGACGTCGTCGATCGACGGCATGTACGTTCGTTGGGTAGCTCCTATGACAATCCCCATAAGAAATGCCTGAAACATAAATGTGTGCTTGTACCTTGAAGCAGCAGCCAGTGCCGATGGTTGGGGTGTACCACGCGGTACCATTGGCAGTGCACTTGGCCGTCTTGGACGCCCATGGGTTTGCTGGCCGAGACGAGATGGAGCCCAGACGTGTGGAAGGGATTGCCAGGTTCGCGAAATGCGATCGTAGCCCCCGCGAGCCACGGCGTCCACTCGTCGTCTACACGATCGACATGAGGAACGTTCTTGGGATCGAAAGAAGAACGTTCGTGGAACATTCTCTTGACAGCAACACACCAATGCACCTGGGTCGTTGATGTTGTGGTAGGTGGCGGATGGACTTTTGCCGCCGATAAACTTGAACAAGTTGGAGCTGGACGCAACGACCTTGTCCAACGTGATCGAGTCTTGCCAGTGCTTGAACTTTTGTTGGAATTTATCCTACCGCCCACGAGAATATATATATGTTAGGGACAAAAGGGGAAAACATCCCATTAGATATTACGTTGGCAGTGCCAGGGGGGGGTGTCACGGGCTGCGGCTGTTGATGTTGGGGGGCTGGAGGCGTGGCGGCCCATCCCACGGACGAGATTGGGATTGTTCCCAATGTATGTGGGGAAGATGGAGACGGAGATGTGGGCGTTGAGGTGCTGGTGGTGGTGGTGGTGGGGATGGCGATGAGATCTCGTGGGGAATGGGGGATTGTTCCCTTGGGCATTTCCGCAGCTGTCAACGACGATCGCTTTGGTCGCATGTCGAGGATTTGTCCAAATTTGCCCCATCGTCCGCCGCCGCTTCCACTGGGATGCACAGGGAAAAATCCCCACGTGAGACTACAACCATCCAACACCGATTGTACGAGTACTTGGTGGGGGTGGGGGGCTGCGCTGGATCCGATGGAGGAAGCACTTGCTCGCTGCCACGATGAGGCACGGGGGCACTGGGTGACGAGATGGGAAAGTACTCGGGGACGTACACTTTCGGCAATACCTACACAGCACCACGATGCGATCATCGGTCATCATGTCGTGAGTTGGGTGTCGTGAGTTCGATGACGACGACGACATAACGACGAAAGACCTGCAGGACCAGCGGAAAGTTTGCGTTCTTGGCTTCGAGAACAATCCGCTGGAATGGAAGGATGGTACAGTCGACGTCATTGAGGGCGAGGACGAGGTCACCGACGTGGACGTTCCCACTGAGCTCGGCTTGGCCTTTCCCGCCGTCCGCCGTTGCTCGGAATGATTTCACGAGTGCGCCGAGATGTGGCGACGTGCGAGAGCACAGATCCATGTACAATGGTCCGCGGGATTCGTACACGACTTTCTTCACCACTGACTGCATTTCCTCGAGACGGTCGGCGCGTGTGTCGCCGACCCCGCTAAGTTTGGTCGATGTGGGACTGGGGTTGTCGTCTTTGACAACCCCATTAGGATCGTCAGCGTCATCGTCGTCATGGGACTTGGCAGTCGAGAACTGGTCCATTCGCTCGTCGTGGTCGACGTCGGGCTGCTTGAGCATGTCCATTCCTTCCGATCAAGATACGATCGCCGAGTGGCGTTCGACGGATCAAGTTATTTTTGGAGCCAACACAAATTCGGATAATTTCAAGATGGTGTCCGGATAAACGTGGTCCATTTCACGAAATGTTTATTATTACATACCAATTTCAAGTAATAACACTTTGTTTAAATGCTTCCAGCTGGGCTGGTGCGTGAGTATGGATGGAATCTCTTGGAGAAGAGGAGCTGCATATGTAACGACGACGTGATGAAGGTGGCCTTATACTTCATCTGTTCCTTGTTACGTCGACACGTGAGGCAAGTGTGTACAGTTGTCGAGAATGTCGAGGTGTGTGGGGGTCGTACTAGTCTGTCGTCGCCGTCGACACTCGTTCGTTGGTGCGGACATGTCATGCATGAAGATCATCCACGACTTGCTTCGTGTGCGAGACGGCATGCAATGCGCTCAAGTCAAATGCCGCTACACTGTAACCAGCATTGTAAGCTGTTGTCCAAGCCTATGGTGTACTTACTGTACGTGAGACCGTCCTTGGTGGGGCACTGAAGTACAACAAGCACTCCATAGGCTATCGATGCCAGTTGTTTTAAGAATGAATGCCGGCACAGCACATGCATGCATCGTAAGGCTTCGTTGCCAACTGTCCCCATCATCACCGTTCACAGCAGCTACCGAATGGAAGTGACAGTCGTGTCTTCGATGTCATCCCCGGGCTAATGGTGGTCCATGCTGTCACTTGGTTCGTGGTCGCGGTGTGGCCGCTGTGAAGTTGCGTCAAAAATCTCGTGGTGGCCATCTTGAAGTTTCGAAATCAGGACTTTTTGCAGCACAAATTAATATCTTACCCTCACTATGTATTCTGAGTTCAAGGCAATAAAATGAAAATCCCGGATAATCGTATCCGGACATCTTTGTTCTCTTTTGTTGGATGCCCTTCAAATTCGCATTTTTTGTGTGGTGATTGATACTCTGCTCAAGATGGAAGACTTGCAGAAGAGATTGGCGGCGCTGGAACAAGGCGCCGAGGACCGCCACCTGGAGGTGCTGGGAGGTCATTTGGGTGCCCGTCGCGAAGAACAGTCGGGTACGGAATGGCCTGCCGAGCGCATTCGACAGACGTTTGTGGACTTTTTCATCAACCATCCGTCGTTGCCGCATGTCGAGTACAAGTCGTGCCCCGTGGTGCCGTTGGACGACCCAACGTTGTTGTTCATCAACGCGGGCATGAACCAGTACAAACCCATCTTCCTTGGGCAAGTGGACCCGTCCCACCCGATGTCCAAGCTCACTCGCGCCGTGAACTCGCAAAAGTGCATTCGCGCCGGCGGCAAGCACAACGACTTGGACGATGTGGGCAAGGACGTGTACCATCACACGTTCTTTGAAATGTTGGGGAACTGGAGTTTCGGCAACTACTTCAAGGCCGAAACGATCGACCTCAGCTGGACTTTGTTGACCAAGGTGTACGGGTTGGAACCGGATCGGTTGTACGTGACGTACTTTGGCGGCGACGACAAGCAAGGCCTGCCTGCCGACGAGGAAACCAAGCAATTGTGGCTCAAGTACGTCGCATATTCGTCGTCTGTCGTCCTTTCTGCTGCATGTTGTTCATCCCGCGATTGTGTGTAGGCACGTGCCGGAATCCCGGTTGCTTCCGTTTGGATGCAAGGACAACTTTTGGGAAATGGGCGACCAAGGTCCGTGTGGGCCATGCACGGAGATCCACTACGATCGCATTGGCGGCCGCGACGCCGCTTCCCGCGTGAACGCGGACGTGCCGGACGTGATTGAGATTTGGAACAACGTGTTCATCCAGTTCAACCGCGAACCCGACAGCTCCCTCGTCGTGCTGCCGTCCCAACACGTGGACACGGGCATGGGCTTTGAACGCCTCGCATCCATCCTCCAGGGCAAGACGTCCAACTACGACACGGACGTATTCGTGCCGCTGTTTGCGTCGATCCAGGCGCTGTGCGGCACCACCGAGCCGTACACGGGCAAACTCGGCGACGAAGACCCGACCCTCAAGGACATGGCGTACCGCGTGGTGGCCGACCACATCCGCACGCTGACGGTGGCCATTTCGGACGGCGCCGCCCCTTCCAGCGACGGCCGCGGGTATGTCCTTCGTCGCATCTTGCGCCGTGCGGTGCGCTACGGTGAGCAATTCCTTGGCGCCCCCCGAGGCTTTCTGTCCAAGTTGGTGCCCAAGGTCGTTGAAATGCTCGGGGGAGCGTTCCCGGAATTGATTTCCAAGCAAGCGCAGGTACATACATGCTGCAAAATATATATATATATATGATAGATTCGATAGAATGGAAACATGGATGTGTATTATCCATGTCTACATGACGGATGGATCTATATATATATATATATATACATATGCATATAATTTTTTATATTTGAATTGACAGTATCTTGGTTATATTTGAATAATCGGATCGATGTTTTTAGCTATTGTATATAATGGATTTTACATGCATATATATACTTGTATGATGTATTTGACTTGAATCTATGATATGGGTAAATATTTGAATGATCAGATTCACTCTTGACATATCCATGGATTTGAAAACCGATGCGATCTACTATATCTATATAAAATTCAAAATGTACGGTTCATATATATATATATATATATATATATATATATATACACTGGATGATGTATTAATCTAACGAGTCGCTCTGGTTATTAGGTGATTGAAGTGATTTTGGATGAAGAAGAGAGCTTTGGGCGAACGTTAAGCAAGGGTCTGGACCGGTTCAAGAAGATTGCGGCGGCATTGAAGAGCGAGAAGAAGACGGTTGTACCTGGCGAAGACGCCTTCTTCCTGTACGACTCGATGGGGTTCCCATTGGATCTGACGCAGCTCATGGCGGAAGAGCAAGGATTGGTCGTGGACGTCGCTGGCTACGACCTTGCGATGAAGGTCCAACGTGAAAAGTACGTCGTATTGTGCTTTCGAGTGAAGTTTCATTGTGTTGTGGTTTCTGGTTGGAATTCAAATCGATTTGATTGGCTACTTCAGATGAGCTCAAAATTATTAGCCAATCAAAACCACCTTCTCAATGAAAACAATTCAACCAATCAGATCGATTGGGGATCGGTTTGGTCGATTGCACCCCCTCCCCAAATTTGGATCAAATCGACAATAAATCAAAACGCATTCTATTTTGTACTTGCCGTGCTTGTAGCTCGGGCAAAAAGGTGGGCGTGGCCGGCGTCCGCCCGTTGGTCCTCGAGTCGGCGGAAACGGCCTACTTGACGGGGCACCAGATTGCGCCGACGATGGACGACGCCAAGTACATCCAACAGCACGTGACGGCCTCGGTCGTGGCCATCTTCACCACCACCGCCACCGCGTCCACGTTTGTCCAGTCCACGACGGCGCACGAACATGCGGCCATTGGGGTGATCTTGGACACGACCAGCTTCTACGCGCAATCGGGGGGTCAAGTACGTCTCTATCTAGAACATTCTTGTGGTTTTTTATATCTCTTGCCGAAGTATATATATATATATTGTCGTTGTACCCTAATATCTGTGGACTTTGGTGCTGATCCGCCAAAATCGATAGATCGATTCTTTGTCCTGATTTTTGTATGTATAGATCGTCCAGTATCACACTAATTTCAGTCCATGTTAAATGCGTCAAAGTGTGGATTTGATTGGCTACTTGATTAGTCTTGTGGGTTTTCATTGGTCGATATATCGATTGTCTTCCTGCGATTTGGTCAATCTGCTCAATCGATTGAGCATTCCAATTTCGAATCGACTTGACTATATATATATATATATATATATATAGGTTGCTGGGTTTTTACGATATTATTAGTAGTATGAGTCGTAGTGTGTGTGTTCAACATTTATACTTTGTCACCCATGCGTCGTATATATATATATATGTAAACCACCACTTGTAGGCGAGAAACATGTTTGAATTCTGCTGATCATGTTGAAAACCCCTTGTCCATGTAATAGTTGTTGGGTATTTATATATATATATATATATAGATTTACGACACGGGCGTGATCAAGAATGGCACGACGCACTTCAACGTGCATGCGGCCGAGTCGTACGCTGGCTTTGTGCTCCATGTGGGTCCGTTGACAAAGGGTACTCTGCACGTGGGCGACGTCGTGCAAGTGGAGGTCGACTACCAGCGCCGCAACAAGGTCGCTCCCAACCACACGATGACCCACATTCTCAACTTTGCTCTGCGCCGCGTCCTTGGCACTATCGTCGATCAGCGGGGCTCGCTCGTCGACGACGCGCGCCTTCGCTTTGATTTCACCTCCAACAAACCGTTGAAACCCGACCAAGTATGTCCATTTATTTATATATATATATATATATATATATAGTCTAGTCGATATATACATTGACATGATGTGGTATAGATTGCAGCGGTGGAGACCATTTGCAAGGACGTGATTTCGCAAGAGTTGCCCGTGTACGTCGAGTCTGCGCCTCAGGCCCATGCCAAGCGCATCCAGGGACTTCGAGCCGTGTTTGGGGAAACCTACCCCGACCAAGTGCGCGTCGTGTCGATTGGGGCGGCGATTCCATCGGTGCGCCATCTTGTTAATACCTCACAGTTCAAGTGGTGGATGTGGTGGTTAGATGCTGGCCGATCCAGAAAACGCGGCATGGAAACAGTTTAGCGTCGAGTTTTGCGGCGGGACCCACTTGACCAACACCAAGGAAGCCGTGTCATTTGCATTGTTTGAGGAAGGCGCCGTGGCCAAGGGCATCCGTCGCATCAGCGCGTACACGGGCGACGCGGCCAAACAAGCCGACGCCCGCGCCGACGACCTCCAGAAGCACCTGGACGACCTCGCCAAGCTGCCAGTGGTGGACATTGTCACGTCTGTGGCGGCGTTCCGACCCGTGCTCGACACGGCGCTCATTTCGCTTCCCCGCAAGGAGGTATGTGTTTGTCGAATGATGGTCTTCAAAGTGTTGGTCCATGCACACGACGCAATGTATTGTTGTCGACCATGTAGGCGCTGAAGCACCAGTTGAACAACCTGATTGACAAGATCAAGGCGTGGCAAAAGGACGAAGCGGCGGCTCGTGCGGCGGCCGGTGTCGCCCACGTCCAGACATTGGTGGCGGCGGCCAAAGCTAACAGCGACGAGGTGCGTTCGCTCTCTCTCTCTCTCTCTATATATATATATATATATACATTGTAATTTGTTCTACTCAAACTTTCCTCTGTTGGCGATTGGTTGAATCAACCGCCCAACAATAATCGCCAGACCTTTGACATTTCATATAAAACTTTGAGACTGCAATGCATCAATCAATCTTTTTAGCCAATCATATTGCAACCTGCATTCTTTATAGCCAATCATACTCGTTTGCTCGATTAGTTGGCGATTTCATCAATCCCCCAAAATAGGCTAATACTAGGACTGTGAAAAGCACAATATTTGTTGTGGCAAATGAAGAGGAAGATGATTTATATATCTGTAGGTTTGTAACCCTAATAACTGTGGACTTGTGTGCTGATTCACATTAAGCATATATATACCTGCTAGTTTTCTGCAATGTGATTGGCGAATTGGTTCTTTTGCCGATTCAACTGGAAGAATACACTGTTTGGATTTGTCTGAATGCAGGTAGGCGCTGAAGCACCAGTTGAACAACCTGATTGACAAGATCAAGGCGTGGCAAAAGGACGAAGCGGCGGCTCGTGCGGCGGCCGGTGTCGCCCACGTCCAGACATTGGTGGCGGCGGCCAAAGCTAACAGCGACGAGGTGCTCTCTCTCTCTCTCTCTCTCTATATATATATATATATATACATTGTAATTTGTTCTACTCAAACTTTCCTCTGTTGGCGATTGGTTGAATCAACCGCCCAACAATAATCGCCAGACCTTTGACATTTCATATAAAACTTTGAGACTGCAATGCATCAATCAATCTTTTTAGCCAATCATATTGCAACCTGCATTCTTTATAGCCAATCATACTCGTTTGCTCGATTAGTTGGCGATTTCATCAATCCCCCAAAATAGGCTAATACTAGGACTGTGAAAAGCACAATATTTGTTGTGGCAAATGAAGAGGAAGATGATTTATATATCTGTAGGTTTGTAACCCTAATAACTGTGGACTTGTGTGCTGATTCACATTAAGCATATATATCCCTGCTAGTTTTCTGCAATGTGATTGGCGAATTGGTTCTTTTGCCGATTCAACTGGAAGAATACACTGTTTGGATTTGTCTGAATGCAGTATTATTAGTCTCCGTCATGTCACTTCAGTTTCAAATCGATTTGACCGTTAGTTTATCGTGCTGTCGTTGGACGTGGGGGCCGAAGCCAAGCTGGGCCGTGAACTGCTGGATGCGGCCGTGCAAGTGCACCCTGATGGCAGCTTCTTCATCTTCAGTGTGGACGCCGATCGCACCAAGACGGCTGGGTTTGCGCAAGTCAGCGCCAAGCACCACGCGGCCAAGGGTCTGGATGCCAAGAGCTGGGTCAACACCGCCATGGCGTCACTCGGCGGCAAGGGCGGCGGCAAGGACCCGCTCACGGCCACCGGTCAAGCCAAGACGGTTCAAGGTCTGGACGACGCGATCGCCGCCGCCAAGGCGTTCGTGCATTAAGCACGTCGACGGCAAACCCACTACTACTACATGGACATGTTTCTTCCTGTTTTCGGTGTTGTTTGGCAATGTACGCGGGTGGTTGGTATGTCTGTCGTCGGGGTAAAGTACAGAAATGAACATGTGAAGTGAGAGCATGTCTGAAATTAGAATTTGCATGATTGGCTAAAAAGAATGAAGGTTGCAATATGATTGGCTAAAGAAAATGAATGTTGTAGGTCAGTCACAAAGATATCACTAATTATGCTTAGTTGTATTTACTGTTAGTAGTATACTATTAGTATGAAATTTCGAAGGTCTGGCGATTGTTCGGCGGTTGATTCAACCCAACGATGGAGGAATTTTCAAGTAGTACAACACAATAAGATGTACATTGGTGAAAGACTTGCAATCCAGCAATGATAGCTTGAAGTCATCCGACATGTTCCTGTGGTGATTATACCCTTAAATAACAAGAAATAAATGAAAGTATGCATAAATGAAATGGTATTATAGTACTATTAATAGTATATCCTTCGAAATATCGTTTTTTAATGGATGGCGCCAAAAAAGATATACAAGGATGTAGTAATTTTAAAAACGAATGACAAAAGAATTTCATCCAATCAGAGCCGACACACAGTGTCGTGTTGGGGCGAGAAGCAAAATTGAAAAGAATGGCGGGAACCCGGGAAGGCGGTGGGTTGCGCGAGCGGTGGACGGCGCAGGGAAGGGGTGTGACGTTCATGTCCCCACAAACGATGAAGGAGAGGTTGAAGCGAAGGTGCATGGAGCACGTCAAGAAGAACCGCAAACGAATCCTGGAGAACCTCCGCCACCAAGCCACTGATGTCCCGTCAGAAGTGATGGACGTGTCCGAGTCCATCTGCCTCGAAGACTTGATGCTGCGCGGCGACCTCACACATGACGACTACCTGGAAGTGTTGACGAGCTTGGAAAGCGCATTACACGAGGAGATGCGCCTCGAAGAGCTGGAGTTGGCGGAAGAATTGCTCGAGGCCGAAGAAGCTTGGATCGCCGACTTCCAAGCGTTGGATTTGCATCAAGGGTACCATGCTTCCGAGTTCATCCTCTGTCCGCTGTGCAAGAAGCATGGACTCGACGTAAAGACCGACTTGAACCACGGGATGACGACCACTGCCGAATGCGTCTGCGGCCTTTATCTCCCGCTGTTGCGGTCACATGGCGGGGATCCATTGACGCGCTTTACAGACGCCATGTCTAATGCTTTTGAAGCCCATTCGTACGTCGTGTCACCCCTTCAATGCTCCATCATAGTTGTTGACTTGCATGTGCTGCAGGTGCATGTGTGACGAAGTGCCAAACTTTCACCTAAGTCACGACCACAGTCCAAGCGCCGTCAACTCTCAGCACGATGACGTTCGCGCAACCCACTTGTACCTCGATTGCAACTGCTGTGGCAGTTTGATCCAGGTTATTTAACCACATACCAATTCAATCGAGATCACGTCATCACGGGTTTATGTACATCGTCGCACACCCATGTGATCTCCCCGCAAATCGCACTTTCGTCCTACTTATTTAAATAGTACTCTGAAGAGATAATAATACTATGGTGGATGTGCACGGGATATGGGGACCCAGTATCCCTTGCATACCTATGTATGTGTACTGTATATGTGTTCGTAGGTTCCGTAGCGCAAGCTACATGTACTGGTGTCGAAGGACGTTTCAAACGTAGCAAGTGAGGTGCAATGGTTCATGCATGCATGAATACAACCGCCGGGAGTCTTGCTCGTGATGTTCACAGTCAATTGAGCTGTACAGTCCTCAAATACTCGTCGACATCGTCTCTTTCGTCTCCAGCCAGCCGCAGTATCTTGGTCATGGCATCGACAAACGCTTGCGCTTCATGAGGGGACGCGGACGGACCTGGAGTGCTTGTGGAGCTCCAATCCTCCCAGTTCCACATCACTTGCTCGATGAGGGTTCGCAAATGTAACTTTCAGTCGTAAGAAAAAATATCAGCTGTCCAATCCAAATCCAGTATTCTATTTTGTGATCGTTTCATTGGCTAGATGAATTTGTCCTGTAAAGTACGCTTCGCTTGAGGTACGTACTTAATTGGCACGACTTGTCCTAATTACACAAGTCCGAAATAAATAACTTTATTCAGGTTATATTCATAAAAGCAGGACTTTGAAATCAGGACTTTGTGTTTGAAGACATTGCAAGAACCACCACAACTCGCGGCGGCGGTGTGATTATGTCCAACATCTACGTGACAGAGCCCAACACGGAGGGAAAGGTGCTGATGCGGACATCATTTGGCGAGCTGGACGTCGAGTTCTGGCCGCAACAAGCGCCCCGCGCATGCCGCAACTTCTTTCAACTGGCCATGGAAAAGGTATGTACAGTACCTTCCCTTTCCTCTTCTCCCACTGTGCTGGGATGCTCGTTACAGAATGCAATGAACGTGCATGTGGTAGTACTACGACAACACGTTGTTCCATCGGTTGATCTCGGGGTTCATGATCCAAGGAGGCGATCCCACCGGCACAGGCGACGGTGGCGAGTCGGCATTTGGCGAACCCTTTGCCGACGAGTTCCATTCCCGGCTCCGGTTCAACCATCGCGGGTTGCTGGCGATGGCGAATTCCAACAAGAGCAACACGAACAAGAGCCAATTCTTCTTCACGCTGGACGCATGCGACTTCCTCACGAAGAAGCACACGATCTTTGGCAAGGTCACGGGCAACACCATCTTCAACCTGCTCACGGTGAACGACATGGAAACGAGTCCAGACGAGCGGCCCGTCGAGCCCATCAAGCTGTTGAGCATTGAGATCCTATGGAATCCCTTTGAAGACATCGTCCCTCGGTAGATCCATCCAGCATGCAACATGGCAACGAACGTCTAACACTACGTAGCGCCATCAAAGGATCTGCAAGTTCCAAAGCAACTACGGCAGCAATGGACAAGAAGAAGAGACGGAAAGGCACGAAAGATCTCAAGTTGCTCTCGTTTGGCGACGAAGCCGACGAAGAGTTCGTCCAACAGCCCGTGAAAAAGATCAAAGGTATTTGACGCATATTTATGGATTATTTGTATCCTTTTTAATATATTTATATCATTTTGAACCGATGTTTGTATCATTCTTTGAAGATATTGTATCACATTGATGTATTATTTGTATCATTTGATATATTTGTATCCTTTTGAAGCGTTGTTTGTATCATATTATTTTTGAAGATATTGTATCACATTGATGTATTATTTGTATCATTTTTTATATATTTGTATCCTTTTGAACCGATGTTGTATCATATTATTTTTGAAGATATTGTATCACATTTATGATTATTTTTTCCCATTTTTAATATATTTGTATCCTTTTGAACCAATGTTTGTATCATATTATCTTTGAAAGTTTTGTATCATTTGTATATATATTTTTTTTTGTATCATGATTAATATAGTATGTGTAATCCTTCCGAAGTGTTGTTTGCCTATCATTCGTTGACGATGTTATTTTATAGTTGTTTTCTTCTTTGATCATGGTATTTCTTGACGTTTTTTTAATATATCCAAACATTGTGTTGAGGATATATATATATATGATGTATCTTTTGCTTTGGACATGGCTTTGGTCCAGTGGAACGAACATCATGGACCGTGGAATGCAACGTGATAGTTGTTGCAGGGTTCCAACACTTTTGCACGTTTACTTTGAAAAAGACCTTGATTTACGTGTATATTTATGTTATTTTAAATATATATATTGTTGCAGGTGGGTTAAGCAGCCACGACGTGCTGCGGGATCCAAAGTTGAGCCAACGCGTGGACGAGTCCCTCCAGACCAAAGTCGCGTCGATGCCCGTGCACGTTGACCCAATCAGCGACGGTGACGACAATGGTGACGACATTGGTGACGATGACGTGGCAGCGGCGTCGTTGAGTACGTTGAAAGCGCGCATTTCCGACAAGCTCAAGAAAAAGTCGGCGCTTGTGCACACGACGGCAAAGCCCAAACTGCACGACGCCCATGTATGTCCCTAATACTTTCTTCACTTGAAACTGTTCATGTTCTAGTTCGAGAGATGGTTGCTCGATTCTCGTATCTATCTCCGATGATTCATTATAGCAAGCATATACAAATATCCATAAATATAAATTTATACTAAAAGTTTTTTGATTTTATATGAATGTTTAATACGTATACATATTTTTTTTTATTGATTGATTTTTATTAAATACAGCAAAAAGACCAAAATCAGCACCCATTGACCATACAGAATGAAAATGTGCTATGATATAAAACGTCATATTTAATTGTATGTTGTAGGCGGACCACGAGAAGGATGCGAGTGACGTAGATCACGACGGAAAAAAGAAGAAAAAGAGCAAAAAAGAATCCAAAAAAGTTCAAAAGTACGTCCCGTCGTCCTGACCATCCCGTACTTATGCCCCATATATATATATATACATGAATTCCCCTTTGACGGAGATAAATATATATATGTATGTAGAGACGAATACACACTGCTCAAGGAACATTTGAAGAAGACGCACAAAGCCGCGGCGATGCTCAAAGGCGACAAGCTCAAGGCGGCCGAGGCGGAGAAAGCGTACCAGGAGATGCTCACGCCGCTGCAGCTTCGCCGCCAAAAGTACCTCGCGAACAAAAAATCGTCGGCTGGGGACCGCCAAAAGCAAACGCTGTCGCGGCTCGAGTCGTTCAAGTCGACGCTGTCGCAGGTGCTGGAGACAAAGAAGAAAAAACACGAAAATACTTCGACTGAAAACGACACGGAAGTGTACCATGGCCAAGTGATGGCCGACGGAAGCGACGACGACGACGACGAGATTCACAAGGATCCGTCGTGGATGACCAAAGAACTTAAGTTCAAAAAGCACATTGACGTATGCATATATATTGTAGCAAATTTTATTTATTTTTAGACATGTATATATATATATATATATTTGCGGTGGTATATTCACACTCACAAATTGTCGTTTTTACCCAAAAGTTGGACTTTTGTGCTGAATTCGCCAAATCCATCAATCGATGTTCTTTGACTTTTGAATGTGAAAAAGAGTCCTGTGGTGTTTGTATTTACACTAATTTCAGTCAATTTGATCACACACTAATTCAATGTCGGTGATGGTTGATTCCTTCAATCTGATTGGGTCAATTCTTCTGCCGATGATTCTGGTGTATATTAGTTGTGACTCTTGTCCAATTTAGAAGAAACCCAACCATAATATAACTTACTATAGGACCAATATCGCATGGGCTACGACCCCACCGCCGATGTACGTAACTTTACTTGTTAATATATTTATAGTCCTGATCGATCTGGTAGAACTATATGACGATTGACACCAAGAAAGGGGGGCACTAACAGTAAAGCGAGGGAAGAACACGACTGACGTATCCACTGATCCAAGTGTACTACTAGCTAGTTATGGCCTAGCGAAACTTGACCAACATGACTCTGTTATTGCCAAGGTATAAAGAAACGTACTCATCTCTCTCTGGTCACCACCCAACACAACCAACGTTTATTGCATAGGTTAAATAATATATTCATTCAGTAGGTCAAAGATACATGAGTGGAATATTGTGGGGGGGTTATAGAAGTGTTGATGGACGAGGGGTCGACTCCTGATGGTTCTACGGCGTCTTGGGCAAACTGGCCGACAGCGCTTCGTCGGCTTGGGGGGTCGGGGGGTCTTGAGGTTCGGGGCGGACCCACGTCTTGTTTTGGAACCGCGGACGGGCGGGAGGGTACCCAAATCCGACCGGTTGCGGCTTTGGTGCGTCGGGTTCGCCGGCGGGTTCATCCGTCTTGTCGGCCGCGACGTCCGTGGCGCCTTCTGCTGCTGCTGCCGCCGCGGGGTTGATCCATTTGTTGTTGAAGCGGCGCGGTGCTCCTGGCGGCGGGTACGGACCCCGGGGCATGCCAGGGTATCCAAAGCCAGGCATGTGTGGGTGCGGATGGTGGGGGTGGTGCGGCGGGTACCCATACATGAACTCCTATTTTGGCAAAACAAATGTCAAAATGGGCGAAAAAGGCCAAAAATTGTCAAAAAGGGCGAAAAAATAACGTAAAAAGGGGAGAAATCGAGTGGAAAAGGCCAAAAAAGGCGAAAACGCCACGACATGACAACATACCGGTGGAGGCATGTGATACGGGGGGTACCCTTGGAACATGGGAGGGAACGGGTATGGGCCTCGAGGGCCGGGCGGGTAGCGGTCGCCATCCCGCGCCGGCCGCTTCGACGCCCGCTGGTCGTCCTGATCGCGAGAGGAGGATGCCTTGTCGTCTGGGTCGTTGGGTCCCTTGCGCTTCTTGTTCGAATCGCGGGGTTCGCTGCGGGACGGCCGTTGGCTGTCCTGGCGAGATCGATCGGTCCTGGACGACGACGACGATGGAGGCGCATCCTTCTTGGTGTCGCGGCCACCAAGACGTTCCGTGATCGAGAGCTTGGTGGGCCGACTGGACGATGACGATGACGACGGCTTGTCGTCCACGATCTTCTTTTCAGGGATGCCGAATCGCTCCGACCGCGACTTGAGCGCGTGTTTCAAGTCCTTTGACGTTGCACTGCTGCCGATGACACGGATGGTGCTGCTGCTTTTGCCAGAAAGGTCGACGGTCGAGGATGCTTTGATGCCCGAGAGATTGATGATCTTTGTCGAAGGTGGTGCGGTAGTGGTAGTAGGGCTGTCGGATGAAGGCTCCGGGGATGGAGATGCCGATGGGGGAGGAGGGGAAGGGGATGCGTCGATGGCGGTAGCAGGCGGCTACATGTACGGGTAAGTATCTCACAAAAGCGAAAGGAACGGACAACGTACCCCACGCAAGAGGTTATAGATGCATGCGACGGCGGACTCTGCGGATTCGGCGCCCATAAAGTCCACCATCTCGTCGTGGATCTCCTTCATCGTCTTTTGATTGCCGACCATCACGACAATGTATTCCTACGCAAAGAATCCCCACCATGATCAGATCCTCTTCCACGACTTGCCCTGAGGTACATACCGCCATGACGCCCTCGACTTCCTGCTCCAAGACCTCACTCAGCTTCTCCACGAGCCGGTTCTGGAACGCGGCCTTGTCCTCGGCCTCTACATGCCCAACAAACGCGGGATCATACGCTGGTGCCATCGTCGCGTCTGTGTTGGGTTGGGATGTGGGGATATCGAACAGTGGGGTTTAATTCCACCAGAAAACCACGTTTTAGTCTTACTATTCTATTATCTCTGACTTTGTATTCTCTAGATACACCTTGAATTAAAATGCAATTCGAAAACACGGTAAAGTATAAAACGTTGCCCAACCCCAAGGGATGGTTCAGGCGACTGACGAATCATGTAGAAGCAGGAGCAGTGTGCCAAGACGCTCGCACGCGCATACGCATGCTTGGATGCTTCACGTCATCCCTGATGGGGAGCTGTCGAGCATTTGCTCGCGTCTGCACCGAGGCGGCATGCTGTAGGCTTCACCTGGAGCTACGTTCTTGGGTAGTGCATGCATGGGGTCCAGTGCGGTTGCTACTATACGTAGTTCCAAGCCGACATATCGGATGCCCTGATCATACGCCATCGATCGTGATCAAAGAGGACCGCCGTCCCGTTGAATATGTACTCGTCTGCGCCAACGCAACCATGGCGCGTCAGTCGCTAATACTGGACTATGCATGTACTGCATCCACTTCATTCGACGCCGTAGCGTCCTGTGAACGAGCAATGTCTTGTTACACCATGGACAAGTCCCAGCATTCTTTTGCATAATCATATGGCCAACATGCTCATAGACCGCCAGTACAATCATGGTTGGACTCAGCCACGTCCACATACATACACCTCTACTTACACCTGTCCCGGCCGCCGCCGCCGATTGCCGCTTAGTACTACGTATTCGTTAAGTCCTCACAATCGTACTTAATCCGTGTTCTCGATTGTTGATTGGCCAAGCATCTAATTGGCCAGGAACCAACACTTGCGCCAATATTGGTCCCATTTTCGAATCGCTCGGATTCAGGTTACCGCCGCTTCTCCGCCCCCTCGATCCACGAAAATGTCTGTGCAAAAGCCCACCAAGCCCACCGGTTTCGAAGGCGAGGAATCTCGCATTCACCGCATCCGCATCACCTTGACCTCGCGCAACGTGAAGAACTTGGAAAAGGTCTGCGCCGACTTGAAGAAGGGTGCCGTGGACAAGAACCTCAAGGTGTCCGGCCCCGTGCGCCTCCCCACCAAGATCCTTCGCTTGACCACCCGCAAGTCTCCTTGTGGTGAAGGTACCAACACCTGGGACCGCTTCGAAATGCGCATCCACAAGCGCATCATCGACTTGCACTCCCCTTCGGAGATTGTGAAGCAAATCACGTCCATCTCCATCGAACCCGGTGTTGAAGTCGAAGTCACCATCGCCGACTCCAACTAAATCTAATAGATCGACGACTCGACGTGCGGGCTTGATGCCTGTGCTGGCACTTTTGCAACGACAATCTCTCTTTGTGTTCCCTTGATGATGTGTTGCTTCCACACTCAGTTGACACGACTGCCTCGTTCTCACATTCGATCATAAGGAGTTACGTAGTCTACTGTATCGCATATCTATGGAGTTAGCCACAGGTGGAGGGCTGCGACGTGGTTCAATGTGCCTTGAGCAATATCGGACAACACATCATACGTAGCGTCCATGACACAGTATCATGACCTAGAGCCACTAAGCACGCTCTTCTCCGCATTCGACTCGCTGCCAACCAACTTGAAGGGCTCGATGATTCCTCCAGGACCTTCCAATCAGTTCTGAATGTTCACATTCGTATGACGTGGCAGGCTCAAATGCAATACACCGAACAAACTCAATCAATGGAGGTGGGTGGGTTTATCTAATCACGTTAAGGGGAACGTGATGCATACTATTAATAGTACTAGTAGTACTACTACTGGGCTAGTAGTCCTACTAGTCGTCCTACAGCGCCGTGGGTCGCTTGATTGTTAGCTGGTCGTTGGTTCGGGTGTACGCGTCGCCGCCTAACCGCCCAACCAAGTGCGTGAGCGTCGAATCAATCGACGCGCCGTCCGGTCCCAGCACCGCCTTGTCCACGGCAATGTGCACCACATTCAGCAGCATCACGCGGCCGTTGCCAATGTCCATCGTGTCTCGCAGTGTGCACTCAAAGCGCACGGCGGACCGCGCCACGCCAGGCACGCGCACGACTGAGCTCGCGACCGCCTTGACGCCCAACACGTCCATCTCGCTCGTGCCGGGAGGGTACTCGGCGCATGTAGCGTTCATGGTCGCGGCCATACCTTCGCTCACGACATTCACCACGCACTCGTTCGTGTCGATGAGGTTCACGACGGTGTCCTTGTTCTTGCGATGGGGACCAGGGTACACCTGCGTAACGGCAAAGATGGGCGGATCAATCGACACGACTGTGAAAAACGAGAACGGCGCGAGGTTGGTCACCCCGGCTCGGTTCATGGTGCTGATCTACGATGATGATGATGACAACACCATGGTGTTAGTTGTGAGATGACGGTGATGGCGCGGACGAACGGACGTACCCATGCAATCGGCCGAGGCACGACGCCGCCCGTGAGCAGTTGGTACAACGTGCGCCCGTTGCATGTAGCGGGGTCAAAGTGGGCGGCTCCATGCAGCAAGGGTGCGACGGATGTCGTCGTCGCGGGCGTGTCTGGACTCGGACACATGTGCTCGAACGGCGGAAGATGGCGTTGTGCGCTAGCTTGGGGACGTTTGTTGATGTGATGCAACGTTCGATATGATGTGACTTTATATGACCAAGGGCCAATGTCTCACCATACCTAAAATGGTGAGGATGTTTGCAGTTCGGATATGCTTTACCGTTTGAATCACTCGTCGTTTTTATACAGACGATATGGTGAGAAATTTGATTACCAGCAACTTATGATGTCGTTTGGCTTGGATTTGAATTTTCGATCGCAACAAAGACATGCGCAAAGTCTGTTACATCAGGTCTAGATTTGCCAAAGAAAGGGCGAGAAATGTACCACAACGACTACATAACCAGGACAATTGCACCACTTCGATTTCCTGGTACTCTAGTATGTATTAGTGTACGTACATATGCATGGCGAGGGTCGCCGTTCGTAGGACTCTGCGCCTGCCGTTTGTCTTTATGGGTTGATGATTTCAGCCCACAAAGTCAGATGACGTTGATCCTACGCTGGGTATATAACTATGCTGTCCAATCCCACAGTTTAACGCAAATCGAACGTTCAAGTTGTAATTTGCCCTACCGTTACAGTGTAACGGTGCACCAAAACTCAATCTCCATTGTACATATTGATCAAAATAGCGACACGAGGCACGAATTGACATGAGGTTTCTAGCGTGGGGCAAGTCTAGTTAGTACCTTACGTGAACTAGTTAGTACATTCTCATGGACGAACGGTGTGCTCGAGGTGTACTTCAGAACTATCCATCCCCTGCTTCATTCTTACTCGACAACAGATTTAACGCCTATTGTAACGTTACTTCAAGTGGGTTTAACTCATGTTTATGCAATGCCCCACCTGTTTCATCACACATATGGCCACTTTCGTATGTGAAACCGCCAATCCAACTTCAACCGTAAGTACTTTTCCTCATAACGAAGCTCTGGCCTCCATTTGACGGGTGGTACCGCATATTGCATATATATATATATATATATATATATTGTCAAGTCGATTCGAAAAATTGAGTTGGGGTACAGTACTGTACTCAATCGAATGAGCAGCATCAAATACTATAGGCAGGCAATCGATTGACGAATCAAAACCCAGGACACGAATCAATTGGCCAATCAAAGCCACTCTTCGACCAATTCAACATCGAATTAGTGTGAAATTACAATCTTAAGTCAGTACAAACAATGATCGATACAGTACCGTAGTACTGAATTTTGTATGTACAAAGATGTCGTCCTGCGGTGATTGGTATCACACTAATTGAATTCACACACTATTTTGACGTTGATGGGGGTGTCCTGCAATCTGATTGGCTAAATACTTCTGCCGATAATTCAATTTGGTTGTGTGATTTGTTATACTATATATATATCCTCAATACACACAGTTTCGGCTGTTGGCAAGTAGCTAACGTGATGACGTTGGCAGGGACGCCACCGTGAGCGCGTGAATCGTGTTGTCCAACTTGGCATTGGCCGTGGTGGCATACTGTTGATACTCGACTTCAATCGACGACAATGTGTCAACGTGCTGTTCGAATGTTTCGCAAAAGAGGTGGCTCCACGGCTGTGACGTGGCAGCCTCTTCGTTGGCTAGTTTCAGTTGGTCGTACACTTGCACGAGGCCATGCAAAGCCGGTTGCAGCGTCTGTATTCCAGCATCACGCACTCCATTTCATCTATATATATATATATTCAAACCTGCTGCACCCACGACAGTTTGTCTTGGCACACACATCGCACGCCGTCCACGAGCCTCGTCATGAGGTTTGCTTGCTTTGATGCTTGCTAAGGTCATATGCAGTCAAGACATCGTTCAACCAAATACAGGAGAATCGGCAGAAGAATGGAGCCAATCAGATTGCAGGAAACCATCATCATCGTCAAATTCGTGTGTGACTTCAATTAGTGTGATATACCAATCACCACAAACATGGCAACACATTACGTACAAATTTCAATACAAAGAAAATCGAGCGATTCAGCACCAAAGTCAGCCAAATATTTGGGGTAAAACGAGCAATATCGCTGCTAAATAACTACCTCTTGGTATGTCGCTACTTCGGTGGCCATGAGCTTGAGTTGGAGAGTGCGGCCCGCCTCAGCACAAATGCAAACTCACATCATATCTTCGAATCTTTGCATACTTACCTCGTACGAGATCAATCGCTTGATATGCATCCTCAACACTTTGTCTTTGGCTGGCAGTAGCGATAAAATGTCCTGCGCACGGGGTTCACTCGTAGGCCTAGTATAGATAGACTCATTATTCAAAGACTACAGGCACGATATACTCTAACGATATACTCTAACGTACTTGCTGCCAGGACCCAGAGGCTGGTGGCACACGGCACTGCCAAACAACGCGACTTGCTCCATCACACCACGAATACCTCGTGTGACGCGGCTCGTCTGCAGCCCATCGAAAACCCATCAGAAATATTATATATATATATACTACAATATATATTAAAAGGGATATATACATGTATTAAAAGCGATAAATACATATATCAAAAGCGATATATATATATACAAAGGGATATATATATATCCCTTTTTGACCAACAAGACGACAACCGTACCATCGCTAAGATATCTCCATGCTGCCGAGTCTGCAACAACATGTGGCCCACGGCGTCCAAGTCGTCGACGCATGTGGACAAGGCGGATTCCAGGGCATGCAGTCGGTCCATGCGCAAGTGGTGGAGTTCAGGCACGTCTACATAACATATAATTAAGAATATATTTTCTAATATATATATATATATATCATGAGGTTCGACACTGGACACAATGACAGATGAAATCCTAAATCATATATTGTCAAGTCGATTTTCGAAATTGGAGAGTCAATCGCATAGGTGCAGAATAACCAAATTGACAGACAATCGATCGACCAATCAAAACCCAGAACACGAATCAAGTGGCCAATCAAACTGCTGAAACATCGAAAATGAGTGTGTGGCGTCAAACAGTGTGAATGGCTTCACAAATTTTAAAAGTCAGTACAAAAAATCATCGCCCGATGAATTTGGGGGGAATCAGCCAATATATCCTGCAATATTTAGCTAAAACCATAATATTACGTACGTTCGGGGCCAGTCGACGCGTGGTGGGTGTGCAGGTCGGTCAACGTGACAGTATCGTGGACGGCGTCGGCACTGTATCGCAGGGGCAGCTCCATATTGCACTTGCGTGTTGCTTGGTGTAGTCGACTCTCCACTTGCTTCAACTCCTACGTTCCGTAAAATATATATATATACGTCGTTTGAGTTGTTGGTCTATCAATCTTTTAGGTAACTTCTAATAATAATCAACCAAAACGTACGGCCAAGAGCGTCCTTGGCACCGCCATCATCCACATATCTCCATGTTTGTCTTGGACTTCGGCGCCAGCTTCCTCTGCTTGTTTCTGCCCAGTTTGCAAAATTTCCATCACCGACGACACCACTTGCGCCAAGTCGTGATGCGCATGTTGCCGCAGATGTACGGCCTCGGTCAGCATGTCCACCTACAGGATGAGTCAGTGATTATTGTTGGATTTATTCAAAACTGGCACGACGAATGTATGTATTGAGCCAATCAGATTACAAATGTATATATATATATATATATACTGAAGAATCGGCAGAAAAGATAAGTATTTTGAGCCAATCAGATTGCAGGACGCCGCCATCAACATGTTCTAATTAGGGAGTGACTTGGCTTCGTGTGATTCCAAGTATACAAAATGCAGTATTGCCCTTTTACCCAAAATTTGGTTGACTTTTGTGCTGATTCTTTGCCAAATCCATCGATCGATTCGTTGAATATTGACGTTTGTATGTAAAAAGTTGCCCTGCGGTGTTTGAAATCACACTAATTTAGGTGTTACACTAATTAAACGTTGATCATGGTTTCGTGCACTCTGATTGGCGAAATATATCTTCTGCCGATTCTTCGGTAACTAGTACATTTGGTTGTGTTGATTCATTTGCCATCTCGGTCCAGTTTACAGTTGTTCCAATAGGCACAACAATAATCGATCGATGGATAGGTCAAAGCAGCATAAAAGGCCAAATATTGGTAAACGGACAATATATCATCATAGAATCGGCCACAGTCGTCCAAGTGGTACCTAGTTATATCAAGGTATGTACGTTAATACCTGTCGTTGTAACTGCAGGTTCTGAGCTTGGAGCAGCCGAACACGACGTGTAGACACCCCACCACCTATATATGGTATAGTAATATGGTTTTGAGTTTCATCTGGAACCACATGGAGAGTAAATCGAAAATCCAACCAAATTGTAAATGTATCAAAGTCGTTGAGCCAATCAGATTGCAGGAAACCGGCGTCAACATCAAAGTAACGTTAGTATGCCTTTGATTCAGGTGATTCCAAGCACCACCATAGGACAACCACGATTTCATACATACAAATTGCAGTACAAATCAGAATCGATCGATATGTCGATAAATAAATATATATATATATATGGTTGGCATCGCACCAAACCCAAAAGTCCACATTAAACAAGGTAATATTATGCTTTCGAGTGAAATTTCGTGTTGTGGCGTGGTTTCTCGTTGGAATTTAAATCGATTTGATTGGCTACTTCAGATGAGCTCAAAATTATTAGCCAATCAAAACCTTCTCAATGAAATTCAACCAATCAGATCGATTGTGGATCGGTTTGGTCGATTACACCCCCTCCCCAAATTTGTATCAAATCGACAATAACAAGTTATAACATGTTTTAGTGGGGTGTCAAGTCATACGAACTGTAGAAAGTCGAGCAGGTCGTACGTACCCTTAACGTCCACAGCCATAGCCTCGTTATGCAACTTGATCATGTCGTCCATCTGCCGCCTTAACGCGGCGTTGTCGGCCAGGGCGGCTTTCAGCTACACTTTGACGAAATCCATTCAGTCCACATTGTACTTGAATAGATAGAGTACGTCCTACTGTACGATGACCGTACTTCGGCAGTACGGGGGTGTTGCTGTTGTTGGGTTGGCCTTATAATGTCCAAGGGAAGATGCTGATTTGGATGTGCTGGGGGTGTAGTTGAAACGTGTCGACGGGTGGTCTGCCCTTCATCGCGAGCCAGACGTTTGGCCTTGGACAAAGCGGCTGCGGGGGACGCGGGGGACGGAGATCTATCGTCTATCAAGTCGTTGTTGTTGTTCCAACTGGGCCCGTCGTCCGGCGTCGGCGGTCTTCTGGACGGATGGCCGGCGGATGGCGGCGGGGACGGCACATCCGGCTGAAGGTCGCGGAGGGCGGCTGTCGAGGATCTGTTGTGACGATGGGCTGGATGGGTCGAATCGGTTGGTTGGGGGGGAAATGCTGGCGGCTTCAACTCGATCGCAGGCAGCAGCGTATTCACGCGATGCCGTTTCTGCGACGACTTGATCTTGGTTAAGAGGATGCGCATGGCCTACCGGTAGTGGATTACGATTTGGACTGAACGATAATAGTATTTCTGATTCGTGTACAGTGTACAACTAGAAGGCAATATATACAGCGTGGTACTATATACACTTGACTTTTACCTGGTAATTGCAGTCCTTTTCCATCACAAGACGCTGCCACGTAAGCATGGAAGGCGCGCCGATCCGCTACCATACATCCATTGATAACGTCAAATGCCAGCAATATATTATGCATGCGTTTGGGGAATATACCGCCAACTCGGTCTCGACGACCTTCATAAAGTCCGCACGGTACGAATCTTCGCTCTTTCGTATGACGTCTCTCGGTCTAGTTGCACTTAGCTACATACATGGGCCTCTTCATGGGACAAGAGATAGGATATGCGTCGTACAAGGCTTCCGCCTTTTCCACAGCGCGGGCTTGCTTGCGGTCGTCGGCCATCACCTTCATGCGCTCACATACGTCGGCGGAGCTCGGATTCTACCTCCACGCAGTCGCATTCAAGATCATACATATCGACGAGTGAACCAACCTTGTCGACGAGCTGCACCCATACGCGCTCCTTCGTCGACCATTTGAGCTCTTGCAGCTGCAGCACACTCTACGATGCCGCATCAGTGGTCCTTCGATTCCTCGCCATCTCTTCTATCTCTTCAAATGTGTACCACATTCGGCAACTGAAGCTCTGCCGCGAGCTTGTCCGCCATGCCAGCCGCAGTGCTCGTTCGTAAAACTCAGTTTTCCGGTCGACCACTTGTGTATCCGGATACGCGGCCTTTACCAAAACTTGCTTCAATCTACTTATGTTTTCTAAATATTGATTTGGCAATTTGGGCAAAAACCCGAAACTTTTCCATGTGATTTCAAACATCCAGCATTTGAAATGGGTTGGCGGCAGCTCTTCTTGGTGATCGCCGCCATAGCGCTGTTGGCACATGGCACCTCTAGCCAAGCAGTAGATGCGCAAACTCCACCCATTGACTTTGGCGATCTAGAGGCTTTGTCCTTTGCCGAGCCAACGGCATCGGAGAAGCAGAGGAATCAAATGGACGTGATGGTGATCGTCGGCACGGTCACGGCCACCACCGCCCGCGTCATCTACGAACCCCTCGTGAATGACGAGTCGTCCATCACACTGTCCTTGATCCTGCACAAGGGTCCGCGTACCAACGACGTCGTGGTCAAAACGCTCACGCATCTGCAGTATCAATCGTTCCCGTATGCCGCCGCCTTTGATACGCTCGTTCCCAACTCGACGTACTTTGTGCACGTCCAAGTGGGGACGTCTCCATCCCCCACGTACGTCGCCGTCGCTCGCTTCCGCACGCCGCCGCTCGACATTTCCAACGACAAGCTGGTGGTGCTGGCGTTGTCATGCGATCGATTTCTGGACGACGCCGACGACTCGCACTGGGCCACCTTGGCTGAGGTTAGCCGCTTATTCTAGAGAAATTGCTTGAGACTTATTGCTCTTGTAGGAGGTGCGGGACCCCGCGTACTATGGCACGGTGCACACCGGGGACCAAATCTACGCCGACAGCCTCGAGGTGTCGTTTCGGCGGGCGGCCAACTTCGACGCCACATTGCATGCGTACCGAGGTCTGTACCGCCGCGCTTTTGGCCGGCCGCTGGCTCAGCGCGTACTTCGCCATGGCGCGCATTACATGCAAGTGGACGACCACGACATCGTGAGCAACTGGAGTGGCGACACGTGGTACTCGCATCATGTGATGATGCGGGCTGGGCTCCAGGCGTACTTTGAGTACCAATATCAACTGCTGAGTGACTGGACCAACGTGCCACCATGTCAATCTGGGCCAAAGGAAGAACTGTACCGTACAGTGTACCACCACGTGACACTGGGCGACCACCAATTGCAGCTCGTGTTTGCCGACACGAGGTTCGAACGCGGCCTCACCGTACGTTGGTCTAGTCTTCTTCAATACTACTACTAGTACTACTGTTGGTCTAGTCTTCTTCAATACTACTACTAGTACTACTACTACTACACTGTAGCTTATTCATTTTGCTGTTTAGTTGACAGAGGTGGTGGTGGCTGTTGTGTTTTATATGGCAAACTTTGCCTTATGTTGTACTGTAGTTGTCCACCAACCAACTGGTGAGTTCGTCCCAGCTTTCGTTTCTAAACTCAACGTGGGCCGAGAATGCATCGATGCGAGTGCTGTTTACGTCCGTCCCGCTGTTCTTTCACACAGCCATGAGCGCCGCCATTGCTCACTTTGTCGATGGCGAATTGTATCCTGGTACGATCGTCGTCTTCCATTTCAGTGTACATTGTCTAGCTAGCTACTGATATGCTGAAATAGATTGGTTGATTATGTTTCTATTTGAGTTTTCAACTACAAAATAGAAAGCGCGTTTGTGTTGGTGATGCTAATTGTGAGTTGGTATTTCCTAGGCCACGCATACTTTACGTCGACGGTGCAAGCCATATGGAGCCAACTCCCCGCCAAGACCTTGCTTTTAGTCGCCGGTGACTTGCATATGGCTCAACGTGCGACAGTGTGCGACGCGTCCGCCAAGTGTGTGCCGCAGCTCATCGCGAGTGGAATCACTCAGCACTCGACGGCCATGGAGGATCGGAGGCTCCTCGTCTTCTTCTACGCCATTACACAGTGGCTGCAGCCTCTAGCCTGTTTATGGGGGCAAGAATCTGTGTGCATCCGGTCGGCATCGGCGCATTATGGCCAAAATTATGCGTGCGTTATGACGATGATCATGTCTTCTGTTTGTGGCCTGATTGTTATCTGTGTGCAGCAAACTAACGTGGGACCACGGCCAGTGGAAGTCTGAAGTAGTCACCAAGGAATACGACCTCGTTACGGAGACTATTCTACAGGTACGATTGCACATGTACAATAAAACTGGGCTACCTTGGATCTATGTATTGCTAAGACAGTCGTTTTATTGTGTGAATATCTCATCATGACCTAATTAATGTATGATGGCTTTAGGGACTGGTGACGTGGGGGTTGGATACGCGAACGTTGGTCTCCGTCGGTGTTATCATGTTGCTGCGGTGGAGCGGCATGCTGTCGTGGTGGATCTAACTAGGTAGTCAGATCTATTGGTGAGCTCAAGACTGTATTTACGGTCGAGTGAGTGTAGTACATACCAAAAAGCTGTTGGAACCGCGATCGATCGCAGTTCTAACGTTATCCACTACTGTCGTTCACAAGCAAATGGAAAATGAATGGCACTACTTACTGTAATAGTATCATGTACTAGTAGTAGGTAGTTTTTCATTGGTGTGTATCTCGTGTAACCACCGTGGCAGCAGTACAGTAGTACAGTGTTGTATGATGGAGACACCCAACACATACTAAGTAGTTGGCCTTGGGCTATAAATACAACCGAGCAACGGCTTCAAGCTGGTAGTCGTGACCACCTAACGTCGATGCCGACACCACCAGCGCGTTCGTTGTGGAACGGGTCGTCTTGGCTGGTTTTGTTGGTCCTCGTGGTGCTTGGGGGCGTCGACGCCGACGTCGTCGCATGCACCGGCACCATGTGCTCGTGCTCAGGGGCGTTCGCGTGCAGCTACGACACGACCGCGTCCGTGTGCCAGTGCACGTTTCCCCAGGCTATCACGATCGGGCTGGTCGCGGCTGTGCTCGTGTTCGGCGCTGTCTGGTACGTCCGCGCGTACAAGATGCGCAAGCGCAAGGAAACGCTGCGCAAGGCCAAAAGCACAGCCAAGATGGTTCAGATCAGCCAGACTGGGCGGCAAGCCCAGCAAGAGATCAACCCCGCGTCCAAGTGGCACATGGCAGGCCCCCCGCCCCAGAATTTCAATAGCATCGCCCCCCAGTAGCCCCCTCTTGTACATGCATATATATCAAATAAAGTATCGTCGACTTGGCACTGTATTCTTGTGGCTACGGGATGGATGCCCATGAGAGTCAGAGGGTAGTTGTTGAAGGGGTAGGGGGGGCTTGCATATGCTCTTGTTTGGGAGGCAGATATCCGAACAGAACTAAGTCCCATGATGTCCCCCCTTGCATTGTACAACTCATTCAACCTTGTGGGGGTTGGTTTCTCAGCGTCTACTGGTAGCTAGCGGCCCCCGTAATGTAACATCGGCAACCAACCATATCCATATATGTTTGCACGACCCAACAAGCTAATCTTTGCCCATCCAATGCGACAGAGTGCTTGCTGTTTTACAGTTATATTCTACGAAGCAGCCAAGATTCCAACTAGTATAAGCCAAGGTTGTCCTTGTTACAGTATTATACCTCTCCAGCACGCAACATAAGACCATTCGGTCCTATCATACCACAACGTTTTCCAACGTTGCCCCCACGGTATACGACTATGGGGTTTGCTTTTTACAGGCTATAAAACTGGGTGTACCTCAAGTGTTAAGGTTTTATCAAACTACTATGGACGTGTTGGTGGAATCTCATCCAAGACTGGCGGACGAGCGAAGTCGTGGCAACACTTGGTCAGTTTTTTCACTTCGAATCTCGTCAAGGTTCGTCGTCAACGAGGGCGGCTGCGACGTGGGGGTGAGTCCGCCGTGAGCTTTGAGGGCCATCGCCATCGCATAATCGTGGGCCGTGTCGTCGGCATGCAAAGACTCGAGCTGGACGTCAGCGTACGCCCCAGCCGCAAATGCCCACCCGCTGAAATAGGTGACATCGTTTTCGATCATGACTGCTTTCAAATGGGCAGGCTCATGGGGCGACGCCGCCGACGTCGTGGGTACGTCCAGCATGTCATTGTTGAGCAACGCAGGGGCGGTGTCATTGTTGGTGCAGTGGCTCATGGCCACGGCCATCGCGACACTTGCCCCAGACGAATTGTATATCAAAAGAGATGTCTGGTTGTTGTGCAAGTGGAGCAGCACGGCCAGGGCTGCTTTGGCGCACTGGACGATCCATTTGGAAGGCCCGTACCACGTCGATCCGACATTCGTCAACGGCCCAAGAGGAGACGTCATGTCCAGAGCCAACTCGGTCGCGATACCTGTGACATCGTGGACGCTACTCGGTTCGGCGTTGTCTGGTGCAGGGCCGTATACTGGCGTGGGGGGGCGCCACGTGGAAAAGCCAGGAGTGACGAACGACGACACATCCGTGCGTAGCAGCCACATGTACGAGTGCAGTTCGGTCAGGTCGAGTTGAATCAAATGCATGGCGTGGGCCATCTGCGACGACGTTCCGCTTGCCACATCGTCGTCGCGTGTCACATGGGATGACGACGACGACGACACTTGAACGCAAAAGCTCTTGTACTCGTTGGTCGTGCGATACATTCCCGTACACCCAAGTGCGTGGAGCTCGGGCAGTGCTGGGCCATCTGTGACAACGACCAGATCCGTGCGCCACAGCGTTGGTTCAGACTTGAGCATGTATTTCCAGCTCTGATGGAGCGATCGAAAGTGGCTAATGGCAGCTTCGCTATGCGACGACGTTATGCACACGACGATCGCTCGAACAAACACTTGGCCTTGCTGTGAATCTGGCGCGTAGCTGACTGGCACGAGTGTCGGCTCGGGGGTTTCCTGCGAATCCAGTGCCATGTACATGGCATAATCGCTCACTTTGGTCACGTCGAGCTTGTCGATATCTTCCGCCGCGTACTCGCCATCTTCGAATGCAAACTTGGAGAATCGTCCTCGATTCTGCCATGTATGAAGGTGCGCATGGGTAGTGACTGGCTCGTTCGAGGCTGTGGGGAAGTCGAGCATGTTGTCATCCTTCTCGGCTAGCGACTCAAATGTACAATGGTTGATTGCCACGTGGCCAGCGTACAGCGTTAGCACGCCATAGTGCCACTCTGGCCAGCCTTTCGTGCCATATGCTGGGCTTTTTTCTTGAGCTGTAAACTCGTGCTCGTGGAGGTACTTCATCATGTACACAGTCAAGTTGGCGCAGGCTTGGATGAGGCGTGTAGGGCCAAACCAGGTCGACCCGACTGAATGCATGCCGGCTACATGGAGGTTCAAGTCGCTGGCAATGCGATCCAACCTGTGGATATTGGTGGGGGTCTGGTACCCGCCGCCGCCGACAACCATCTTGGCTGGGCGCCACGTCGCGAACGTCGGCGTGAGGAACACGTCAATGTCGGTGCGCAGCAGCCAATCGTATTGGTCTAGCACAGGCGTTGAATGTGCGACGATGTTGATGCTGTCGCCAAATCGATAGTCGAAATCTTCCTTGGAATAGAGCAGCTTGTAGTCTTGAACCAGTACACATGCATTGGGCGATTCTCGCGACGCTCGCGGCTTGGTCGTGCATCCAAACGCGCGTAGGTCTTTGATGATCCCATCCGAAACAACGACGAGATCTGTGCGATACAGTGCCGGTTCCGACTTTTGCATCTCGAGCCAACTCCGTCGCAGCCAGCGAAACTGCTTGACAAACACATCTTCCCGAGTCTTACGTGGAATAAACACCACGGCCGCCCGGACAAATGAATCATCGGCGTCCACTGTCGAGGAAGTGGCCATCATGGGCGGTGGCGGCGCGGTTTCCTGCGAATCCAGCGCCATATACATGGCATAATCGGCGACGGTCGCAATGTCGAGCGCGCTCTTGTTTTCAGACGAGTACCCGCCACTCATAAACACAAACTTGGAGAACCGCCGGTCGTTCTGCCACGTGTGCAGGTGCGCATGTTGTGCCACTGCGTCGGTGGACGTTGTCGCATAATCCAAGTTCACATCGTCTTTGACAACCCCCGCATCTTTGGTGCAGTGGTTGATTGCAATGTGCCCTGCGTACAACGTCAGCACGCCGTGATGCCACTCGGGCCAGCCTTGGATCCCATATTCGTCGCTCTTCTCTTGAGCTGTAAACTCATGCTCATGCAGGTATTGCATCGTGGTCACCGCCAGCTGCGCGCACGTGCGCACGAGGTCGGCGGGGCCGTACCAGGTCGAGCCAATGTTGTTGAGGTGGCTATCGTGGAGCCCCAAGTCGCCGCTGATCCGCGCGAGTCTAGCCGCGTTGGTCTCTGAAAACGAATACCCCCCCATACCCACTGTCATCTTCAGAGGTTGCCACGTTGAAAACGCTGGCGTCAAGAACGTATCGAGGTCAGTGCGCAGCAGCCAATCATAGTGCGCCATTTCAGGAATGTCGGTCACGGCCAAAACGTTGATCGAGTCCCCAAACGCATAGTCAAATGCGTCGGTTTTGAGCCGAGTGTAGGTCGGAATGACCACACAAGCATTGGCCGACTCGCGCGACGTCCGCACGTTCGCAGCAGAGCAATTCAGCGCCGCCAGCTCCGGCACGGGACCGCTCACGTATACGACGATGTCCGTCCGCCACGTCATGGGCTCGGTCAGTGCCATGTGCTGCCAGCTGCGACGAAACCAGCGAAGTTGCTGGACGAACCGCGCGCCTTCGCCCCCCGTTGGGATAAATACCACCGCGGCCCGGACAAACCATGGCGGGGGGGGACTAGTACTAGTAGTACTACTAGTAGTAGTACTAGTTGTCGTCGTCGTACTAGTACTAGTCGTCGTTGGAACCGTAGTGGGAGTTGTTGAAGTAGTAGTCGTAGTAGTAGTGGCCAGGGCAGCAGTTACTGGTGTTGAGGTCAAGTCCACCGATACATTTGCAAGTGCGTGGCGTCCTTGTACAGCCATGTACTGGACATAGTCATGGACAACATCCTTCTTCTGCCATGACATACTCGTGTCGGGGGCTGCCGCGTACAAGGCGGCCGCTTCGTCGGCAGGGACGACCACATGGGCATGGTCGGCTGTCGAGTCGCCAGAGGTGGAAGGTACGTCGAGCATGTCGTCGCGCACGTCGACGGTGAACCCGACGGTGCAGTTGGCCAGGGCGAAGTGCGCGCCAAACAGCCGAAGAATACGCCCCGAGTCGTCGAGATGCGGCGTCAGGTCTGCATGTTGGACGACGGAGGACGTCATGACGTGGACGGCTTGCGCAGCGCAGGCTTGAATCAGCTTGGTCGGGCCATACCACGTCGCGCCGACGTGCGGAGGGGCGGGTCGATGGACCAGGCGCGCCAACACGGCCTCGGACCCGGACGGGTACAATCCGCGACTCACGGCCATCGCCGACGGCTTCCACGTGGCAAACGCACGCGTGACGAACGCATGCATGTCCGTGCGCAGGATCCATTGGTACGCGTTCATGCGCGGCATGGCGGCAACGTGGATAGAATCGACCAAGCGGGCGGATGGAGTGCTCGGGGCGATGGGAACGTACGACGGGACGACCACGCACCGATTCGGCTCGTCGTTGGACCGTCGACGCGTTGTGGTGCACCCGAACGTGTCCAAGACAGACAGCAGAGGAGATGCAGGGGTGTTGGGGTGGGCGGCAGGCGCGGATGTGTACACGACGAGGTCCGTCCGCCATTTCGACGGTTCGTGGTCCAACATATCCAACCAACTCGCGCGCAGCCCGAGGAATGCCGGGAGAAGCTCGGCTTGCTTGTCGTGGGGAAAGTAGACGACGATGGCTCGTCGGAAGGACGATTCTGTGTGCCCGTTGGGTGCGGTGTTGGGGCTCATGGAGGTGTCGTCGTCGCCCTCAGTGTCGACGCCGCGTTCCATCGTCATGTGGAAGATCTGCCCGTGCATGTCTTCGAACTTGACGCCAAAGTACCATGAAAGCACGATGAACTGGACGGCGAAGACGAGCAAGATGGTCCCAAGAAGCCGCGGCAGATTCCGCGCGCGATGCTCCAGCACCATGGCGATGATATATATATGTGAGGTCACCAAAAGATCAGATGTACTAGATAAGGTAATTCTAATTCCACGTGGAAGAAGTGAAATTGCTGACCAAACATACCTTTTATTGTACCGTCTAGTTTAATTCGAATCGGACATTTGGATGAGTCGGACACCTCCATCAAATTATATATTTGTGCGAGTATAGATTCATACAGAAAATCTCTCGTGCAAAAATGACTTGTCACATTTAATATACTATATAGTATACCTCTTGACTGCGAGCAGTAGAGTGTAGGGGTAGATTGATACAGTAACGGTAGAACTTCGAGTATTGAACATGCCATTATGAAACGACTTTAACTTAGAATGCGCAGTACACGCACTACTGTAACATATGCAGTAGTAGCATGAAGTGATGACATTAGTTTTTGAGGATGGCGTCTAACTGTTTTACTACTCTGTCCAACAAGAATTGTCATATTGTATTTGGTTCAAGTCCTAGACGTATGAAAAAATCAAAATTTCATTTCATAAATGTACGATTCTGATTGGTGCAAATCGTTGATTTTGATTCACATTTCTACTGGCAGACTGTTTAACTGAAAATATCGATATCGTTCAAACAATATGGGGTGACAAACTTTGTTATCATAGATTTTAGAAACACCCGCTAGCCTCGCAAAATCCACGTTAACATCGTTAAAACCGTGCATTCATGTTGCTATTGACTTCGTGTTTACAATGACAGCAGCTGAGCACCCTACACACCTCGTATAGGCGGTGGAATCTCATTCTCAAGGGAAATTAGACCATTCAATGTGTGGAGCTGTATATCCTGAGGTCAAACGAATTTGAATGGGGAAACTTGTGTCGCGTCTAAGTGAATGATAGCTACTACTAGTACTGGTTTCACTCGTCTCAGAACCGCAAACAGCGTATTTGTGAGAACAATTATGTGGAGGTGAGGCTCCGATGTATCTTAATTATATTATCCATCTGGTGAGACATGCTCATACTTAAATCAATTTAATCAGTCAAAAGAGGGACATTTATGGCCAAAAAGTAAATGTGACCATTCTTGTTCGACAGAGTACAGTAGTATCAAACTTTGCTCAGCTCGATGTTTCCAAACTACCGTACGATGAATGAGTATACCAAGTCAGTCCTAGTAAGTATACTTCTTGGATTTCTTCCAACTAGACCTATAACCTGGATCGAGTACTGTACAATAAAACTACAAGCATGTGTAGCAATCAGTAGAGGAGGAGAACTTGTGGGTATGAAGTCTTGTCGTCCTGATAAATAATCGCGCGATTGAAGAATCATTCATCCCATATCTCGATGATAACTGTAGGATGCAGCTTTCATTGGACCATTGACCTTACCTTTGTGTACTACTAGTAGTACAGAGTTAAGTAGTATGTTATGTTTGTATACATCGCAATATTAATATAACAGGAATACAAGTTCTTTAACAGTAACAATTGGTACACATGATGTATATGAGGGTGAACACAAGCATCCATTATTAACAATACATACTATTAATAGTACTAATTTTTGGTATGTCCGGAGCGAAAACAAGAATGAAGTGTCTTGTGTCTTAGGTCTGTTTATACGGAATACATGATATGGCCGTCCGACTCGAATTATACTAGACGGTAACCATGTGTGGTGCTTTGTAGTGTGGTACACCAACATTCATTAGTACGCAAATTGTTTTATCGAGTACCGGTCCATCTGAGCTGGATTGGAACTGGGGGCCGCCGTGGATTGTGGGGAATTTCCTACTCGTGGTGGAATTTAATGCTGCCAAAGGGAAAATGACTGGTGGAATCAGTCAGTACACTCAGGGAAAACTCCCAATGGTCAACCCTTGGGACATATTTCTCACCAATCAGCGCATGCCAACAACATCGCCACAACACCAATACAAGTACCGTAATGTGCATGCGATTGATGTGTCTCACTCACACACACAGCCATGTTCCAGCTAACGTTACAGTATTACTTTATAATAATAAGAATGAGTGCTCTTTACCAGCTTTGGATATATCAATACTCGTACTAGTGTGGTACATACTCACAGTCAAGTCAGTCAAGTCAGTAGAGTACACTTCAAGGTAAAACCTGGAATGAAAGCCAAGGCTCCATCATTCCAAACCTGTCTCACATCCGTGCTCTGTAGCCTGAAGCGAATCTAAAGGATCTGGTACTACTACCATAGTACCACGAAAAGATAAATAGAAAATACTTGTAACGTTAGTACACACCTTTTAGAGTCTATAACTTCTCTCAAGAATATCCTACTTCTGGCAAGAATTTACAACTTCTGGCAAGAATATACCGATACAAGTTCAGTACTATACGTTACTGCCAAGTTGAACCGTATGCCAGTACTATCGATGAATATGATCAATCACAGAATTGTACTAGCCCTACCCTTAACGGACTTTGATTGGTCAAAATGGTGTAGGATAAGTTTCTACTACAATATGATAGGTAGAAATAGGTCATAGAGACGATTCATTGGCCAAATTTAGAGCATACAAATACGAAGTGAGGTCGGAATATTGATCATATCCATCAGTACTGTACAGTGACTTCGCTATTAATACTACGTAGTAGCTATTATTGTGCTTTTCACTCGTTTTGGCTACATATTCACACCATAAACCTGGGTGTTTGTTACATCCACCCCAGTGTTTTAGATACCGGAACATGTATTCCAAACAGTGATTAAAAATAGGATCACGTTTCGTTACAGAATGTAATTATAGGGAGGTGATTTATGCAACTCCTCTCTTTTGCACACTACCGGTAGTACAATTATTAATAGTTACGACATTTCTTTCGCTGGGTCAGTACATGAGTCGAGAGTACTCATTCTCGTAGTACCGGTACAATCTCATGTCCAGATTGACCAGTTCTTTTGGCTCACTTAGGAGCGCGTCTACTTATAGATCACTTTACACCTGATCTAAAAAGGACAAGAACACACCGATGGTCGCTGGTTCAGTCCCAGGTTTCCTCAGGTCCTTGGCATCGACACCATGAAGCACCCTCCCCTTTCACTACATGCATGTCGCAATTCTCAGAAAATTCGAAGCTGCGCCTACCGGTAGTTGTTAAAAAATGCAGATATTATAATACGGGTACTATTTAGAGTACCTAATTTTATCCAATCATCTTCGTTTGATGATTGTGATTGGCTGCCAACTGGGCGGAAATTACATGAATCACCTTACTGTTACGAAGTGTTCGGATAACATCCCTGCCTTAAAGCTTGGACGGTTTTTCACAGACCAGCCCCTAATAACGTTAACGTTAGTAGGAGATTGCAGAAACAACATTTTGTAAGCTATTATACGTATATTTCGGTTTCCATGTTGTGTACTACACGAATGATCATCGCAGACTCCACCGACTCTTCTCGCAATGCAACGCAATGCACAGTGGACATGCAAAAGTAAATTGACTAACGTTAGCTTACATTTCGAGATCTAATGTCACTATTAATAACTAAAGTAACGTTAGCCAATGCTAGTACTAGTCGTTGAGATATGTGTATCAACCACTGATCACGGTCAAGGGTCGTCGAGGTCTGCAGCGCTGCGGCCGCAGCGCTAGCTTTATAACCCTATGTAGCTTTATACAACATACACCTTACTTGCTACAAGTACAACGAGTGTAACTCAAAAGCGATAACCCACTCTCACCTCGTCGTCAATCAGGGCTAAACTGTACTACTGTATTAATAGTTCCCGATAAAAGTTATCGCTCGCATGTCAGATAATTACAACTTCCTCCGTTCCCGAATTAAGTTTCTACTACAATGTGATAGGTAGAAATAGGTCATAGAGATGATTCATTGGCCAAATTTAGAGCATACAAATACGAAGTGAGGTCGGAATATTGATCATATTCATCAGTACTGTACAGTGACTTCGCTATTAATACTAGTAGCTATTATTGTGCTTTTCACTCGTTTTGGCTACAGTCAACGACGGATTTTAAGCCACATTTTGAATCGAAGTAAATTCATAATTTTCAACTCTGATTGGCCTATAGACTTCGAAATTCGATTTCAATAACAAATCAAACCAACTGATAAAAGTATCCACTGCATTCCACGAGAATACCGTTACGTATTTTTAATATAAAATAAGGATGTCATAATTTAAAAAGATAACATCGAAATATAGCATCAAGTTAACATAAGTGAACATCAATGTTTGTCATAATTTATGACAATGTTAACTATCGAGAAAGTACATGACTTTTGTCGTTGAATTGCTCAGGAACGGCTTGTCTGGGCGTGATATATTTAATGTGAAAACTGAAGAGATGGCTGCGGGCTATATAACGAGACGTGATGTGTGGCGATTGCACATATTTAGCATGCGTGAAGTGACCTCAAACATGCCAAAAAACTGAAATGTAGCTTACTTTGGGTGTGATTATATACCGCAATAAGCATCGTAAGACCGACCAAGCCGCTTCATTACATAGTATCAATGCTGCTGTACATGCTAGCTACCATGTTCTTGAGTTGATCGGTGATTTCTGAGCCACGAAGCAGCACGTTAATGACGCATTTTGGCGAAAACTTCAAATATAGCGTGAAAGATGACAAACAATTATTGTCATCTTGAGCTATAATTTATAGCATACATTGATATGTTATGTAGACCTTTTTCGTCGCCCACGACATTTCAATCCGACAACGCTATGATTGGCTGGAACAGTGTTTGAATGATGCATCCTGATTGGTTGAATAAATGGAATATGATGTGAGAGAAATTGGAGTCTCATTATACCCCGTCCCTGGTCGTCCCCGGTTGTCCCTGGTCATCCCTGCTCGTCCCTGCTATGGCCACCTCAGAAACAAAAGACAAAGTCAACAACATGGCATTACAATCTTCCCTCACGCTTCCTCTTGCACACCTCGATCAAGGTATTGCTATACGAGCTAGTGTGTCCTGCACTCAAACATCTCAAAACTAACATACTTTGAGAAGGCCAGCGACAATGTCAAGCGCTCCGAGTACTTGCGGCGGTCGGCCCGAATCATTTGCCTGTTGAACGATCGCAGGGGCTGAAACAGGCCCACATGCGGGTCCCCGGTAAAACATTGGTTCCATGCATCTTGAGCTGAACGTGCAGTAGGAACGATGACATGCGAAACGAACACGTCCAGTGTCGTCTGTCGTTGGCTCTTCGCGGACGCCGCCACAGGCACCGCACGAGAGACGCTGTCCTGAACACCGACAACAG